ACTCCACACAGGTTTCTAACCGTTTTCCATCTGTAATTTGTGAAACCATTAAAGTTCAATTATTAAACCAGTTTCAGACAGCCCTCTGAAGAAGCCAGCACTATTAATTACAATTTTTTTTGTACTTAAAAAAAAACAGGACTAATCCGACTTATTCTCCGTCCTGAAAATTTGCATAAATGTTGCTCAGAAGCGAACTTTCTCGACGTTCGCGAACACAATACATACCCGCCCACGGTACCTCCACATAGCTTGTATTCAATTAATATTAAATGCTTAGAGTCGCATCTCTAGAGGGCTTTTAAGTTCCCGACAGCCTGGGACGAGGCTACTTCATTAACTAATAGGCCACTTATACTAATTGCAGTCTGATTGACGCTTAATTCGACCGCATAATTGTTAAATTGGCCATCTTTTAGCTAAACGGACTTGACGGTTCCGTCTGTCATTCGATTCTATAGGTTATTTAAGAAGAGCGTATAGTAATCAAAAATAGAAAATTAGTAATATAGTAATGATTGTTCTGAGACACTTTTGGCGGGAAAAATTAAATTGTCGTGAATCTTCTTAAACAAATTCATTAAAACATACAGGGTGGGTCAAATGGTAGACCAAGTTACTTTTATATATATATATATATATATATATATATATATATATATATATATATATATATATATATATATATATATATATATATATATATATATATATTCTCACGTATTGATTCACGGATGGAAAAATGTGATGACACTATATTCCGGCATATCATCCGTTCGCTCGTTGAACTCCGACTGGAATCCTGCATCCGACTGGAATCCTGCAAATCGAAGTGTTTTCGGAGCGCGAGCATTTAAGATGCCAAGTGAGATTTTGGCGAAACGTCTGCAGGATTCCAGTCGGATGCAGGATTTGCAGGATTCCAGTCGGATGCAGGATTCCAGTCGGAGTTCAACGAGCGAACGGATGATATCCCGGAATATAGTGTCATCATATATATATATATATATATATATATATATATATATATATATATATATATATATATATATATATATATATATATATATATATATATATATATATATATATATATATATAACGTCTGCAGGATTCCAGTCGGATGCAGGATTTGCAGGATTCCAGTCGGATGCAGGATTCCAGTCGGAGTTCAACGGATGATATCCCGGAATATAGTGTCATCACATTTTTCCATCCGTGAATCAATACGTGAGAATATATATATAAATATATAAATATATATATATATATATATATATATATATATATATATATATATATATATATATATATATATATATATATATATATATATATATATATATATATATATATATATATATACACATATATACATCCCACCAATTTTCAACAAATATTTTATTTCCCTAAATACTAAAAAATAAGTTACTTAGTTACAATGTAATGAGTTTGAATAAGATGTTAATTTCTAGCAAACATTTTTCCTCGATGGTTTAAGTCATTTATAAAGTCATGAAGCTAATTTTCAAAATGGCGTAAGTCATTTCAACCCTTCAAAACCACATTCCTTTTGAAAATGCTTATCACAATCATATTCAAGACTTATTTGTTGGCACTATTTAATTGTGAAAATATTTTATTCCATTATAATGCTTAATTTTTTAACTAGAAGTTCAACCAAGCGTTAATCGCGTTTAACTCATTAAGTTGCAATAATGTTGGATCCGTCAATCACAACACGCGCGATCGATTTTAATAGCCCGATCCAAATTAGAAATTGTAATTTTCCTGCTAAATAATAGGAACAAAGATGGCTTTATGCCCGGAAAGCTTTGTGATGGAATTAAATTATTTAGTTAATTACCGATAAATTTTAACTATCTTGATTTCGCATTCAAAGCTGAATCTGGAGCAACGTTTCGGCCGGAATTGGAATAGGAGCGTCATTTGTCGACCTGACTGGATCACGTTGTTAGTAATTTGTTGTAGAAGTTTGACTCAACAAAAACCGACGCAGGAGCAGTCTAGAAGTTTTGTGAAAACTATTACAGTAGTCTGTGGAAGTTTCTTTGTTAAAGAAACCTATCTACTTACAAAAACACCAATATCGCCGATAAGAGATATTATTAATAGTGGAGAATTAAAGAAACAGAACAAACGTTGTGATTTTCAAATTCACCGTATAAACAATACTGATCAGGACGTAAAAAGAAGGAAAATATATTGTCTTTATCAAAGACAAATAAACTGGAAAAGTAGCTAGAATAAGATGAAATCAATATAAATATATGGGATTTAAGTAACGCCAAATAGACAAAAGGCAAGTGGCTGCGGAATCACACAGACAGTGTATCCAAAAGATGGTACGCGATAATTTTCCTACTTTAAGTCGCAGTATTATAAATTGGATAAAAAATGTACTTAATAACATACCAATTGAGAAAAAATCAGTACAGCACATTTACATTTCTATACAAAACAACATAAATCCTATTATAATTGATGTCAATAACGATTCTGATAGTGGTAGACATAGACAATATAGACATAGACATTAGACATATTAGACATTTAGAATATGGACAGCAATGAATTTATTGTATATATTTAAAGTCATTGTTGTCTCTTAGTCTAATTTAATATGATTATACCTAAATAAAGAAAACAAAAATATTGTTAACAAAACCTTTGTTTTGTCCTTTAACACCTACCTAGAGTTTGATTGCCGTCGGCAGGTAACTTCCATAATTGCCTGCCGTGTTGTTCGAAACGACGAGACGATGATCCAGTGAGTGTATCGTCGCCCTGCGCCCTCGCTCTTACTTCCACAGCATTTACCATTATTTTAATCTGTACCCGGAAATTAACACGTCATCCCTAGGGAACGTGGAGACATATTTTGTGCCGGCTAGCCACGCGGTTCGAAAACCGGAGCAAAAAACGTCGCGGTGCGAGGTCGGAAGACGAAAAAAATTATACTGGGTGTTATGGAAACGGCGTCACAGAATTTGAGGAAAGAAATCTGAACCTCGGCTTGACGACCGATCGATGTTTTGTTCGATCGAATTCGAATATAGAGAGCTGTTTTTAGTAAACTTATACTACTTATGCTACGGTGGTCATGGACACAAATGAATATCAGGAAAGAAGATATCCTTACAGACGGATCACATCGTCAACTTAAAAAAAGATCCTACATCATCTATGGAACGCAACCTTAAAGCTGTTATAAAAGCTTCTTCTCTATCAGACTCTGTGAAAAAATCTATAACCCCCCATGACTCTAAAATTCCTCGTCTCTACGGACTCCGAAAGACCCACAAACTGGGATTACTCCTTCGGCCTATTGTTAGCACCATTGCTTCTCCAACATATTCTCTAGCAAAATATCTAGCTTTCCATAGGGAAAACTGATGGTTTGGTACTTAATACCTTTCAGTTCATGGTTACATCACCATCCGGCACAAAAATCGTTGGTTATCAACTCTCTCACTTCACCACAACCTTCCAATAGCAATGAGGCCAAAGCAATCCTACACTTGCCACTGTGGTCCTTCCTTGCATTCAAAGTATCACTGACCACATATCAAAAGTTCTAGAGAAGTATAACGCCAAAACCAGATTTCCCACTTGTCCAAAAATCTCTCAACATCTTCGGTCCGTCAAAGATAAAATTCCATTTGACACGCCAGGAGTTTTCAGCATTCCATGCATATGCGGCAAAGAATACATTAGACAAAGCGGACGAAAAATATCAACTAGGCTCAAAGAACACGAAAGAGCCTTACGACTAAGACAAATAAACTCATCAGCTGTTGCCGAACACAATCACGAAACCGGACATAAAGTTTTATTCGATAAAACTAAAATGCTTGCATGTAATCAATTCTTCCATCAACTAAAAATCCGAGACGGTGTTTATGCTTCACCCCCTCAAACAATATATAAACAGGTACAGAGTAAAATAAGAGCCAGTTTCAGTCAAGCTCTGAAGAAGCCAACAGGATAATTGGCAAAACGTCTGCAAGTTCGAATCAGTAAAAACCAACGCAGAAGGAATCCAGAAGTTTTGTAAAAATAATTATAATTATTATATATAACATTATAAATAGGGCACGACGGCCAGAAGCTTAGCCAAAATTTGAGTTAATTTAGTTAAGGTTAATCAAAAAAACAATCGACATGATGGTTAGAAGCCATAAAAAATAATAAAAAGCTTAGGTGAGTTGCCTGGCCTATCATACCATTAAAAATCCGATTTACAAGTGTTTATTTATGTGGCGTTACGGTTATTATTTGTCGGATCGGATTTAGATTTGTCAGCGGCCATATTAGTATCATAGGAATAGACAGAATAGACTCGGAACGGTATTTTCTTATCGCTTTTATATACTCAAGCTGCCATTTTTCTAATCTCTAAAATTCCATAAGTACGTGCCTCTTGTCAATTTATTTGAAGCTTAGTGTGGGTCAAAAGCTACACATATACAGTCGTTTCTTCAGATTTCGTTAGTTCATTTGTAGCAGCATTAGCGTCCTCTATTAAGTAAGCAATCATAAACACTTTTTACAATTCGCTTGGCATTGAGAGTTTGATGCTTTTTCTGCAATAAAACACCGTTTTACCAGTAGGAAAATCTTTTCACATTTCGACGTTTCTATAAGACATACTTAGCAGAACAAGAATGCACTAATTCTGGTCCTCCGTATTTCCACCTACCACCCCCTTTTAAAATAATAATAGTAGTCCGACCTATACAATTGGTTTTATAAATTTGCGGCTGGAGGCAACAGTCCTTTTTATTGCAGTCTGTGGAAGCACCATACTATTTCTGATAACAGCATTTCACTGCCAACACTAAGGCTTCAACTGCTAAAATGCACTGCCTAAATGCACAGAAAACAGAAACGAAAATTTCCATTCAACATGCGCATGCGCGAGTTTTCGAATCACAATTTTAACCAAACTAACCAATAACCTCACTTTCGATGGAACCATTGCACATGGCGGACGTTGCTCCTGCCAGGTTCCAAAATATTTATAGAAATCGGTCGAAATTAGTGTCGTTTAAAGAAAATATTGTTACGTATAGTCGTTATCTGACGTGATAGAGACGTAGTGCCTATAAGTTTGGGAAATAGTGTTCGTCTTACGTGGATGTACACGGATTTGTGATGTGTAATTCTATGAAGTGTGTGTAAATACGGTTTCCGAATGTCCTATATTCACGCTGGTAACCAGGCCGGATGGGATCGGATATCCCGTATAAGATGATTGCTGGAGCCGTTTGAAGAATCGGTCGTCATTTTATGACAATTTATTTAGAAGTTGTTTCCGTTTTTGTATACGTTAAATAACCTGGAGGATGATGGATTGGTCCAGACCCTTCTCTTAAGAAGGCATTCTTTAGGAAATCTGAATAATGTGAAAAATTGTGTAAGCTGGCCGAATGACCTTATGCAGTCGTGGCCATTAGAAGTAAAGAAGAAAGAAAGAAACCATAACCTACCTACTAAACAAAACCACAAAAGCATTGGTGGACAGAAAAATGAACTTGTTAGGAATACTAAACAAGAAATAGTTGTTTCCCGTTTTTATCACTAATCCATCGTTACCAAATTTAGTTAAAAAAAATATTTTTTCGTGTGAGAACTATAACTATACAATTTTATTAAAAACACAATGATATAAATGCAAAATTTAATAACATTCTAGAAAATGGGTACAGGTGGCGTCATCTGTCGCACACTAATGGAAACAACCTTTAAAATCATTACAGGTACCTACGTTCCGACCCCAAAGACGTGTGTGAAAAAGCTTGAAAAAGTTCTTCGATTTTTCTTGAAAAATGTCTCCATACTAACACTTAGTCTGACGTCTCGAATTATTTATTCCCACATATGCGCTTAATCGTTCACGATGAGTGTGTTGCGAGAAAAGCACGAAAATATCAATCGCCCGTTGCCTACAATAAAAAACAAACAGGTAATAACGCCAGAAGAAGTTTTAAGACTCCCGAAGATTACGGAAAGCTATTTGTGCGATCCGGACGCCAACATCTACGAGATAGATTTCACTAGATTCAAAATCCGAGACCTCGAAAGCGGAGCTATATTGTTCGAGATAGCGAAACCCGTTCACATAGAGGAATCCCTGGAAAAGACTTGTGATAATGACGAACCCATCGACCCCAACTCGGGTAGGTTTGTTAGGTACCAGTTCACTCCCCAATTTTTAAAATTGAAGACCGTCGGTGCCACGTGAGTCGTTTTAATTAACGGATCAAATAGATTTGTGTGAAATCTTGTTTTAGTGTTGAGTTTACTGTGGGTTCTCGACCTGTCAATAGATTCAGGATGATTGAAAGGCACTTCTTCAGAGATAAACTGTTGAAAACGTTCGACTTTGAATTTGGATTTTGTATTCCCTATTCCAGGAATACCTGCGAGCACATTTATGAATTTCCTAGCCTGCCTGCTGAATTGGGTAGGATATGGGAGGACTTTCATAGCCTCAAATGCAATTTTATATGTTTACAGTGAAAGAAATGATTGCTTCACCGTTTGAGACCCGCTCGGACAGTTTCTACTTTGTTGATGACTGTTTGATAATGCACAACAAAGCCGATTACGCTTACAATGGCGGAATGCAGACTTAACCCACTTTTTAGGGGACATTCAACTAAAGATTACACTTTAGGCAGACTTTTCATTACGGTATGTGATATACTGTTGTGAACTTTTGGCACAGGTACTTTCTACTTGTATTTGATATTAAACCCATCCTGTAATAACCGAAAAAGTCTGCCAAGTGTGCAAGTTTATTAATTTACACAGTTTCACGTGTGAAAGGCACAACAAACACAATTTAATAATTTTAAGGGCTTCGGAAATTTCTATAGTTCACGTTCCCGCTTTCAGGAAGAGGTATAATCAAAAAGAATCTCGTGTAGTTATTGGATAAGATGTACGCTTTTTGATATTACTATTATTCATTTACCTAAAGTACCAGTTCAGGTTGTAATAGGCAAGGCAAGTAGCTTAATTTTAAGCTGGGCATGGGATGCATTTAATTTATTGAAAATATTGTTTTCGAATAATAAATGTTCACTCAATGTGCTAGTGTATGAATTTATTTCTAGTTGTGTTCACTATTAATTACACTCTAGAACAATTCTCTAATTAGTTAGAATGGAGTGCCTCAGCGTAAGGGAAGGGTTGATGATAATCGATCCCTCGCTAGACTTTACTTAAAAAACTATGCTTGATTTGGGTCAGTATTAAAAGATTTCGGAATAAATCTATCGATTTGTTATTAATTAGGGAGCACCTAATTTTAAATATGTAGATCGATCGTTATTTTACACTTGTTTATATTTGTGAATTTTTTGGTTTTTAATAAATATTTATCTACAACACATTATTAAGGCACTGAATTTTATTTCTGCACTTTGGGTATGTTGAGAAGTTTGATCATTTAAGTTAAGCAAAAAAAAGCCTCTCTGGAACAAAACTGGGTCCACGAAAATTACAATAATCCAAATACATGATAAAAATGTATTTACCATTTTTCCGACAGTTTTTTTTTACACAAACAAAACTCAACAATGTGAAATTCTTTGGCACGATATTAGCATAAAATATGCAGAGGTAGACTACCCAAGCGAATGAAAATAACCAGCTTATGGTAAAGAAATAAATATCTTCCATTCTGCTTTATACAATAGAGCAATATCAAATAAAAAGGTTAATAATCCTTTTGGGAAAGCAAAAAATTAAAAAAAAACCTGTACAAAAAAGAAAAAACGATTATGTACATACATACACCATGAATTTTGGAAAAAAGTCAATACACCATTGCTTATTATATACAAAAAAAGTTGAGGATTAGTCCTCCAGCTCCAAATCTAGTTCAATGTCAACTAGATTCATCTGTTGCAAGGTATTTATCAACATGTACCTCGAAACGCACATGTACAACCGACGGAACCAGACCATCTGCGACTTGTGCTTCCTCATCGCTCTGTGAATGACTTTTCTTTGAGAAAAACCCTTCATGTACCTACAGAGATTTCGCTAGAAGCAGAAATTCACAAACTGCACAAACTTACCTGAACCTTGACAAAATTAATGACAATGGTAAGTCCAAAACCAGCCAATATTTTCTGAAAATATTCACAGATTCCAAAACGAAAACTCCGCAATCTAAAAAAAAAAAATCCTTGCATTGAGATTCCTTAAACATCAAGACTTGATTACTCTTTGGTAGCTGCCGATCTATCACTAAGTTTGCAACCGCGTAGTATATGCTACAATGATTCGGGTGCCCTGAAATTCCGTATCTGTCGAAGGTTACCAAATTCGTGATATCGAATGCCTCTACATAGTATAAAATATGTTTTGACACAAGCTCCAGCGGCCATCTCACGTCCATTGAATCAGGTAAGTTAGTATTATTATATACAAACACATTTTCTTGTTCCATACCTAACAACTTACAAGACTCAAAAAGTTCGTTGGTACGGATTTTGTCCATACCATAATTTTTGCCTGCAAGCAATTTGCTTGTCAATGTGAAATGAAGGGGAAATAACCTTACCGGAAGATAAACACAACAAATACACTGTACAATTTTGCTTCTGAGCGTAATGCATAAGAGTCGGTCCGAAGAACATAACTTCGTCATCTGGATGGGCGGTTACGAACAGTATTCTTCGAGCGTTCCGCATATCTCTTGTAAATGTAAACAGCTTCCATCGGGTAGCGGCCAAATATAACAGAATACATAACGCCACGTACAAGACGCAGGCGAGAATGAGGTGCTCCACTGTGTTTACGATATACTCTTCTATGCTCGCAACGAGCGAGTTCAAACCCTGACAAAATGTATTCACTGGAATTTGGATTATATCATAATAATAGGTCGTCTCATTCCAAGATTTGGAATCTTGGATCATCTCAAGTCAATTTTAAAAATAGCCCTGCCATACATTCGCCAATATTAATAGATTCGTTTTTTTAAGGTCATCACAAGAAACTCAATACATTGTAGGTTAGTATTTGATATTTAACACTGACTGATGATAATTTTTCTTTTTCACTGTCATTTTCATGTCAGTTCGATAGGCAATGTTGTCATGACCATCTGGCCAACTGACTCCTTTTTGTTTAGACTTGGTTTCCTCAATGCCCACTTAAAAATGTATGTGGATCTAAATACGGATCCAATTAATCCCATTAAAAGGATAATCAATAATAAACTGTTAAACACCAAGTTGAGCTCGACTGCTTTACCAAAGAAACTTGAAGTTTAGACGGCTACTTCACAAAGCATTGTATTACTTGCAAGTGGATTTTGCGTTCCATGCTGTATTAAACTTACTGAACAGTAACTAATATAAACAATTAATGTATTTTATTTTAAATGATGAAGGTTTTCTCTTATTGTCCAATTGTCTACCATTTGGCGAAAGCATTGGCAATTGTGTTTATCTGTCGAGATAACCGCTCTGATCTGTGGTCAATAACGGTTTATCAACAAGTGGTATTTTTTATTAAATACGTAAATAATACACGAAAATTTACGCTTCGTAAATGAATCATGTAATCTGATAGTATTATCAGGTTCGTATTGTATTATTTATATTAATATTGCGATTTCGTGGTAAAGTTTGGCATCGGATAGGTTATGTTATTGTAATGTTAAAACTAGAAAAAACGTTGGACAGGTCAAACGGGCGTGAAAATGTGATAAAAGTGGTGTATCTCGTTGCAGGATAGCTTCGTTACATTCCATATAAGTTAATAAATGCGGGGTACAAGATGTCTTCTAGACAAGAAAAGGCAAAATCAGGAAGCTTTGTAAGTACAAGAATATCATATATGTGTTTATCGTGAAGAATTTAGTATAACGTTGGAGGTGCATACTGCTAATATTCTTTAATGTTTTTTCAAAAAGAAGTATGCCTGAGGCACCCGGGTTACCTGGAGATTAGGTATATCATTATAACCTACCTATATTAAACTTTGGTTTGTTTTTATCTTACCCACCAAGAAAGTTCTTATCAATCTTTATCATTATTTGTTCTATATCGCGAGTAATGTAAGCAGCAAATTGGGTGTGTTCGTAATTGGAGCTCACTTATTACTAATTGGGCGTTAGTTGTGAGTTTTTTCATTAAGTGTTAAAAGTATGGATGAAAGAGACTCGAAAAAGAAGTCGAAATCCTTAGGAGTGTCGTTTCGGAAAAGAAGAAGGGAGACTCATTTAACCGTAAGTAACTTTTTGTGTATTATTGCAAAATAAAAGGAAAATTCAAAGTTTTGCATTTAAATTATGTGGCCTCGGGGGCCGTCTGAAGGATGAGCGCAGGTTCAAAAAATAAACGCCGCGATTTACATAAAGTGATGTCATTTAAAACCAGATTTTGTGTACCTATTCTACCACGTGCTGAAATAAAATCCAACTACATATTAATGCAGTGAATGATTCATTCGGAGTTTTGTGGAATGGTCGTCTAGGGTTTTCGCTCCGTTTGCAAACGTTCCTATCAAGCTTCAAATAAAAATAGCAATTTAAAACTTTCATCATTTGAATTTTTTAATTTGTTGTGATATCGCGATGTTCTTGCTTCAAGTGAAATTTGCGAAATACTCTGTTCTTGTAGCCACAGGATTTCTTTCGTGTTCTGTAAAACAAATATTTGTAAATGTAATCGTCGTGCTGTGATCGGTATCGAAATTTAATTGCTAAATAACATGGGTATAGTGCTTTCACAAATAAATCGTTGTGACTTATTCAAAGCGATAGTTGTCCTTTGTATAGAGGGCAGTAAAAGCATAATATGGGCATATGTTGGTTAGTTTCGTAAAATACCAAAGTTTATCAAAACTTCTTTTCAAATATTGCTGAAAATTTTATTGTTTCCATACAGGGTCGGGCTGATTTTAATCAAGGGATTTGAATCAGAATCCTGTTTTTTAAAATATTTTTTCATCAAGACCAACAAAAAAAGAACAGCGTAAAAATAAACTTGGGTGCATAGAAATATTCTTTTTCTAGGAACTATTCCTCTGGCCCAAAAAATAAACATGCTATTTGGAAGACAATTTAATATGCTTTAGAGTGCTGATCTTTTATGTGCGTAGCTACTGTTAAACAAATGAAACGCGTTCATGCAATAGATATAGTGACAGTAACAAACTTGTTATAGATTTACATTAATCGATTTGCAAATGGAATTTTTACATTATTCATTTTTATCCATTTGGAGAGCGTTTAATTGTGTCAGCTTGATACATACTACACCGCAAGTTATCACTTTAATCAAAAGTGGGCTCCTGTATGTGACACGCGCAGAAGTTCGGACAGTACGCTAACGGTATGAGCAAACTGCATCCTTTGCTAGACGCCCGAGAACAGGCAGAAAATGAATTACAACGGCTCGTGATCACCGCTTAAATTTAAAACATCTGTTTTTTTTCTTTTTCCGTGTTCCACCAGAACCGATGGGCCGTCGAATTTGGTTAGAATTATAGGTTGTAAAGAGACTTTAATTATCAGTAGTTCTAATGTGCCTTTTGAATTCGTTTATTTGCAGAAAACATCTCAGAATCGTAAAAAATGAAATTACAGGACTTTCGTTAGCTATAGATTCTCTCAAAACCGTTTATCCGTGAAAGCACTATATGCGATTGGTTCTACGAACGGCATGAGAGTCGTAGCCACTTTGCAAGACCGCCGTGTACGCGTTTCAATAAAACCGCGCATACTTTAAAACCACATGGGTAATGACATCATTTTTCGAACCTCCTTCTGTCCGCTTAACGCTCGATTATATCGAACGGTGTTTCGACGTTCGATTGTTTTTAATTGTTTCGTTGTTTTGTTCTCGACGGGCCTCGTCGATTATTTCGCGAAACGGCGAGTGTTTGAGTGCTGCGCGAAAATCGCGTGAGATTTTTGTTTTTAAAAATAACTCGATTTTCGAAATTTTTGACGAAAATAGTCCGAACGCCGTCGTTTTTCGAAGTATATATAATAATTGTGTCACTTGCCGAGTGTTTTTGGATCGGATGCCAAAGAGAGTCCGCAGTTTTTGTAGACAAGACCGAGTCGACAGTGTTTTGCGGTGGTTGTTGTTTTTTTTTCTTATGTCGGAAAATCCGCCCCTAAAGGATCATGTATAACTATGTAGGTAACACTGGGGGTTACTTTAACACGTTTTTAGACCATATTTCAATGTAACTTCGTTATTTATTAAGCTAACGTTGTGAAATAAATTAGATCGTAACTTCTGGATTCTTTCTGCGTCGGTTGTTGATGAACTGAAATTGACTTGCACTATACTCTGTATTGGGTTATTCATTATATTTTGACACACACATACAGGGTAAATTTTGGAAGATAGAAAAAAAAGTGTAAATACAAAAGTTTGAAGATTTTTGCTCTGCAAAGGTCGGAAAAAACAAACGACGATCGCAAGCTGTCAAAATAACAGGGACATATATATTTTTTAATGGGATGCTCTGTATACATTAGCTTAAATCGTCCTGATTTCAAAAACATACAGTTTATTGACATTTCATTTAGCCGTTTTTTAGCCATATTGTTTGAAAATGGTCAAGTCTGCCTTGATTGCGACCATATTATCTACGTTTGCAATTGTTTTAACAATTTTTGACAAGTAATCAAAACTGAAGATCGGCAGCGTTAATTAAATCACTTAAGATATTTCAAACGGGTTATGCTAAGGAAGACAAACGCCAAATAATAAAATTGTGTTATTCAAGAATACAAATACCAATAATTAATGCTAAACATTTTCCACACATCCTCCATTATCATTTGTTTTTTCTGACATTTGCATAAGATTATAGAGCAAAAATCTTCAAACTTTTGTATTTATACTTACACCGAAAACATTTTGCAACGAAACAATTGCCAACAAAGCTGCTTATGTGTTGGGCGGATGACTCTTCGCCCCTTTTGTATAACTAACAAATGCGATGTTTTTACTCCACAACTTTCTGAAATAGACTTTAATGGTAACAAGACTCCGCACGTCGAAACTAGCGGACGACGTAAATAAATCGAATAATGAACCCGTGCTATCGCAAAAGTTCAATTTCCGGTTTTAATTGCGACGATAGCATTTATTCAAAGCGCGGTCTAGCGATTATCGTGCCTAGTTTTAGAAAGGCCGCCCTTATAGTCCGGTCATGTTAGGTAAAAAAGTGGTCAACCTTGGAAATAAGCTGTCAAAGGTTATAAAAATCGGTTTTTCGCGAATATCCCGCTTTCTATTGCTCAAATGGGATTTGTAAAAGTTTTAGACTATAACATTCTCTACAACCTGTGCTTGAACTTTTTTTTCATATTATCAACCGTTTTTGCGGTAGACCGCCTGTGGCCTAATGCAGGGTCAAACGTGAGTTACGGTTATCAGTACGTTGTATAAAGTTAATTAAATACTTAATAAATACTTATCCCTATCCTTCTGTGCTATTTAAAAAAGAAAAAAAAACTGTTACCAGGGCATTGGAGAAAATTGCCAATTTGGATAAACTGGTGGGACTATTCCAACAAGAAAACTCCCCCGTACAAACGTTATTTGAAAATGGAGTGCGTATCGTGTTGGCATTATATGATGCTCCAAAATCTGAGTACAACATTGATCATTTTCACTACACGCAATTCATCAAATTAACTAAACTGAATAACAAGTGTAACAGCTCATCAACGCTAATAACGACAACAAGAAGAAGACGACGACGGAGAAAAAGAAGAAGATAACTATGTACCATTTACGATTTTATTATAATTAAAATCAACAAAAATTGTTTTAACATTTGAACTCGCATTTCACTAAATGTATAATGTGCTATATTTAATGATTAATAAATATATGTATAAAATATATTCCCGTACTGCCCTTTTAACTTAAAATATAACTGAAATATACATTCATACATAGTTAAATACTCATTTCCATTAAATGTAAATAATTAATGATTAGTAGATAAACAATGGGTATTGTTTAATAATTATAATTGTTTAGTAAATAACCGTAACTGACGCTTGACTTTGCATTAGGTCATATACCGCAAAAACGGTTGATCATTTGAAAAAAAGTTCAAACGAAAGTTGTAAAGAATTTTATACTCTACAACTTTTATAATAGGTGCAAATCTGATTTAAGCTATAGAAAGCGAAATATTCGCGAAAAACCGACTTCTATGACCTTTGTCCTTCAATATTTTAAAACGCGGATACGATAACACTTGTGGCTTTTGACACAACATTTAGAACGACAAAATAATGGTGTATACCGATTTAAAACTTATTATCTTTCATTCCGAGGTGAAACCCCTAATATGACTGGGCTATAACGTCACAATCGTACAACGGTCAGTTTTAACGTAATCCCGACTAACGGGCCCCTCGGGACAAAAAAATTACCGAGTTCCTTTTTTGATTTGCTGCCCGTCCCGTGTAAAGGCTTCGCAGATAAGGTCAACTAATATTTTGTTTGTGTTAAGCCGGGATTTGTATCTGCGCTAGCAAAAAGCGCCAAACTCGGTCAAAACCGTAGACGAACCTTGACATTATAATAAAATATAACCGATGATCTCAACAGGCGATGCTCAAAAGGATCACTAATCATAATACGACTCAAATAAATAAATATTCGCTATACGGAAAAATACGAGATTTTCAAAAAAATTAGCTTTTGGAATATGTATAATTTCGAAAATACAAAAAAACTTATATTTATTTATGTATATTTATATTGCGCACAATTTAAAAAACAAAACGCTAAACATTTGATCAAAATTAAAAATGTATTAAACATGTGCATGATAATATTTAAAATAACACGTTATAGATGTAAAACAAAGGGGCCGTCATTATAAATTTTTCTATTGACTTAGACTAGAAAGTCCTATTTTTTAGTTTCAGGCACATGCACTATTAATGTGACAAATTTTCTTTCTGCCTGATCTGATTTTTTAAATCATATCTAATTAATTGCCTGGAAATTATTAAGAATGTTTAGGTGTGATTTTTCACCCCTTCTTGCTTGCTTTATACAGTCCATATAGGATATATAGTACTAATTTGTTTTGAACGTAATTCTTAATAAATCCATGTTTTAAAGTGACTAAAGTAGATCTATATAGTACTAATTTGTTTTGAACGTTATCCTTAAGAAATCAATGTTTTAAAGTGACTGAAGTAGTAATTTATAAACATATTGATGTTAAAATATCTGCAGACGTACCTGAAATGTTATATTAAATTGTAGAAAAGAGACGATTTATCACTGTGCATTTTGAAACACTTTTTTTTTCAAGTGTAGGCAAATCGGACATCACAAACGCACAATAATTTGTTATAAAATAGATTTTATTGTTAAATAACAATAGATAACACTCTCCAATTGCAATGCCTTTGGATTCAGATCGGGGCTTCTGGGTGGCAGATCTAGTTTAAACTTCTTCTCCAACACAAGGGATGAATGGGACCAAAATGTCTGTTATGTACCTATGTGCAGTAAGCGGTCCTATATCTACAAATATATTCAAACACCCAAACTTGTTCACGTCTGAATCGAATGAATTATTTATAATTATAGTTTATGTTACGATTTTTCTGTTTATTATGCACAAAAATAAAGAGAAAATTCATTTATTTGATATAAAGTTGTGATAAATATAATAACAATACTCATTTTTGATTTTTTTTAATGAATTTTAATTACTTATATTATAGTACCTTCTTAGCTATGGCACCCTTTGGTTAGTAACTCTTAATAATAAAATTTGCACGAATTTTAAGTCGTGGTAAAGTAGTCAATGAAATAAAACCTCTAAATTCACAGACCTTCCAATAAACAGACTTTACAGTAAAACCAGACCAAATAGACTAAACATTTAAATTATCTGTCATTTTTAAAAAATAGATGCAATAAAACATTTATGTAACCATTGGATAGGTGACTCAAGATCGCTTAAATTAGGATAGTTTTAAAGAATTTTATGAGAAACTTAAATATTGTAAATCGTAAAAATATAAAAAGGTGGATTTTCTATCTCTGTAAAGCCCGAAATATGCCAAACATGCTCTTGGGTACATTATTAAAACACTTCTTTAAGAAGAATACGATGACGTAAAGGGAAACATATTTTTTTTCATTTGCTTTGGAAATTCACCATAGATTTTATTCATTTTTATTATTAAATGGAGCATAAAAAATGCCTCCGAATGATGCATTACGCGATACATTTATCATCATCGTTAGGGTCCCAAAGCAATTTTTTCTTATAATGGGACATTTAAAAAGCAAAATAAATTTAAAAAAATTGGCAGTCCAATGATTGCTATAAACATTGACAGATTGATAGTTTACATCTCCTTTACAGTACATAACCTAATTAGGTCCGTGACCTTTTAATTTATTTAAAAAATGCAAAGAAATTAAAAAATAATAATTAAAAAAACCATTAGAATCTCCGAGTGTGACGAAGATCGTAACCTATAAACGAGTCGTCGACGGTCAAAGAATATTAATTAGTTTATCCTCTCCCGTTTCAGTTGGAATCATGGTTCAAGCCGAGCGGCACTCGAAGGCCGACAAGTCAGAGGCCAAACTCGACGGTGGGCCCCCGGCCCAATTCGGAAACCGACATGGACCAGCAGGACGACGAAGATTACGTGAAAATGATCGCGACCATGTCCGAGAAAGACGTCAACGTTAAGATCGAAGAGATGCTGGTAACGTACATTTTAGCACAATCAAAATTGACGGCGTGGTCACCCTATCACGACAATTAGAAAAATCAAACGAACAACAATTTGTACAAGTGGTGTTTTCCGAACTAGATCACTGGATAGTAAGATAACGATTTTACAATTCAGTAAAGACTTTTTGTCAACCTGCCCTAGCAATTTCATTCTGTGTTTTTGTTATTAAAGTCCTTATGATGCTCCAGAGAGTGGTCAAGAAGCCCTTATTTTAGAGGAGTTAGAAAAGTGGAAAGGAGATATGACGCCCTGGCAAAACATTTAAATATCAAGTGTAGAAGAACCACACAATCAATGTTCACAAGCCAGTGTAAAGCGAAAGTTTGTTTCATGAATTTCTCCCTGCAGATAAGTTTGTTTCATGAATTTCTCCCTGTAGATAAGAGAGCTTACTTTTTTTGCATAGACTGTGGTCTTGTCACTTGTTTTAGGGAATTCGTCCTATTTTTAGTATAGTCTCAATCGGCATCTTACTTTATTACGCAGCCTGTGAACTTTCCACAAGTTAGTCAAAATGGGCCACTTGTTTTAGGACATTCATTCTATAGGTAAGATAGTCTAAATCGGCATCCTATTTTATTACACGGGTTTGTAAGCTTCCATAAGTTTGTCGAAATCGGCCATTTGCCTAATAAAATTTTTCCTATAAGTGAGATGGTCTAAATTGGCGTCTTGCTTTGTTACAGACTCTGCGAATTTGTCATAACCTGTCTAAGGAAATTCCTCCTATTGGTTGGATAGTTTAAATCGGCATCTTATTTTATTACACAGGCTTGTGAACTTTCCACAAGTTGGTTAAAATCGGCCACTTGTTTTAGGAAATTTGTCCTATAGATAATCGGCATCTTATTTTATTACACGGGTTTGTGAGGTGTCCACAAGTTTTTCGAAATCAGCCACTTTCCTCATGAAATTTTTCTTATAAGTGAAATAGTCTAAATTGGCATCTTGCTTTATTAGTAATTCTGTGAATTTATCATAAGTTGGTCTAAATCTGTCACTTGTCTTACGAAATTTCTCCTATTGGTTGGACAGTTTAAATCGGAATCTTATTTTGTTACACAGGCTTGTGAGCTTTCCACAAGTTGGTTAAAATCGGCCACTTGTTTTAGGAAATTCATCCTATAGATAAGATAGTCTAAATCGGCATCTTATTTTATTACACGGGTTTCCACAAGTTTTTCGAAATCGGCCACTTGCCTCAAGAATTTTTCCTATAAGTGAGATAGTCTAAATTGACATCTTGCTTTATTACAGAGTTGTGAATTTTTCCTAACTTAGCTCAAATCGGCCACATGAGTGACGTAAATTTTCCTGTCAATAAGATCATCATCTAAAGCGGCCATTTGTCTGATGAAGTTCTTACTATAAGTAAGATACTCTAAATCAACATCTTAATTTATTACACCAGTTGATCTAGATGGGTCACTTGCCTCAGGATATTCTTTTTGCAAGTAAAGATAGTCTAAATCTGCGTCTCATCTTATTATGTAGACTGTAAATTTGTCATAAGCAGGTCTAAATCAATCACCTCATGAAATTCTTCCTATAAGAAGGGTACTTACTTTATTACACTTTGAACTTGTCACTTGTTTAAATCGGCTTTATTACCCAGGCGCACTCGTAGCATTAACCAAAATTATTTGAATTTTTCTCAGCTTGAAGATAGTACCCTTTTCCTTCTTGTCCCCTTATCACGTCCTCTCTTTCTAGTCTTACAGAAGAGATCGTAAACCCTTTAAAATGTGTGTTCCCTCTTTTTTATAACCTCCGAGGTGCTTATCTCGTTCACAGTTCATCTTACCTATTTGCAGAGCGACATGAATTTGAACGACGACAAAAAGAAACCGCTAAGGGACATGCCCTTAGATCAGAAAAAGAACATGCTCGTTATGCAGAAAAAAAACAAGAGCCAACAGGACACCGGTAATCGAATCAGTACCTCGAGCAGCACTTGCGCAGCGACATCCAGCTGAACAAGCTGCTGTCGTGCATTGAAAGCTTGAGGGTTGCGCTCGCGAACAACCCGCTGTGGTGGGTGGAAAAATTCGGCAGCCAAGGCATGAAATTAATCATGAAAGTGCTCGAAGTAGGCCTCAAACAGTAAGTTGGGTTGGATTCTAGTAGATGCCAGATGTCCTTTGGTGATTGTGTATGAACTTAAAAACAATTGCTTTAATATGTGTGGACGAAATCATTTAACTCGATTGTAATCTTGACATCAAGCGGAATCAAGATCAAGGTACAATTAGCTGTTATGCTTGCAAAGTATAGAGTTCGCGGCCTTTATTTGGCGATTTATTTAAAATTTATGTAACTGACATACCTCGATTTACGAAAATAAGGTTTTCCTATGACGAAAGCTTCGTCGTAATGGTTATACCACAGGAAACTGTGCTAGGGCCTCTATCATTTAATTCATCTATAAATGATAATAAAATAAAGTGTTTTTTTATACTTTTTAATTATTCCTTGGTATAAGCAACACTAAATATGTAATAATAATATATAATAAATAGATAACTATTTTTTTGCGAAATTTTCACTTATCAAAAGTTTCCATGCTTAATCCAACTAACTCAAAAAAATCATTAAAAAAAACATTTATTTTCATTATTAAGACTAAACACTATATAGGTTATTTATAATAATAATAATAATAAATAAATAATTATTTTTTACGACATTTGCACTAGAGAATCAATACTGAATCATTTAGAATACAAATTATAATAAGTTTCCATGTTTATTTTCAACTAACGCAAAAAATCATATCACACATTTATTTCGATTAGTATGACCAAATGCTATAGAGCTTCATTTGTAATATATATAATAATATTTAATATATAATAATAATAATAATAATAATAAAAAATAATAATTTTTATACATCTGCACTGTGGAAACGAGACTGAATAATTTAGAACACAAATTTATATATATATATATATATATATATATATATATATATATATATATATATATATATATATATATATATATATATATATATATATATATATATATATATGAGTGTTCGAAGTGTTTTCGGAGCGCGAGCATTGAAGATGCCAAGTGAGATTTTGGCGAAACGTCTGCAAGATCCAGTCGGAGTTCAACAAGCGAACGGATGATATCCCGGAATATAGTGTCATCATCATATATATATATATATATATATATATATATATATATATATATATATATATATATATATATATATATATATGATGATGATGACACTATATTCCGGGATATCATCCGTTCGCTTGTTGAACTCCGACTGGAATCCTGCAGACGTTTCGCCAAAATCTCACTTGGCGTCTTCAATGCTCGCGCTCCGAAAACACTTCGAACACACACACACACACACACACACACACACACACACACACACACACACACACACACACACACACACACACACACACACACACACACACACACACACACACACACACACACACACACACACACACACACACACACACACACACACACACACACACACACACACACACACACACACACACACACACACACACACACACACACACACACACACACACACACACACACACACACACACACACACACACACACACACACACACACACACACACACACACACACACACACACACACACACACACACACACACACACACACACACACACACACACACACACACACACACACACACACACACACACACACACACACACACACACACACACACACACACACACACACACACACACACACACACACACACACACACACACACACACACACACACACACACACACACACACACACACACACACACACACACACACACACACACACACACACACACACACACACACACACACACACACACACACACACACACACACACACACACACACACACACACACACACACACACACACACACACACACACACACACACACACACACACACACACACACACACACACACACACACACACACACACACACACACACACACACACACACACACACACACACACACACACACACACACACACACACACACACACACACACACACACACACACACACACACACACACACACACACACACACACACACACACACACACACACACACACACACACACACACACACACACACACACACACACACACACACACACACACACACACACACACACACACACACACACACACACACACACACACACACACACACACACACACACACACACACACACACACACACACACACACACACACACACACACACACACACACACACACACACACACACACACACACACACACACACACACACACACACACACACACACACACACACACACACACACACACACACACACACACACACACACACACACACACACACACACACACACACACACACACACACACACACACACACACACACACACACACACACACACACACACACACACACACACACACACACACACACACACACACACACACACACACACACACACACACACACACACACACACACACACACACACACACACACACACACACACACACACACACACACACACACACACACACACACACACACACACACACACACACACACACACACACACACACACACACACACACACACACACACACACACACACACACACACACACACACACACACACACACACACACACACACACACACACACACACACACACACACACACACACACATATATATATATATATATATATATATATATATATATATATATATATATATATTCACGTATTGATTCACGGATGGAAAAATGTGATGACACTATATTCCGGGATATCATCCGTTCGCTCGTTGAACTCCGACTGGAATCCTGCAGTAAAACCAAATACTATATAGCTTGGTCTATAAAATATATAATATTTTATATATTGTAATAATGAATAAATAACAATTTTTATTCGATATTTGCACTGTATAATCAAGACTAAATAATTTAGAACGCAAAGTATAAAAAGTATGCATACAAAAAAATAATAAACTAAAAAAATACTATCTAGCTTCTTCTATAATTAATAGGTGGGCAACGTTGCCAAAATATAGATAAAATAAACGTCTTCAATAAATAGCAATAAAACGCTCCTATAAAACAACTAACGCCATCTATTGCCGAATGTATGATTTTGATCTTTACAGCACATTTCCCGCCAAAATGTTGGTAAGTTTTATTAACAGCTCCCAGTTCTTAATGCACGCGTGCGCATATTTTTAAACCGTATTGATTTGAAAAAAAATATCCAAGACGTTTGATAAACATTTTATTTCTTTAATTAAATTTTGTTTAGAGCTTTCGTTTAAATATATAGGATGAATCACAGTGGTTGCCAGTTTGGACATTAGTAGTAGCGTATTACACAATGAACTTGTTTACATAAAACTATTGCACGTGACATTCGTACTATCTAGCCAAATTTTCATATTTCTCCGAATTGAAATATGGTTGTAATAAAAATTTGATGGGTTATGTTTGGACGAAATAATACCAAAAATAATTGATTTCTCGAAAAATATTACACATAAATTGATAACGAAATGAAAATTCTAATAATATACAATATCGCATCTCTGAAAATATGTATATGTACAGGGTGAGTCAAACGATAGAGTAAACTTCATTATGTCGTTGGTCTCAAGACTTATGAAAAAATGGTAAATACGAAAGTTGTCAAGATTATGATTATGATTAAAATTATTTCTAAGTGTACAGGATGGCTCGAAAAAGTGCGACGAATAAAACATACTTTTTTCTTTAAAATTTCTTAGTAATATTAATAAACGGTGTTCAAAATAAACGGATATATATGTCTATGTCTATTAATAAAAAAAGATTTTTGAAAGGACTTCAAAAGAAAATTTTAAAATAAGCAGTTCCGTTTAAAAAATAAGTGTATGTTTTATGAGTCACCCTTTTTTGAGCCACCCTGTATATTTTAATATAATTATTTATAATGTGTAACCTAACAATACTACAACTTTCATACTTGCTATTTTCTCAGAACTTAACTTCACTCTATCGTTGAATCACCCTGTACATTTGTGGATTCCTTCTTTATTATTATGTGCAATTTTCATTAAAAAAAAAATATCGTCGCTGATAGAAATCCACACTTTTCTAGCAAGTACTTCATTCGTCAATTTTTAGTTGTTTCTTCGGACATGTTACGAACTTTGATCGCTTTAAATCATTTTCATGGCCAAATTAACACTAGACAAGAAAAGTTTTCTTCCGTTTAGACTATTTTTTGTTCTGGAAAGGTTATAATAGGTTTAAATTTTAAATATAAATTTAAGCGTAGAGACAGACCAAAAAATTTTCTTAATAGTTTTAGAATTAAATTTACACAATTATTTAGAAAGAAGTAATTGTAATTTTGGGTGATAGATATCTTTGTGCGTTAAATTTTGGCTACAAATGTGTCCAATTACAAATTTTACCACTATTTAAATGAAATACCAATGAAAAGGAAATATAAAAAAAATCTAATATAAAATTTTAACTTTAGTAAATATTTTTGTTTTATGATTGCCTAATACTGATTAATGTTTTTTTTGAAATATTTACATAAATAAGTTGACCTTTTAAAAAAGTAAAAAAATAAAACCGTGGCATTTGGGGATAGAAAAGAAGATCAAAAGTTTTTGCGTTTTTAAGAACACATCCTAAATGTATTTATAACATATGCATATACAGAGCATACGAAAAAATGTTTGTACTATACGGAAGAAAATTTTTTTTTAATGTTTTCGTAACATTTTTCCATTTTTTACTAGGTATTTTTTTTTTCAACTTCAAAGCAATTTTTTTTTATTTTAGAATTTTTTCCACAAAATTATCTTAAAACAGACATAGTTGCCATATGGCAGACACTGTATTATATAGGATGTTCCAATTACTAAGTCATGGGCCACTATTGCTATCTCGATAACTACAAGAACCACAAGGTTGTCAAATGAGATAAAATGTACATTTTTTGGGGCATATCAAAAATCTGATTTCACATTAAGAACAAAAATATTTTTTTGTATTATTGACGTTCTTCAACTTTTTATTTTTTAATTTGATCAACTTTTTAGTTCTTATGGGACACTCTGTATTATTAGGCTCAACTTCCGTTTAGCTGAGATCAGTTATGGAAAAAATATTTATATAATAATAATAATAATAATATTTATTTGAATCAATTAAAGTATACTATTTAACAACTTATTGTAATGTAAACATTAAATAAATATTATTACAAAAAAACACTTATATTCACTTATATATTTAGCACTTAGTATGATTTTGTAGTAGTACATATTTACGATTTATCCTGTTGTAGTAGCATTTCGATGCCTTTATTAACAGAAAATAAAGTTTTTTTGTGGAAATGCTTTTTAATAATTGATTAGGTTTCATTGGATTGGATGTTTTTTCGCAATTTTATTGTTTATGCGGATATTTAGAATGTAAAATTATTTAAACTTTCTGTGCAACTGAAATGATTTTGAAATAAGAATGTAGTGCATTTAAAAAAAAAATCGTTATATTCGGTAATGTAATTGGTTTCAGCTAAAAAAATTCCTACATTTCTAAATAATAGAAATATTATTACTCCAATAAAAAATGTTATCCTCTAAGTGAGCGCAGAAGGACATACACGTTTTGCTGCAGGAAAAAATTTAAATATAAAAATGCTCAGTTTGTTGTAGAGTTTTTAGGAAAACGTCCAGAACATGCAAAAAGTATAAAAGAATAATGAAATAAATAAATAAATAAATGTATTTTTTTAATGGCCCAATAGCTAAATTTGTCAATTTTAAATAAAAATCTACTGGCTTTTTCAAAAATGTTCAAATGTTCAAATATTTGAGTGATGAGCGATTGTCAAAGACTCATTTTTGTTGAACACCCTGTGTAGTTTTTTACTGTTTTATAAAAAAATATGCTTTTGTAATAAAATTGAAAGCTCCTTCTTTCCAAAAAATTCAAGACGAAAAATTTAGATGACATTTAAGCGAAGTTATACGCATATAAAAAAAAATAGGTTTTTGTAAAACGATCTGTATTTTTGGGTTGACCTGTATATGATTTTTCTGTGCACAGCAAGGACGTGAAGCTGCAACACGAATGCTTGAAGTGTCTAGAGAAGTTCATGAACAACACGACCGGCATAAAATTGTTCTTCCTCAGCGACAAAGGTCACGTGACGGTGGCTAGATGTTTGGACCACGAAAAACCGAACGTGATGATTCAGGCACTGAAGGTAAGAGGGCGCTCGTGTCTTGTACGGTGTGACGTTTGATCTGTTTCATTTTTCTACGCAGATTTTGGCGCCGGTTTGTTTTCTGCAAGAAGGCAACGAAGACGGGGCCAGAAAAGTGCTTTTGGCCGTGACGAAGGTCGCCGAAGAGCAGGACAGAGAAAGATTTCTACCGATAGTCAAAGGCATAACCAAGACGAACAACGCGGATCTACAGGTGAGCAGAATAACATAAATAACATTCGCATGGATTTTTTTGTAGAATGCAATGGGGTAGATAATTTTTGTTATATATTTACTATTTTTGAAAAACAAGTGAATGGTAATTTTCAAGAATCAAGTAATTATTAATGCAACTTTTTGGACCTCCCTCGTATGTCCGCATTCCTTAAACTTTTAGAAGAGGTGAAATAATATTCGCATGGATTTTTTTAGTAGAATGCAATGAGGTAGATAATTTTTGTTATATATTTGCTATTTTTGAAAAACCAGTGAATGATTAATTTTCAAAAATCAAGTAATAATTAATGGAACTAACGACTTTTTGGACCCCTTCGTATTTCCGTATTCCTTAAACTTTTAGTAGAAAAGGTTAAATAACATTCGCATGGAATTTTTTAGTAGAGTGCAATGGGGTAGATAATTTTTGTTATGTATTTATTATTTTTGAAAAACCAGTGAATGGTAATTTTCAAAAGTCAAATAATAATTAATGTAACTAACGACTTTTTGGACTTCCCTCGTGTCTCCGTATTCCTTAAACATTTAGAAAAGGTCAATAACATTCGCATGGATTTTTTTAGTAGAATGCAACGGGGTAGATAATTTTTGTTATATATTGACTATTTTTGAGAAACCAATAAATTATAATTTTCTAAAATTAAGTAATAATAAATGCATCTAAAGATGCTGTTGACGACTTGTTGAACCCTCCTCGCATCTCCGTTTTCCTTAAATTTCTAGAAACGATAAAATAACGTTCTTATGGATTTTTTTAGTAGAATACTATGGGTAGATAAATTTGGATTTACTATTTTTGAGAAACCAGTAAATGATAATTTTCTAAAATTAAATAATAATTAATACAAGTAAAGATGCCGTTAACTACTTTTTGAAACCCCCATGTATCTCCGTTTTTCCTAAACTTCTAGAAACGATAAAATCACATTCTTTTTAGTAGATTCCTTTGGGGTAGATAATTTTTGTTATATATTTACTATTTTTGTAAACCCAATAAATGATAATTTTCTAAAGTTAAGTTATAATTAATTCGTCAAAAGATGCTGTTAACTACTTTTATGAACCCCCTCGTATCTGCGCTTTCCTGACACTTCTAAGAAACTCTAAAATAACATTCTTATGGATTTTTCCGTAGAATACAATGGGGTTGTTAATTCTTGTTTTGTATTTACTATTTTTGAGAAACCAGTAAATGATAATTTTCCAAAATGAAATAATAATTAATCCAACTAAAGATGCCGGTAACTACTTTTTGAACCCCCCTCGTATCTCCCTGTTTCTTAAACTTCTAGAAACGGTAAAATAACATTCTTATGGATTTTTTCAGTAGAATGCAATTGGGTAGATAATTTTTGTTTTATATTTACTATTTTTGAGGAAATAATAGATGATAAATTTCCTAAATCAAAAATAATTAATGCAACTAAAGATACCGACGACTTTTCCATGGCCCTGTGAGTTTTTAACATACAAGGCATTCTCGGAAATGTTGCCTTTTTGGACCTCCCTCTATCTCCGTTATCCTTAAAGTTTCAGAAAAGGTCAACTAACGTTCTTACGGATTTTTTCCTTAGAATACAACGGGGTGGATAATTTTTGTTACATATTAACTTTTTTTGAGAAATCAAACTTATGTTTTTTAATGAAAATTATAATTTTCCAATATTTCTATATGATCAATGAAAAATTTTAGATGTGAAAGGGGACTCAATATTCAATTTTTCACCATAGAATAACGAAAATTGTTATGCTTAAAACGAAAATTTGAATATAAATTTCTTTTAAGAACTTTCGCCTCGTCATAAATGGTCATAAACATGATTCGTTAGGGTGCTGACGTAGCTTAACCAAATCACGTGACTTTGATCACGAAATTTCTTACAAAAGTGGTTTCGAGATCTACCACTACTTTTTGGCTGTGCCAAATAACGTTCCAATGAGACAATTAGATAAATATTTTCCAATTTATTTTGATTAGTTTGATCGTAAAAAGCCGTTATAAGGCTACCACAAGTACCTATTTAAATTATTAGCGTTCCCATCGAAAGTAGATACAGAGTTTAAGTATTCTGGTTTAAAATTGTCTTATACTATTGTTGATAGAAATATTCCGATCTTGGCAACCAGACTATCCTACAGACTGCGCCACTTTTTTAACGCGAAAGTCCCTTTAAAAAGAAAAACTTTATTATATAGAAACAACAGTTTTCTTTCTTCTTCAGTCTTATTTCTGTGGTTGTAGGGACGGCTCGTGACGTAATTCTTGTCAATATTTTAAAATCTAAATCCCTCAAAGGCCTCCATTGTTTGCTAGTTCGTATGGAACTTATAGCTATTTTATTAAAGCAGGGCGAATGCTCGAGAGAGATAAGCAGTGTTTACGCCTAGGAACCGATGACGTCACACTTTTGTAATAACCTTGACCCCTGATGTTCCGATCTCGGCCCCACCCCGTTTTTACGTTCGAATCAGTTACAATGTGTAAAGAAAACAACGTATGCTCGCATTGAATTGTTTTATCTACGTTCAAAATACTTATCACGAATTGATTTTACCACTGGTTGTTTTGCGTGTTCAGTTTCAATTTAAACGCGGTCATAGACGAACGTGCTATTTCGACAGACATTGATATCTCTTAAAATAAAAATTATTCTTACAAAAAAAAAAGTTTCGTGCAAAAGTTTTTTCGACTCTCCTTCATATTTACTCCATATATTTTACATGTATCATTTAGTCTCTGCAGCAGTTTTTGCAGATCTTCAAGATTGTTTGTAGCTGTAATGGTGTCGTCCGCATAACGTAAATTGTTTAAAATCTGTGCGTTTATGGTAACGCCCTTCTGCCGTTTGTCCTTGGCTTCACTGAAAATTGCTGCAAAGAAACATTTTGATCTGGCTACCTCTATGCGACTTTTGATTTCATGAGACTGCTCCATGGTTGTGGGTATAAATTCCACATTTTACACCAAATCTGTGGGTTCTTTGCATTTTTTTAGATTTCCATGCTGCAATTACCTGTTTACCTGCTATTCGTTCGCTCATTTGCAAATTGAGCCTAAGTAAGAAAGGATTTTCCGATTTGGTTATTATTTATTCAACCTCCTGACTGCAATTATGGATTAATACCTACTGACCGGGTTAGGTTTTATTTTCGACGGTCGTTTAGAGGGGCGCCAAACAGTCGCCCTATCCCCCCCCCTTACTTAAATTTTAATACTCTCGATTATCCGAGCCGTACACAAAATGACAAGCGCGCATTTTTAAGCCCATCACACACGCCCGAACAAGTTGCAACAACTAGCGGCTCGACAAGTCACGCTCTTTGCGGTGTTTTATCCAATGGACAAAAGTCAAAATTATAAACATTTTTTTTTACAAATAATAACAATAGTAAATAAAATTTCTTACAGGAAATTAAATAAAAAATAAAAAAGTACATAAAATTGTACCTCATTTATTATTTGTTTTACAAAAAATATTTCAATTTTCTAGGAACACCATTGATGTAGTATATATTAGGTGTTTCACGATTGATGGTACCTTTGACGTTTACGGCCAACGGTGATTGTTCTCAACGTTTGGATAATTAGACAAAATAATTATTTTCTTCATTTTTCCGAACAAAATATGGTGCCATTATTTCTTAATATCGAAATTCGTTGTATATCATACAGGGTCGGTCAACTGGCGAAAAGTCTATATATTCTACGAGGAAATTAAATTCCCTTTCGAATGGGCAGCGTTCTAGCACTTGTATGGCAACAAACGGCATATTGTTTGTGATAGACAAATGTTTAAAAGGAAATATTTCAAAAAGTGAAAATTATAGGCATGTATGCAAATATGACAAAATTATAAAAAAAGTAGTTTCCATTGAAATTTTTTTTTTCAGTTTTTCATTTTTAATCTTATTATTCGTGTACCCCGTATTATTATGTATCGAAGTTTCTTATGAAATCCGTTATTTGAGTCCTTTCTCTACAACAAAACTTACTCAGGTATAGGACATTATATAGTACATTGTATAGTAAGTAATATACTGGGCTTCCATTTCAAATAAGAGAATTGATATTCTCCCACGAAAAATTAAACACACTGTATATACCAAACTAAAATAAATTGAAGGTTTGTAATACCCCAACTAACTTTTGTATTATCGATAGAAAAATAGTTACTAATCAGTAAGTTTTTTGTTTATTAAATACTTTTTAATAAATAATTATAATTATTATCTCGGACGACACAAGAAAGTGAGAACACTCTATAACTTTTAAACGGCTTGAGATAGCGATTTCAAAATAATATAGGCTGAATGTCCAATTTTTTGACAATATGTAGTCATCGGTTGCACTTGTTGGTTGTAAATGAAACTAACTAAAACTATTAAATTTTTAGGATAACCTAGTTTTTTCAAATAGCACCCTAAGGGGAACAAGAAGTTTTTATAATCGGTACTTTTTTCGCAACATTTTGACACCAACATTTTCAAAATCAAACAACAAAAAACAGATAAGTAAATACATTTTTATAAAAACAAAATATGATTCAAGTGGCTTTGCTTATAATCATTATTAATTGTCAAGTGTCTTGTCCCACCATCCCCTCCTCAACGTGGATCTTTGCGACTTGCTCGAGCGTGCGTGGCCCCCTTTAAATTCAAAACGCGACTCGAAATTCGACCGTGCCGGATAAAAAACGCGACAATGCGAAAAAAATAAGGCCCATTTATCTCGACACACAACTAAGAATAATAATAATAATAACCGTTTCGGTCAACATATGCGACATTGAAGTGCGATCCCGTAGTTTATAAAAATATTTACCGCGAGAGAGAAAGGGAGAGAGATAATGTGATAATTTATGCTGGAACGATCGTAAACGGCATTCGATTTTAATCGTCATTCGAAATTTTCGGTGGAAGAACCGCCCTTTCGGGATGTCGAGTTTTTTCCTGCTGTTCTTGTCGCTGGGAGTTTGTGAACACGGTGGTGTCGAATCCGACGTCGTTTTGTTTGTTTGTTAAGTTTTGTTTAGTTTTTTTTTGTTTTTCGTTATTGCTAGTTCGCGTTTGGTTTTCGAGGAATTGTTTTTATCGTTTCCTCGATGATAATGCCCGGGAAGAGGACGGCGATGTCTAAACTGTCAAAGTGGACGAGGAAAAGGATACTCGGCTTTTTGGTAATGATGATTATCGCGACGCGACTCAAATAAGGATTGTGCTTTTGTCGATCGAACATTTTTTTTTTCGCGGAAGGAATCCATCCCTTAAATGCTTTGGGTTTTAAATGTTTGTTTGAATCTAAAGATGTGTTTAATAGAATATCTCAGTAAAATCAGTAAAAATAGGACATTTTTATATGATTTCAATGAGTGCTGTAACTGACTGCATCAAAAATAAGAATTGTAAATAATCATCTCCAGTTAACTTTTGACATCACACCATACATTAACTGATTGGTACCCCTGGGTTTTTAATTCGTGTATTTGTCTAGGATTATTTAAAGTCCGATATTTTCTATTACAATACTTTCTTGTAATGAACGCACTTTGATCAGTACATAAAATGTTTTTCAAAAAATTATTATTCTCATTAAAACATCCAAACAAATCTGCATCCTCCTTTGACATTGTTCTGCACTTAGTTTTGGTTAGTTAGTAGTTATATTTATATTGTTTCCTAATATGTTTGCCTTATTTTCTTCATTTGAAACATTATGATTCCGGCATACCTATTTAGCGTTTAATACGTTACCGTTTTCTGCCAATTTTCTTTGCAGCATTGGAAATATCTATTTTGAAAGAGCTCGGCGCTCTAGATAAAGTCTAACATACTGACGACGAGCTGCGGTTGCACTTTTATTATTCAGAAATTATGCTTGAAGCATATCATTCCTTTCACGAATGCTAAATTCGCGAAAATCCATTTTAACAATAATAACTTGGATAATAATTCAACCATCAACTTAGTTTACTAATATGTCAAACATAAACAGATTTTTATTTTTCAGTCAGGGCACTCTTTGAAATTATATAAAAATTTCCTGTTTTGCCGGCTTGTCAAAAACACATATCTATAATATACAGTGTGTTCCATTTAAAAATATATGATATAGGTTTATATGTCAGAAAATTGATACTGTTTGGTTTTAACCATCGCATGGGAAAAAAGTGACCCTACATTTTGTTTCTGAAACTTAAATCCTTCCTTTTTTTAATCCAATAGTAGGATTCACTTCCTGATTTCGATTAGATTCCTCACTTTTGGGTCCAATAGTCCAATAGTTTCCTCAATTTTCCAATATGTTTACTATAAACTAAAGTATGTATTGTAAGTATTGAACATTAAAAAAAAAAACAGTTGAATTTTCGTAAACATTTCCACTTTACCGTACCAAATAAAACGCAAATTTATTATTTACGATAAATTGGTACTGTTTGCCTTTATTACTTTTGTGCAAGGGCATATTGCATATTATCACTTATTTTTATGGTTCAATCACTAACTCAGTCGTCCATTAATTGTTGGAGGCTAACTAAAACTACTGACGAATTTAAGAAGTAAAATTTAAAAAACAACCAAAGATTCTCTTTTTGACACCAGCATTTCGTTTCTAAGTGTTGTGGAAAGCAAATTTTGTTATTATCGGACCAAACGCTACCCATCTTTCATGCTGTTACTGGACGCCGCTCAAGGACAAGGAAAAGGATACTCGGCTTTTTGGTAATAACAATTATTAGCGATTACCGCGACTCGACTCAAATAAGGATTGTAAAACCGATGTTTTCGCTCCGAATTTTGAATGTTTTTCCCCACATAAAACCACAAACATTTTGCTACGGAAATATGTCGTCTCCATTTTACAAAGGAAATTGCTTTTTGCTTTGGATTTTAAATGTGTTTTTTTTTATACAAAGGTGCAACAATTTTAATGCCTAAATATAAATATGCATCTTTTGTTTATTAATTTATTGAAATAAAAACACTATGCATAATAACTTCTAATTCTTCTTATTAATAATAAGCGAAAAGAAATGTTATTTTAAAAAAATATAAAATCGCGTTTGCAAGGGTCTAAGAAAAAGAAAACTTTTTTATGAAACCGAAAAAATTGAACGAAAAGACGCAGAAGATTCGGCTCTATAAATATTTATTCCTGACCATTTTTCAAAAATATACAGGGTGTGCCGCAAATTCAAAAAAAAAACTGAAAAATGAGTTCCTCTATTATTGAAAATTAGCCATAACCGAAAGTATGTCAGTTTCTTTTACGTGACTATATACCGCGTACAGACAGCTAAATCTTTTGTATTTAAGGTTTTCACCAATTGTACAAGGTGTTCCCGATATTCCGTGCTAAATAAGAAATATATTAGGTGTCCAAAATTTGCAGATACCAACTTCAAATTTAGTTAAGAAGTAAAAGTCCGTACCCACATCCAAACAGTAGAAGTCGGGTGCTATCAAATATCAGCAAGTAATTTTTTTTTAATTTTGATTTTTTTAAAATTTTTTTGGCTTCAAAACCATTCACCCGATCAGCAAACTTTTGAAACCGTAAAACGCGGAACATCTCTGGCTATAATTTTCGATTCATGCATTTTTTCGATTATATACAGGGTGTTCTAGTTATGCACAAAAATCTAAAAGACCCTAAAAATCGGTTCAAACAGTCTTATAGGTCGCATCAAGAGTTACAATTTTTGTATTTAGTTTTTTCGCTTAACACACACGCTTCTCGGGATATTTCAAAACGTCACAAAAGGGTTATTTTCTCGAAAACCATTCACTCGATTGGAAAAATTCGTGTACCAGGAAACGTGGGAGATCCAGGGCTATAACTTCTACTTCGAATATTTTTTAAATTATATACAGGGTGTTCCGTTTATTGGCCAAAAATTTTTAACATGCCTGAAAATTTTAATTTTTGTAGCTAAATTATTGGCTGTAAATGAAAAAGGTAAAAAGATAAGATAATTTGATTTAAGCAGTATCCTAAACTGTGTCGAGAGCTACACTTATCCGATTTACAGTTCTGGTCAATTATACAGGGTATGGTCTGTTCATAGATATAAGAAAGTGACAAATTGCTTTTGAATGGGATTATCCAAGGGTAGTCATTAACATACAATGCAACAAGATTTTTACCTAAAGTTTCGGAATTTAAATTCAGGTAAAATTGTGGTCCGTAAGAGAAAATCATTTTATACCTACCTGTGTTTAATATTCTTTGGTTTGATATACTACTTAGTTTAATTTTATTAGTAATCGTTCTTATTTCGTGCGTAATACAGCGTGTGTTGAATCGTGTGCCAATTATGCAAATACGTACGAGTCTAGTGTATCTCAGGAGATGCTCCCGCCCAAATGTAGAAAACACTATTCTATTGAGACTAAGGTAGATATCTTAATCAGGAGGCTTGAAAAAAAAGAAACCGGTGTTAAATGTGGCAGAACTACCTTATGGAAGTGTATTCAACACATGGGTTTTAAATTTAAAAAAATTGACAAAAGGCAAGTTTTAATGGAATATTTTGGAATGGCGACTGGAATATCTAGAAAAAATTAGGATTTACAGAGAACAACAAAGGCCAAGTATTTACTGGGATGAAACCTGGTTCGACGCTTATGATACCCCGGAAAAGGGTTGGGTTCACTCAGCTGATAAGTATAAAACAAACGCGTCATCAAAAAGAGGTAAAGGAATAACTATTTTGCATGCTGGCTCTAAAGATGGTTGGATTCTAAATGGACTTTCTCTGTCTGCGAAAAATATTAAAGATTCTTCTCCGGATTGGTTGGTTTAAAAACAAACTAGTTCCAAATATTCATCCTAATAGCGTAATTGTAATGGACAATGCAAGTTATCACAGTAGACAGTTGACTTAAACCCCTTCCTCATATGACATAAAAGCAACAATTCAAAACTACATATATAACAACGACATTTATTTTCACGAAGATTATACCAAAAAGCAATTAATTGAGGTTCTACAAAGCTTGAACCTACAAAAGGAATACGTCTGCCGTAATTATGCAAAAAATCTAGGGCATACATTTTTAAAGGTTCCACCTTACCACTGTATATTTAATCCCATTGAACATGTTTGGCACCAACTGAAATCTGCCATTCGTCGTAACAATGTTTTTCCCCGTGTTAACTCCAATGTCGTCAAACTTATAGAAACCGAAGTTTTTAACATCCCTTCGCAAAGTTGGACGAATTCTGTTAAACATATAGAAAAAGCAGAACAATCGTATATCCATATTGCAAATAATATAGAACAATTAATAATTAGAACGGGCGATGATAGATATATTATGTGAACAATTTTAAGTAATTTAAGTAGGTAATAAAAATAATTTGTAATTTTATTTTAGATTTAAACATATACATACATAAATAAATAAATATTGTTTAGTATCTTTCCTAACAAAACCCCAAATAATTAAATTCTAAACAAAGTATGGAAGTGTTCGGCCATATTTCATTCTTACAGCTTGCCCGGGTCTTTTCTTAATTCGTATCAGTTAGTCACTTTCTTATATCTATGAACAGACTTTACGCGAGATATTTCAGTAAAAATTTCATTTTAAATCGTTATTACTGGTACAAATTTTTATATTTACCAATGTTTGCCACGAATTTGAATTTTGGCCTCGCATAGCGGCTTCGTAGACTGCGTAGCGCGTAGCAGTCGCCTCGCGCAGAGAGATCAATCTTGTTATTAATTAATTGATAATCAACTCAATGATAAATTAATTATACCATTGAAAAAAGCTGCAACATTGTGTTTTATATTGCAGAGCATGTGTTTTCAATTCATCAACGCCCTATTGTCGGAGACCGAGGATTTCGAGTTCCGTATGCATCTGAGGAACGAGATAGTGAGAAACGGACTCTACGATAAACTCCGTAAGTTTTTTCATTTCGCCGCGCGATTCGCTCAGGTTTTCGGTAAAAATCGGTTTTCCAGTGGAACTGAAGAACGAAACGAATCCGATAATCAAAACCCAGTTCGAAATCTTTGAACGGGACAAGGAGGCCGACGCTGACGAGCTCCACGAACGCTTCGACAAGGTGAGGATAGACACGGACGACATCCAAGATTGTTTCGAAGTGCTGAAGAACATGACGTTGGAGACATCGTGCGAGCCTTATTTCTTGAGCGTGCTGCAGCATTTGTTGTTCATCAGGGACGACGTTAATATCAGGTAAATTTAGTCCCGTTATACGATACAATGCGATAAAACAACTTTTAAGACGTCACATTTCGCGCAAAAGAGCATAAAAATGAGCTTAGCGGGTCAAATTCGCCATACGTCGTGACGTCAGTGCTCGTATTGAGGCAACTTTCTCGCCACATAGTAACTGTCGTATTGAGAATGGCGAAGCGTAGAACACTGACGCGTTACCGGGATCTGTATTACCGGCAACATTCACAGAGTATAAAAATTAAAATTACATTGCTACTTAACCAAACATTTGTATGTGTAATATTAAGTACGGCTAGATTTGCAGCAAATTTATACTGAAATTGCCCTTTTTGCCCTGCTTATCCATTAATTATCCATAGCTCTTCTAACTGTTTGGATCCAATGTTTGCACATTCACTATCTCACAGTATTCAGTCATGATACGAGGTTAGCGCCAAAATTTCCCGGCCTGACAGACGCAGCTCCAGTATCACGATAAAACTTTGTCCTCTTTTAAATATATATCTTAGTCGGCAGCGAAAAAAAAATTGAAGTCTTGCTTCAAATAGTTTTTTATTGATAGCAGTTTAAACAAGACCTGTCCGCAAATAAAGTATATGAGTATAGAACAGTCATAAAGTTTTTTACAAAAGAACGGTTAGCACCTAAAATTATTAAAGAAAGGCTGGATGGTGTGTACAGCCAAAGTTCTCCTTCGTATTCTGTAGTGAAAGAATGGGCAAAACGTTTTCGAATGGGGTAGGAGTCCCTTGAAGGTCATTCAAGAACTGCTCGACCAGTGGAGGTCATAATGGAAGATATTGTTGCGATTGCGAAAGAAGTGGTATTGAATATCGACATTTAAAGGTCAAAGAAATCATTTAGGTATGCATAAGGTTAGTGCAAGATGGGTTCCTAAAAACCTTTCGGCTGTTTAAAAACAACGCGAGTGTGCACGGTCTCTTTTGGAACTCTGTGGGTCGGAACCGAAGCCTGTGATAGAAACTATTGTGACGAGAGATCAGACTATAGTTATCTATTATGACCCTCTAACGAAAAAAGAATCAATGGAGTGGAGTCGTAAGGATGTAGCACCTCCTTTTCTTTTGATAGATAGAGATATTTTAAAGAAATCAATGGTAAATATTACGCAACATTATTACCTACACCTGTTCATACTGGTGTTGCACAAGCTGTCATTTTAGAGTGTGGGTTCCAACATATAGATCATCCTCCTTAAAGTCCAGATATGGCCCCCAGCGACTATTATTTGTTTGGATATTTGAAAAAGGACTTACGTGGACGACGGTTTAACGACGAAGTTGAGTTAAAAGAGACTGTTTTAGCTCATTTTGCACACAAACGGAAAGAATATTTTTTTAAAGGGATTGAGTTGTTAATAAAGATATGTAATAAGTGTGTTGAAGTTAAGGGGGATTATATTGAAAAATAATAAAAAATTGTTACTTTACTTTGTTTCTTTCATATTCAGGCCGGGAAATTTTGGCGCTGCCCTAGTATTTCTTATGAATTCTGCGGTATATCCAGATTTCAAATGATTCTAACTTGTTAATGGCAGTTACTAATCTTAGCGTCCAACTCTTCACACTATATACTAGTAATAACCAAATGCAAGATCCAACATATCTCACTCATACACCAAGGTAAAACTCAGTCTCCTCTTCAAATGACCATCCCTCATGTTCCCAGGTATTTAATTTTTTGTACTTGTTCTAATAGTCTTTCTTTATCATTTAAGCGGGAGTCTTCTGAACTCATCTATATCTCGTGACAACCATGAATTTTGTCCGCTGTCTCACATGACGCAGCCATGACATATCTTATGTTTTCTGCCATATATCCATATCTCGAATGCTTATAACTTGTTAATGGTACTTCCTCTTATCGTAACTCTCTGCACTGTATAGGAGTACTCGCTCAAGGCAGCATCCAACAAATCACAATCAAAGACCAAGTTCAAAATAGCAACAAGTGAATTTTGCACTCAGACTTCTTAGGTTAAATGACTATTCCTCATGTAGCTGTGATCTTAGATACTTAATGTTGTGTAATAGGTTTAATAGTCTCCAGTCATCAGCACTCCATATGTTATTTATCCAAACTCCATTGACTCTAATTCCAATTCGAGCGATTCTTGAAAGATGGACTCGGAGTATGGATCTCTCAATAGCATTACTCCTCTACGAATGCAGATATGATTGGTTAGATCTCAAGCTATTCTAACTTGTGCTGGTTGGTGCTAATTTGAATTTTCGATACACCTTGTCTTTTTGACCTAAACGAAGTTACCTGAGTGTGCATATGTTCATGACTTATTTTATCGAGAGCTTTTTCATAGTCTCTATAAAACAAACGTACGTTCTTCCACTGGTCATAGCACTTTTGTATTAATACCTTTCGGACATGCAGTACACTGATATAAACTGTTTTTCCTTAAAATAATCCAAGGATCTTTTCTTATTCTTGTTTTGACTCATGGCGTTCATTTTAGGCCAGCTTACTTTAAAATTATAGAAGAGGTGGTGTCGCAAATAGTTTTGCAAAAGTCAGGGCTGGACCCGGACTTCAAAAGAAACCACCTGGATATAGATCTTCAGCCGCTTTTAGACGAACTGAAAGGTACGTTGGACTATATTTCCCCCCATCCCCCCCCCCTATATTTTGCCCAAACTTTTTGTTTTATATATATTCAGAAAGACCGCCGTCGGTGGACTCGGGCAAAGTGCTAGAGCTGCAGAAGCAGCTCGAGGAAGTATTGGCGGCGAAGGCTGAAGCGGAGGCGAAGCTCGAATTGCTCCAGGGTCGGACTGGTAACTCCGAAGGCGGAAAACTGGATCCGTCACTGGTCGGAAAGGTTAATCTGCCGCCTCCTCCTCCGCCGATGCCCGGAATGGGAGGGCCGCCCCCACCACCGATGCCCGGAATGGGCGGTCCTCCCCCACCACCGATGCCCGGAATGGGAGGGCCTCCCGCACCGCCGATGCCCGGAATGGGAGGGCCGCCCCCACCACCGATGCCCGGAATGGGACGGCCGCCCCCGCCACCGATGCCAGGAGTGGGCGGCCCCCTACCTCCGCCTATGCCAGGTGAGATATTACATCGTTCTTCTTCTGGCTGTGTGTAAGAAATTGTTGGAAGATGTTTTGAAAAAGTAAGTTAGGGGTTATGGACCAGGGAACTATTTCATGTGTGATCTGTATCTCAATAGGTCTTACCATCTGTTCTGACCTGAGTATTCTCTGAGTTACAGATTTTTTTCTTTTTTGAAAGTGATAGAAGCCCCCTGCAGACAGTTTTTGCAGCCAACCTTTGTGGTTGCCTGTCCTCTGTATTCATTTATATTGCGCCTTTGGAGGTCTCCTCTAGCATTGTCGAAATAGAATTGAATAGATTCGTGATTGAACGCCTCCTCGATGTAAATGTCATCCAGGGCTAGAACTGTTGATTTCTGTCACATATTGTCCCTGAGGTACCTATACACTAGCCTTTCTAGGGTCTTCAGAATAGGTGTAGGTGAGGTGTATAGGTGAGGCAATATAATTTCGTTCCTTTTTGCATTAATGTTTGGTTTATTTTATCCACACCATCTAACTTCTCATGGAATTTCTTACGAATGTGGCCTTTATTTTAACCAAGGATTTAAAAAATATCTACATATACAGGGTGTCCCATTTAAAATAACAAATATGATAACGGGGGGACACTTTGGGGACATCCTGTATCAACACAATTATAATATTTTGAATCTTCAGTAGAGTCCAAGAAACTTTTGTACAAAACTTTTTTTATGTACATTTTTTATCGAAATAATTGAAATTGAAATCACCACAAATATAACTCCAAGTTTCTCCCCATTGTTGCTCATTGCAATTTTGTGCTGTAGTAAGTAATGTTTGATTAGGAAAATTGCCTCCACCCCCGCCCGGCATGGGTATGCCTCCGATGCCACCCGGCATGGTACCATTGCCCGGTATGGCCCCCCCGGGCGTCTTACCCTACGGCCTGAAGCCGAAGAAAAAGTGGGAAGTGAAGGGACCGTTGAAGAAGGCGAATTGGAAAGCTGTACGTGTTTTTGTGATGTTTAAATAGGGTTTACTTCACGGCGAACAAGTTTTTTTTTGTAGATCGTGCCCCAAAAACTATCGGAAAAGTCGTTCTGGGTGAAAGCGAAGGAGGAGGAGCTGGCGGAGCCCGACATCCTCGATGGTTTGGCCAAGAAGTTCTCCACGAAGCCTCTCAAGTCTACAGAAGACGATACGGATAGGTGAGTATACTCTTTTTATTTATTAATTATTATTTCACTATTTGGCGGATGCGCCTGTATAATACCCGTACGGTATATAGCTATGGAACCAATGGATTTGCAGAAATATTCTCTCGCATACTTTTTTCTTGTGCATTTTTTGCGCGAAATAGAAAATATACAGGGTGTGTCAAAAAGCAAATATCGATACCGACTTCATTTTTTAAAGTTGTAACAAATTACAAAATTCTTCTTGAGTTCGCGTCATATCTCATGTCACTTGTTTTTTATTCTTTTGCCTATAAAAATTAATTGATAGGGTGAGTTGAAATCATTCTACACCTATAGTGCATACAGGGTGTTATTCAAATGATATCATGCCAAATCGATATTTTGTTCGGTTTAAATTATATTCAGAAAAAGCTAATTTTCTTAACCTTATATCCGGTCCTGCAGGACAATTATGGCTGCAACGGGACGTATTAAATTAAAATTTCAATGGTTCGATTTTATTCAGATGCCCAATAATATTATGGAGACTTTTTAATATCACAAGGCATATATGTTTATGCAAACATATTTATAACGTCTTTTGTCATTGTATTTGGTCACCGTGCCATCTATATATAATTTGGAGTTTGGTGTTTAGTATGGGATGGATATAGTTCAGAGTTATTTGAAAGTGTTTGTTTGGATCCATGTTTAAAAACTATTTGGTTTTTGTAATATATTCGATAGCTATGACTGTCTTGCTTCATCTGCTCTTATAAATACTATATTATTTTGGAAAACCTTATTTTTTATTGATTTTATCTTGGGGATATATGAGAGATCTTGTAATCTACTGTTAGTTGAGCTTTTATTAAAGTTTAAAAGTTGAAATCTATGATTTTAAAAAAAATTATGATTTGAAAAATTTGAAATGACTGGCTGCTTTTTAGTGTGTTTTATTAAATTGTACAACTTGGATTTTTTGTGTTAAATATTTTTTTTTCACTAGTTTTTGATATATCAGTTCAGATTGTAATCAGATCTAGTAAATCAAATTCTATGAGATTCAGAAGAATACATAAATCCAATCTTTCTTGCTATAATCTCTTTGTTCTTTTTTTCATACATTTTGTCGGACTTTGGAGTTGGAGGTTTTTCCTGCAGCGGGACTGTTCAAAAATATTCAAAATTGTATATTATTGTATTTTGTATATTTGATAAAGGCGCAGTGTTGCAGAAACAGAACCCATAAATAAACTGTGAAAATCTGAACATTTTTTTGTTCGAATTTAATTGTATTAAATGGATTATGAACAAGTAAAAGCCTCCTCACTTCAATTACAAAGAATTGTTTTCATTCAGATTAATATTTCATAATTTTAAAGAAATTTCAAGTGAGAGATGGAAAAAATCAGAGACACGTTTATTATTTTTCCAAAGATGGGTTTCAGATCTGGCGATTGGGATGGCCGTTCAAGTGCAGTTATGTACAGCAACGGTTTCTGTTCTTCTAAAAACCACTGATTCACTCTTTGTATTGAAATCGTTCCATTTTACCCTGTGATTGGATGGTTTGCCCCATCCCAGATCGTGAAAAACATTCTTGGGTCACTGTTGTGTACGTTATGTAATATAATACTTGGAAAACGGTGTTTTTCCGTTCGTTAGGATCAGCAACAGCGGCACATTAAAGAAAGTGAAAGAGCTGAAGGTTTTGGACGGTAAAACGGCGCAAAATATCAGTATTTTGTTAAACGGTAGCTTGAAGCACATGGCTTACGATGACATAAAGCGGGCGCTTCTCAGGTGCGACGAGAACGTTCTAACGGAGAACGTCACGCAGCAGTTAATTCAGGTAAGGATCTCTTGCGCGTTTTAAGCCGTTACGTCGTGACGCATGACGTTTCAGTATTTACCCCCGGCCGATCAACTGGCAAAACTTCAAAGTCTGAAAGACTCTTACAAGGAACTCACGGAGGCCGAACAGTTTTGCGTGAAAATGTCGGAAGTGAAGCGGCTACTTCCCAGATTGAAGTCGCTGAGTTTCAAGCACCATTACGTGGAAATGGTTAACGATACAAAACCGGTGAGTAATGCATAAATATAAGACAGTATGTCTTTATGTCAAAATTATTTGCTATCACATACTCCTACCTCTGTCTGAGCAATCAAAAATAGCTTTGGTTAGTGGAACCAAGATTTCTAAATTTAAAATAAAACTGATGATCCCCGATATATATTTTACTGTAAAAAAATAAATTAAAAATATAAAATAAATAAACTCAAACCAAAAAATTATTCTACCCTCTAAAAAAGTACAAAAGGGAACATAAATTAAAACATCATTCTCATAGTCATATCTAATACATATCTAAAATAAACAAAATAATATAAAAATTATAATTTTAATTTTGCATAAAAACATATAGCTTAAATTTCGTTTAAAGCTGTCAAATTTTTCTCATTTTGCATAAATCGCTTTAAAACGTGCCAACTAGGTAATCAAGCCAAAAAAATTATATTATAAATATTAAATGCAATGCAACTTGAATAAGACAGAACTACCAATATTGCTGATCGATAACCTTGTTAACTTAATACTTCAAAACCATAGAACCAGAGTACCGTTTATTGACAACCAACGTAGGCAAAATATTCTTCAACGAGAAATTCGTAGTAAATGTGTCGAAGGCAAGGACGATTGGTGGAATGCTAGGTTCTAAGAAATGGAAGAACTGCAAAAAAATATATGATGATTTCAATTTGCACAAGAAAGTATGAGTATAAAAATTTGATAAAAACGACAACACACTCGTAACCGATATTAATAAGAAATTAACACAAGCCCAACCATATTTAGTAAGGAGAAAATACGAGACATTCATCCATCAATAAAGCTGCTAAAACTGCAGGAACCTATAATGTTTATTGTAGACCTATTCAAACTAACAGAAAAATGTTTAAAAATATATATGACTCCTGAAGAAGAAAATTGAATTTTTCAAAGAAACTTCCAGGCTACTGTAATACTATTTACAAAACCTCTGGATTCCCTCTGCGTCGATTTTTGTTGAGTCGAACTTGCTAACGTTTCGCCAACCATCCTGTTGGCTTCTTCATAGCTTGACCGAAACTGGCTCGAATTTTACTCTGTACCTGCCTATGTATTGTTTGAGGGGGGCGGAGCAAATTTTTGAACGAACGTCGGAAACAGCTACGGATTCTCCACTATCACCAATCATCGCGAATATATCCATCTAAAACCAAAATTAAGGAAACGCTACGTCAATAATACTTTTGTTATTTGTCCTCATGGTCAAGAAACCCTAGTAGATTTTTTTAGACATTTCCATCACAAAATGCAATTCACCACAATCGTCCAATAGCAATGAGGCAATGTTGTCCTTCCTTACATTCAAGACATCACTGACCGCATATCAAAAGTTCCAAAGAAATATAACTCTCAACATCTTCGATCCAATATGGGAATCAGTCATCCGGGACGATGTTTATGCCCCTTAATTAGCTCCGCCCCCCTCGAACCGTATGTAAGCAGGTACATAGTACAATGCGAGCCAGTTTCAGTCACAAGCTCTGAAGAAGCCAACAGCATGATTGACGAAATGTTAGCAAGTTCGACTTAACAAAAACCGACGTAGGAGGAATCCAAAAGTTTTGTAAACAGTAAGGAAGATTGGATGAAATCTACGTTTATCACGCTTCCAAAAAAGTCTAATGGTAAAAGATGCTTCCAATTCTGCACCATAAGACTTATGAGTCATACATTCAAAATTCAATTTGGATTCAGAAGTATACTTGATGCTCTTTTTAGGTTTTGAATCAGAGATGCCTTAACATAAGTAAGCCGATATAAATGTGTTTTATAATTTATGAAAAGACATGAGATAATGTGCACCATTCAAACATGTTGGAACCCTTTAGTAACGTCAGGCTTCCTGTAGAAGAACAATTCACTTAAGAAATAGAGGGGTGTGAAACAGAGTTGTGTACTCTCCCCATTGTTGTTTAATGTTTATTCAGAATTTATAATGACGGAAGAATTTATGGTCGTTAGTATAAAAGTGATAATGTTTTCATAATGCGCTTAAGTAAACATATTGAACGGGTAGACAATTCATATTGAAAAAGCCTGAAATGCAATTATTAGAGTGAGACAATTCCTGCTACAAAAATGCACTTAAGAAGCTGAGAAGGACGTGATAGTGAATCTCTTTCTAGGAAAACCCTCAATTCAAGGTAAGTCCTTCTTCCTGCTGTTGTTCTTCTGAGATCAGGTTCTACCGTGTACTTCCATATTTATTATTATTTTTCTTTTTTTTTCGAAGACTATAGTTGCATAAGCTTGAACCATTCTCATGTCCCAATAAACTGCAATAATTGCATTCTCTATGTTGGTAATTTTTGTAGCAGTTTTTTTGTTGCCAACTGAAAATTTACATTTGGACGTAATAAAATTGGATTATAAAAATTAATTAAAAAATCGCGTAAAGGTAAATTTCTTTCTCATTTTACGAGCGTCTTTTGGATGTGGTCACCGGAATAATCAAAATAAAAATAACATTAGAAATTAGAAGTTACAAACAACTAGAGAGAATACACGACAAATATTGTATCACAAAGTACTAAACAAGTGTAGACGGAATCAAATCATACTGAAAAAGGGCCAGAAATTCCTGATATCGCTGACACCATCGTTCAAAATGAAATAACGCGATATTGACAGTAGTTACGAAGGTGGCGACAAGCGGTCGTAGTGGGAACTACAATAAATGTGTTCTTCTAAAATGTAAGATAAGATACCAACCAACGAAAAATCTGAGAGTCTATTTTAGCAACCCTAATAAGCAACCTAACAATTTGAACCGCGACTCAGGTCTTTATCTATCAGCAATATGGTCATCCGAGACGGTGTTTATGCCCCTCATTTAGCTCCGCTCCCCTCAAACAATGTGTAAGCAGGTACAGAGTAAAATGCAAACCAATTTCAGTCAAGCTCTGAAGAAGCCAACAGGATGATTGGCGAAACGTTGTCAAGTTCGAGTCAACAAAAACCGACGCAGGAGACATCCAGAAGTTTCGTAAAAAGTATTACGGTAGCCTGTGAAAGAAACGTTCGCTGTATCTAGATATCACTGAAACTACTCTTCTAACTCTCCAATTATCAGATGTACCCGTGCTTATAACAGGGTAGAGAACGCGTTTCCGTATCTTGACCTATCTGCTCTGAGCTTTGAAGCTTTTAAACGACATTTAAGACGGTATACCAATTAACATACTGTAATAAAAAGCTGTGATTAGTTCTTAATTATATTTAGCTTGTAAAAAATAATTGGACAGCCGTGTCTGTCTGTAGGAAAGACTTAATAAATAAAATAAAATTAATGAGCACTTGCATATTATAATAATTTTGTCAAGTAATCTGTTATAACGACAATATAGTTAATAAGTGTGGATGGAATGAAATCACTTTTAAAAAAAGCAATTCCTGAAATCCTAACACCCCCTTCAAAACGATCGAGATTCGTGACAGTTGTTGCGACGCTAGCGACAAGGCGGTCGTAGCCCAAACCACAAATTGAAGTTTATCTGTGGTTGCGTTGCAGGATATCGTGGCCGCCACCGCCGCCTGCGACGAGGTGAAAAAGAGCAAAAAGTTCGCCAGAATCTTGGAGCTCATTCTCCTGATGGGCAACTACATGAACTCCGGTAGCAGGAACGGCGGCGTGTACGGCTTCGAGATGAGTTTCCTCACCAAGGTAAGAAAAATAATAACAATAATAATAAATGATCTTTATTTCAAAGCATAATTACATTGAAATTTACAGCGGTTGCCTTACATGTTTTGATTAAATCTATAGTATTCTTCCACACAAGATGGTTCTGTATCTATGAGTAAATTAAAAATTATTTTTTTTTAACATTTTTAAATCTCTAATATTATAACTATTATAACACCTGATAATACGCACCGTTCTCACTCATAGTCAGTCTGTGACTGAGATATGTGTAACTCATGGTTCTTGTCCTATTAAACTTCCTGAGACAAACTCATTTCAAAAAGGCGTCTCTTTTTAAAGACGAACAGTGTACTCTCTTGTATGAAGATTGCTGCTAGAATTAAAAATTTATTTTCCTTAAATTTTCCCCTGCACGACTCTCAAAAGTTTAACTGCAATATAGTTCGCAAGGGCTCTCTTTTAGCAAATAAAAATTCTTTGTACGTCTCTGTAATTTCCATATATAACAAAATTGCTTTCGAAAAATCGTCGCTGGGCGGGGCAAGTTCGTAGCGCATAGCGCGAACCAGCTTTTTATTATAAAAGGAAAGGCGTGTGGTAGAGGGGGCGCATTGTTTTTCTATCGTGCTCTCGCGGACCACTATGGAACTTTCGCAAAATCGATACAATTTAATTGTACATGTATAAACTTTGTTAAATATTTAAATTTGTACAAATAATAGCGTTGTCGAATGTTTTTTTTTTCAAATATCTCGCGCGGCCTGTATAGTTCACGAAAATACTGTTCAAATCAAATTATCGCTTGTTTAGCATTTTCCTAATTTAACCACAAAAACGGAAATTTTAAGGAACTTTTAGAATTTCTGCCAATAATCGACACACCTTGTATATAATTCAAACAATGTTCGAAATAGGGGTGATAGCCCCCACGTTTTTTTCCAATAGAGTAAGTGGTTTTCAAGAAAATGCTTATTTTCTGAAACCATGCAGTACTCCGTAATAATCAATGACGTCATCGCGTCTCGATTGAGGGCGAGAAATTGTGATTTTCATATGGATAGACGAAAACCGTAAATACAAAAATTGTAGCTCTCGATGTGGTGGCTTATTACACTGTTTAAACCAATTGGCCATATTCTTCTTGAATATTGATGTACGGCTAATAATTTAATAGCCAAAAGAACGATTTTCTTGGTCTTCTAGATTTTTCTCCATAATTGAAAAAACCCTGTATACAATCGAAAAAATGTCTAAAATAAAAGTCACAGCCCCGGATCTCCTGCATTTCCTGGTTCTAAAATTTTACCTATCGGTTGAATAGTTTTTGAGAAAATCATGTTTTTCTGGAGGTCAAAATATTCAAAGAACATTTTTCTTTTTTTTTTTAAGTATTTGTTGATACTCGATTACACTCAAATTATACTGTTTAGATGTGAGTACGGACTTTTACTTCCTTGCCAAATTTAAAATCGACAGCTACATATTTGGGTCACTTACGACGTTTTTGAAAGCACGGAATATCCCGAACACCACAGTATGTGAAAACTTTAAATACAAAAGTTTTAGCTGTCCATACAGGCAACAGAATCACAGCCTTCTTGTTATGGTCAATTATCATTACAAAGGTAGACCAATTTTCAGTTTTTTGCAAATTACGGACGCACCCCGTACATTTTTAAAAAATCATCAAGAATAAAGGTTTTTGATCCGAATCTTGCGCATCGTTTGGTTAAAGAATGTTTTCGATCTTATATACCATCTTGGAGAAATGTTGTGTTAGGTTGCAATAGGCTTCGTTACAGAGCTAAACTCTATATATGGCTCAAATTTCAAGTGGATGACTTCAAATTTCGGACACTTATCGCGTTTCATAGCAAAGTCCAAAAAACAGACGAAAATCTAAAAAAAATATGGACGCCGTGGTTTGAGCGGACCGATTTTTTACTGGTTTGTGTAGCTCGTGCACGGCTTAAAAGGAGCTAAATTTGGAGGCTATGTTGCAAACCGTTCAAAAGATATAGCCAATTAATGCCAGGTCTACAGAGAAACGGAGAACAGAAAAAAAAAGTTTTTTTGCGACGCTGATCGATTCTGTACCAATGGCGATCCGGTAGGACATACCGCTGCCGAGGTTTCGTTGCCAAGCGCGTATACTTTCGAACGTAACAAGACCGTATCTCGTATGTGTTTCAGAATTACTGTGATAAGGCATTTTTTTCGTTTCCCATGGAATATACCTACCTAATACTCTAAGACTATATATACGAGGGCTACCTTTTATATTTCGGGATTTGTAATAAAAACCTATAAGCTACCAACCAATGTGACTTGATGGTTTCTCAAAATATTCACCCTGATGACCAGTACACTTTTGCATTCGACAAAACCAATCATCAAAGCACTTTTTTCGCATCGAGTGTTCTGGTCGCACTAATGCCCAAAGATACTTCAATATCATCCTGCAAAATCAGTTTCTGCACTGCATCGATGTTTTCTTGCACAACCACCGATTTTGGACGACCTTCACGAAATTTATCCTTAAGCAAAGGCGATAAACAGTAGTCCTGGATCGTGCTATAATTCCAAAAGTCCACGTCTAAAGCTGTAAAAACTTATTGCACGAAAATGCTCCCGATTAAGTTCCATTTTTAACCGTCACAATTTTTTTAAATTTATCTCAAAAAACACAAACAACACCCTTTCGCCAAAACGTAACCTAACCTCAAAATGTCAAACTTCCCTATAAAAACGTTAGTCGCTAGATGGCAGGACTAGTTTAAGAAAATCTCGAAATATAAAAGGCAGCCTTCGTATTACTATACTTAACTAATCTACTACATTATTGACATGATTTTCCAAAGACATACCCAAAAACATTGTGCAATCGCTTAAAACAATATCACAGTTATTTAAATTTAATTTCTGTAGTGGTCCTATCCTCGATCGATTTGTGCTAAACATTGTTCCAGTAGTCTTAATAACTAATTTATTTTTAGTTAACCAATTATCCGCTCCCATCGTGAACCTCCCAGCCGCCATTTTGAGGTTTGCGGTATCCTTATTTACAATTACTCATATAACATTGCTATCATCGGCGTAGTTAATAATTTTACAATTTTTGACCAATGTATTTTTCCAGTTGACCGGAACAAAAGACGCGAACAACAAAACCACGTTGCTCCATTACATCGCTGAAACGATCGAGACCAAATGGCCGGACCTGTTGAACTTTTACGACGAAATGCCTCATGTGGACAGGTGCGCTAGCGATGAGGTTCCGTTGACATTTCAACGATCGGTAGTCTCGTTTCAGGGCGTCTCGCGTGTCGCTCGACTCGATACAGAAAACGCTGAGCCAGATGGACGGCAGCGTGCGGAATCTAAAAACGGATCTGACGAACAACAGGGTGCCGCAGGGCGACGACGATAAATTCGTCGACGTAATGGACGTATCCTTTTTTATTTATTTTTTTGGTACACTCGCTCATGTGGCTGGTTCATTTTTTGTCTGTTCTCAGTCGACGCTTCCTAAAAATGCGAATCACTTCCGAACGGTTTGAGCTATGATGCTGAAATTTGGGTCCTTATACTCAGCCTACGAAACACATAAGCCTATAAAAAAAACTGCAGTTTGTTCCATTGTTGTTTTCGTTTTTCATGTCGGTTCATTTTTTGTCTGTTTTTGGTTCTCTGACCTCTGTTCTCTGTTCTCCGTCGATGCTTTATAAAAATGCGAATAACTTCCGAACGGAAACTACCGTCCACTGCAGCATCTCAAAATGACTCGGGATAAAAATATGCAATTTAGTAAATTGACGGTGTCGTATGTTGGGAACGTTTGTAGCATAAAAACAATTGAACGTCGTTTCCGGCTTCACCGGAAGTAACTTCAACTTTATGTTATGTTGCATACTGTATGTTCTTAATTTTTTCAACTCGTCAAACAATTGTAAACAACTCCATTCCATGTCTACAATCAATAGTTTTATAAAATTAACCATTTACCATTGTATTTTTGTTTTTTGAAAAAAAGATGTGGAGCAGAACAACAAATATTACTAATTCAAAGCACATTTCAACGAAACATAAAAAAAATTGTGGCCATTTAAAAAACAAAATAGTTTAACTTGGAAAAATGAAACCTCCACTGTCCAAACTTACTTTTTTATCCTACATCCAATTCTGATAAATTAAACTTCCATAAACACTTGCAAAATTAAAAATTTGGTATCTGAAAGAAGAAACAAAATGGTAAGAAAAATGTTTAACCTTTTTTTTGTAATTAAGCAATTTAAGCAATTTGTTGATCAACTTGGGAGTCATATATGAAAAAGATCTTTGGAATATATGTGTTATGTCGAGGTAAAAGTAGCAAGTTGTTTTTATGCTACAAATGTTCACAATATTCAACCCATATTCTTTTATATTATACTTATAGTTACCATTTGTTTTTTTTAATAAATTCTTTACGTTATATTATTATATAATAATTATTATTACTATTAATTAATATATACTGCTATGTTGTATGAATCAATTTAGGAGTTGGTTCGTCTTTGATAGTTCAAATGTACCGTACCATTTCTTAACAATCTTAACCAGAAATTCGCGGAGGATGCCAGAGAGCAGTGCGACATAATGCAAAAGATGTTCAAGAAGATGGAGGGCTTGTACAACGATCTCGCAGAGTATTATTCGTTCGACAAGCAGAAATACACGCTGGAAGAGTTTTTTACGGATCTTAAGACTTTCAAAGACAGCTTCATAGTAAGTTGCGATTAAATTAATTAGTTTAACATCAATATATTTGCTAAAGCGACCGGAAATTAGTTTTAAATTTCAAGAACGACCACCAGAGGGCGCAACCGCATCCCGTTTTTTGAGAGATAATCTTATATTACGTACATATAACCAATATGGCCGCCGTTTCAAAACTATGGTCAATTCGATCCTTTTATTGCAACGGAAATGCAGCCAGATAAGGGTCTAGCACGCTAGTAAAAATTTTTATTCTTTGATAAAAATATTTTACCATGAAAATGTCAATATTTCCTGTTTGTATCACACAACATTTTTGAATTAATTTTTATTAATTAATTGTTTTAAAAATCGAAACCATGCATAACATTCTAAAAATTGATTGATACTCATTCTCGTGTTATTGGAAATTGAATAGTATAAAACAAAAACATTATTGAGAAATAATAATGACCAATGCTATATATATATATATATATATATATATATATATATATATATATATATATATATATATATATATATATATATATATATATATACTTATTTATTTATTTGCAGCAAGCGAAATCGGACAACCAAAAGGAAAGGGAAATGGAGGAGAAACGGGAAAAGGCTAGGCTGGCGAAAGTGAAGCAGGATCAGGACAAGGAGGAGAGGAACAAGCGACGGTTGATCGATATGAACCCGACGCAAACGCAGGAGGGCGTCATGGACAGCTTCCTGCAAGCCCTGTCGACAGGCAGCGCCTTCGGCAGGGAGCAGAAGCGAAAACGGGGGCCCAGACCTGCCGGGGGTAAGTAAAGATCAAAATGGACCGGTTCAAACCCAAATATTTTTAATGTTGTCGCGTCAGATGCCCTTTTGGAAACTTTGTTAGGTAAGAAGTAGTAAAATTTCATGTTTATACTTCCTAAAAGATTGTTAAACCAACTTAATGTTTTTTTTAAGAGTGCGAGATGGATCTCATCGAAGGTAAGAACGGGCATTTGTGTAAGAGAACAATTTTTTCAATAAGCAGCAAGATTTTCAGCACTTTGGGAATTTAATTCGCTAAAATTGGACGTAAATATACTCGTTAAACAAAAGTGCTATATTCTGGCGGATGCCCCGGGTACACCGACAGAAACAAAGTGTCAAAAGGCGCCATTGTTTTATCGATTACATTGCAGTTCAACCATTTTACTGTGGAATAAATTTTCATGGTTCTAAATTTTGGTTAGTTTACCATCTGCTTTCTTTTTCTTTGCCATTCAACCAGTTCGTAAATGTCACGAAAAAATATTTAGTATTTTCACTCGAAGGGCACATCTATCTATCAACTATATAGATTCTCAGAATATACTCCGAAAAGTCTTTTAGTCAGTGCTTTGTATAGCTCGAGAATCCGCACGAAAATGAGCAAAAAAATGCAAAGATTATATGACTAGAAAAAAATTGGCACTGTGTTTCCACCGGTATAACCAAGGTCTCCGTAACAGTAAAGGAATTTTTGTATTTCAAATGTCTGTCTTGACCGGCCTGGCACGATTTTGAGCAATTTTAAAATTAGAATTAAGTATTCTTCGATTAGTAAAATATTTATTATTAAATTACTAAGCAAATTCAAGATGTTGCTCCAAACACCATCCGCTATGTGATTAATTCAAAACGTTATCAGCAATCAATCAACATTGTTCAATAATTTTTGCAGAAGGAATGTGATACGTTGCCCAAGGAAAATCTGTGTAAATAACATCGACTTGACTTTATTGTCCAAGATTTGTAGATGTTGATTTTTTTATAAAGATAGTATTAAATTAATGTTAATGTTAATGCTGACATGCACCTCAGTCTGTATTGATTATCCGGATCATCTGGAATTATCACATCATGGAATGCGCAAAAAAATTACTCACCTATACATAATTCTTCAAAGAAATATTTTTTTAGCCTCAAAAACAAACATCGCTTTTCACCGATGGGACCTTGGTGTCAACATGGCTGAATTTCATTCCCTTTTTACTTACGCCTCTATATTTTCTAACAGTCGTATAATGAGAACATTGACGAAATTTAAAAAGAAAAATGAGCACATCCTATATTAAAATAAAAAAAAGGGTACAAGGGTCATTTTAAAGATAATATTAATATTAACTGAAGTTGCTTCACAAGACTTTTTTTGCAGCGGAAAGAAGAGCACAACTTCAACGATCGAGATCGAGGACGGGTCTTATAACTGGAAGGGAACTAACTAGGTAAGTAGTTCAAATGTATACCTGTTGAGTTACATTTGACTATACCGTGTTTCACAATAAGATCATGAGCGTTGTGATCGAATTCTTGGGCGATTTTAAGAAGAAGAGTTCAAATACACCTATGACCTAATCATATTAAGTTTTGAGCTGCAGGGTATTAATTAAGCAAAAGTTTACAGAGATTTTTATGAAATAAAAATAACAAAAAGTCCAAATGCAAAACAAATATTTAAAGTTTATAATAAAGAGTAGTTGGTTATATATCTTAATCTTATTATAAAAACCCATCTTCTGGACATTTTTTATGATCATTCTTGTTAAAAAACTATGCAGACAGAAAAAATATTCTTTTAATGTTAGGTGTAGAATTTTTTTTAAACATAATAGTAAGAGTTTTAATTCAATATGCTAATGCATTTGTTTTCAAACATCCTGTATTAATAATAATTAAAATAAAAAATAAGTTTTATTCTAGTAAAAAGCAGTGGCGTGCGTAATAGTTTTTTGAAAATAACTAGTGCTTATCCTTTGTGGGTGTAAAAAATCGAAAAACCTTTTCCAACCAAAAGTGACTGCCAATTGTTTTTAAAATCGCTTAAGTATTATCACTAGTATTTCATTTTGAAACGCCATTAAATACAGCCCACAAAAATTATCGCGTCACTTAAGATTTCCTCCTTATGCAACGTTATTTTTTTGCAAAAAATATTTGCAAACAATAAAAAGGTGAGGAATAATATTTCAATTTCACATTTCAAATTTAAAAAGTGTAAAATTATGAAAGTTCCAAATCTGCTTATGACAGATTCAACAACATAAAAACCAAATGGTTTGATTGTGGTGATGATTCCAAAAAATAATGACGATTTATTAAGAGTTTAATAAAAAATAAAAATAAAGTAGATAGCATAGAATCTATAATTGTGAATAATATTAAAATTGAAAATCTAATTAATAAAGCCAATGTACTTCTCTCACATAGGTAAAAACAAAGTACAAGAAATTGGCCATAATAACATTTATTATCAGGATTGACCATATTCTTAATGTTAGGGATGATGCCATATCATTATACAATTTCATTTGTTTGGTAGATGTAAGAATAGGTATGAATGTCAGTCCTACAGAGGCCTGTAATTTTGGGATGCCACAAGACTCGATTCTTGGCCCGGTATTTTACTCCCTGTAAATATTATACATATGCTGACATCACAGTGCTTGCTGTGTCAAGGACATCGACAACATAAATAGGACATACATTGGACACATTTCTAGTAAAATTATTATAATGCAATTCTTGGATATGGAAACTGGATGAAGTATTACGTAACAAGGGGCTTATATAAATTAAATTAATTAAATTAAAAAATTTAAAAGTTTTGCTTTAATTTGGTATGTATGGGTGCTTTATTTATTTATGTTTTGATAACTTTTTGCTCGTTACAACGGTTACGACATAAAACATATACAACGTGATAATTTTTGTGGAGTGTTCCGGTGCTTTCATTATATTCAATAGATTTTCTCTGGTTTTCGTTTTGAAGAGCGTCTTCGTTAAAAAACGACGAGTACAGGATCATTCCAATCGAGGAGAACGGTTTCAACATTTCGACGGCATCCCTATTCTTTTAGGAACGTTTTATGCGTGTGTATCCGTTGTCGTTTGGTCTTACGAGCTTGCCCACAAACCGGCTATCCGAGCGTTCGTGGAATTAAAGTTGAAAACTAATTCGTGGGGGAATTGAATTGACAGCTTTGCCTCTGCTTATTGTACTAACGGGAAACGCATGCATAGTTTTAAATGTTGCGATTGAATTGAATATTTAATGTACACCCATGGAGAAAAGTAACAAAAAGGAGAACTGTAACCACCATGTGCAACTAAGTTTCTGCAGTCCCAGGGTCGGCTTAACCCAAAAGATACCTGTGTGCAATGCAAATAGATAATGTCATAAATAAAACTCAAAGAAAATAAGAACATCCTTAAATTGGAAAAGGTTTAGATATTATCTTAGTGTTGGGAGTTTGGAGTCATTTAATTAGTAATTTTATTTCTTTTAGATTGAAAAAGTAAAAATTTTTATAATTTATTTATTTTTATTCGAATGATAAAACCTACTTGGCGAACCTTTCACGTAGTAAACGCTTGGATAATCATATTATATTTCCAACATTTTGACTTTCTGAATCTGTTATTGAGTTGGTCTTTTATATAAATAATAAAACCTTCATAAGACAAATAAAAATAAAATAATATTCATTATTAACATTAAAAAGTAAATAATCAAGTTTCCAAAAAATTACCTCAAGTTGTCAGGTCCCAAATAATATCTGAATCCTGCGTTTTTAAACGGCACATTAAAACCTTCTTTACGACGCTTTAATGTACAACTTACTTGAAAACCACAAGCCTGCTAATGAACCCCACCTTCCACAAGTACAAAAACCGAAAAATGCCTCTCTTGAGGAATTGAGGTTATGACTACAGAGAAACTTATGTTGGTGAGTTGTCATACCCTATGAGCATGATCGTCGTTCAGTAACGCTCATGCTCGTTCAACAAGCAACATGGCCGCTGACAGTTCGTCGATTCGATAAATTTGATTTAATTGGTCACTATCTTTTTATCAGTTTTCTGTGTCACTAAACCCAATGTGCTTATTAACAAATTTTTGAGATCACGATGTAGAGTAATTTTAAAATGTTTTTTTTGTTTCAGCGAAATAACGGCGTAAGCCAATCCAAAGTGTGACAAACGAACTGACAACGAATCGATTTTTTAACGCTCAACTTTTGAAAAATACGAAGAAATAAGTTTTTATACATAGAGAGTGATAAAAGAGAATAATTTATTTTAGATTAACGCTTTCTGTACATATTTTGTAAGTATATATTTGTATATTTTGGATAGGTAGCTTAAATAAGGAATCTCCCGTGAAAAAAAACGATATTTCGAGTTTAATTTTTTGTTGTTTTTGCAATGTTAGGATTTTTTTGATTTCAACGTCTGGAACTAAACTAACGATGATACTAAAATCAAGTTCAAAATGGTTGAAATTTTTCATGCTGAAAACTATTTATATAAATTGCTTATAACCAGGAGGAATTTGCTGCAATTTATACCATACTTAAGAAGCAAAGAGACTATCGAAAAATGTATTTTAATAAATTTGTTAAGTTGTTAGCCGGTTGTATTCACTCACCTATTGCTTCCCCTACTTCCCCTCACCTACTGTTAAAACGGAAACGTCGATTGTTTCAACTTCATTTTATTCAGCTATACGAGAAATAATATACAATATCAATTAAAATGTGTGTAAATCAACTTCCTGAATATACAGAATGACACAATTTTTTAAACTTACTGTAAATATTAAATATATATAACATTATTTACAAATTATGCGTTTGTTTGGAACCGCCCCCCCCCCTCCCTGCTCTCGTACAGATGTCCTCGAATTCTTTTTTTTGCTTAAAATTAGCCACCGTTGTTCTTTTCATCACATGTATTTTGACACGCCTAGACTGAAACAAATGAAAAACGTACAGCGGACAGAACAGCTCTGCTGCAAAAATAAAATAACTAGTACAGTGAGGTAGAGCGACCTAAATTCTATTTTAAAAAGGTGTAGACTAATAAACCCCCATTAGGGACTAGGAAGTGATCTAACGAACCTAACAAACAATAACGAATTAAGTATTATTTACCGTGCGTTCAATTTACCTTGAAAATATTTTAATTGGCTGTAACTTTTTTGTTTTCAAGTTAAACAAAAAACAAAATGTAGGGTTGGTAGCCGAATTTTTTTCTAAGTGATGCATAAAACAAAACAAAACACTATCAATTTTCTGACATAAGCCTACATAATATATTTTTAAATGGGACACCCTGTATATTATATATGTGTTTAATATTTTAGTCCGATTGTTTTTGACAAATCGGCAAAAATAGAAAATTTTTATATAATTTCAAAGAGTGCCGTGACTGACAAATAAATATATGTTTGTTTGACATAAACAACGTTGATCTAAAATTCATGCTTTATCAAATTATCTCCAAATTCAATATTTATTTTTTTGTGGTTACCCAGAATAGTTGTCTTTTTCCGAGATTAAGTTGAAGTCTTCTTTATACATTGTGAACGACGACTACTAACGAATCAGTTGGAGGATATTTTATCACTTGACCTAACAATTTTTTTAAGACAGACTAGTATAACACTATCGTGTGGAAGATAAAGAATCTTAACCTGTATCGTGGTTAAGGCTCTTTATCTTTCACCAACATGAGAATCAGTTATCTGAGACAATGTTCATGCCACTTCTTTAGCTCCGCCCCCTTCAAACTGTATGTGAGCAGGTACATAGTAGAATGCGAATGCAGTTTCAATTTGAGGTCTGAAGAGGCCAACAGGATGATTGGTGAAAGTTTCTTTGATAAAGATTATAGTATTTTTTACCTTGACGAGGCATTGTTTTAGTGATTTTGAGTAATTTTAAACATTTAAGACCTTGTCTTTTTTGTTACAACCGACTTTTACCAAGTGAAAATGGATGGGGTGCAGTTTATCCGAGTAACTTTAGCCATTGATCTAACTTTCCTAGTTTCACAAAAGTTGATATCAATCGCTTTATTACAGGGAGCTGAAATTTAAAAAAAAAAACGCTTTTTCCTTACTTTTCTTTTATATAAAACCCGGGGTCAGAGAAGAGAAAGTGTATATGTGGTTTTTACTAAGAAATAAATCGCAATTTCTGGAAAAAAACGGTAGCGTACCAATTTTCTCGAGAAAAATCTTCAGTAACGTGCTTACCCTCATGCCAAAATTGTTTCTACGCATTTGTGGATGTCTACCGAAGGGTCAACAAAATATCTAAAGAAGTTTCAATGACAATGAATGTATATGAACCTACTTACTTTATATCACTCTTCGACTTCATTACTGGTATCGTTCTGACCGTCCCCCGCCTCTCTGGTCATGTTCTGTATGTGGCTCTCCGGGCTGCCATCTGTCGGCAACTGACCGTTGTTTTGTTCGAACGGATCGCCGACAGAGTTGTTCAGTTTGTCGTTCGACCTCGACCGCAGGAAATCCTCTTTGAGGGTCGGCTGGTCGCTCTTGCTATTCTCTTCGCTGTCGTTTGGTTCTTCGTTCTGGTTCTGGTATTGTTGGGCGGTATTTTCGAGGTTTTGCGTGCCGGCCATTATCGGGGGCACCTGAAGATTCGGCTTCCTCACCTTGTCGCCCTTACGCCACAGGGTGATCTCCTGCTGCTTGAAATACCGTCGATCCTCGGTGTCCATCAGCACTAGGTTGAGAAAATATCTGACGGAGAATTTTTTGTTAATATCTCGCATGGTGGGTGTCAAGTCGTAACCGGCGAGAAACACTCGGATTGGTATACTCTCACCTATAATAAAGTAAGAAAAAAAGGAAATATTTGCGGTTATGTGACAAATATTTTTTTATGGGCGTTTTTTGTTATAGACAAAAAGTAGATATGACTACCAAATTCCTTTATTCAAATGGAACACCATTTCGAATTCTGCCAGTTTAAAAACCCTTCCAAAACATTACTCAAGAGAATTTAATTAATTTGCCATAATTCCTATCTAAGTAACTGTCGCAAGGGGAAAAATCCGGTGCAGTAATACCTGGAACTCTTGCAGGCCATTCTGTCGACCCCGCTTCTACCAATCCACTATCTGGAATGGATGGGGACAAGCATTATCCTGTTACAGAAACGTAATTATATGTAATTTAAAGAAAGCAATTCGGTATCGACATCTACTTTTTTACCCACCTGTACATTTGCTAGTTACTGCAAAAAATGTTTTTTTTTTAATTCAATACCTGAATTTAAATGAATTCGTTTCATATCTAGAATTATACCGGGTGTCTTTTTTTAATAGAGAGGAAAATAATTATCTCAATGAAATATATTATACAAGGTATTTTAATTTGATAAAATAATAATCTATATATTCCAAATCCACAAATGCAATGTTTTTAAGTATAGGAAACTGTAAAAAAAAAACCATACACTCAACATGTCACATTCATATTTAGTATTTAGGTCCCAAAGTTTTTAATAGTCTCCCTAACAATATTGGAACAAAACCACACTCTCAATACTGCAAAGTAACTTCACGATAATTTTTATGTTAGAGTCTCTAGAATTTTGAAACTTTTAATTTCCAATTGCGATCGCATTAGGTGCACTTAAATAATTTGTCAAACAGCATACAGCATTGGACAGAATCAATTTAGCAAATTTTTGTTGTAAAATTAAGAGCAATAATTTGGAAAAATATTTTTTTTTTATATATTTCTAATGTAACTGTTTTCCCTGGCAATAAAGGAACTTATTAAATTATATCTTAAAAGACGCAAATCCTACCTCTGACGGGTGCCCCGTCCATAATTTCATACTTTGCGATGTTAGAGTTTTCTGTGAATAGATTAGGCCCAGATCCGGTGGTCTCTTTCTTAATTATGGTTATTTCCATGTGTTTTATCTTTATCCGTACGAGAAGAAAATAAATTTTCCCCACGATAACGTCTTTTAGGTGGTACCTGAAATAATTTAAAGTTATTTATTCTGTTTGCTCGAGCGGCGCCGAACCTACTTAGATTTATTATATTCGAACTCAATATGTAGGCAGTCTTCAATTCCCACTTCCATCTTTATGGAATTGTTCATTTCCGGATAGCTGCACAAGGTGTGCACAGCAATATCGACCTCTTTTACAATATCGGCCAATCGTCTTATTATAGTTACTCTTAAAAAGTAGCGTAACCTAACATTTCCACCTGAAATTATCCAATGGACTATTGGTTTGATAAAACTATGATTCCAAACTTGCCTGTGTATACTTCGAAAGGCTTTTCTACATTACTAAATTCAAATGGATAACTTGTGTGAGAAATCATTTCACCCGGTCTGGCCAGTTCTTTAACTAATGAAATAAATTCATAATGATTGCCTCTATCATATAACATTTCAATCTGACCAATAAACTCTATTTTGATACCCTGATGTTCGAGCTTACTGCCGGGTTTCTTTAAACTAACATTTACCTAAGAAAACGGATGCATATCACAACCACATTCTCGAAGAAATTTTAATGCTCATCCTCAATTGGCATTACTTACCTTACCGCAAACTGTCTCACCATCATAATATAATAAAAGTCTTTCTTTTTTGCCATCTTCTGTCTTAACTTCGGCAGTTTTCCTGTTCTCTTGTCCATCCAAATAAATATCGATTTCGGCGGACTGACCGAATCCAAAAAAACTCTAAAAAAAAACAAATTTAAACAGAAATAAATGAGGATCAATCACTTAATGAAAAAATACACCTATTTCATAAGAACTTACCATCATATATCACCACAAGAAACGATCGTCAAAATGAGCAGCAGAAGAACTAAAAAACACAACACAATTAAAAGTTTTGCAATTGAACAAATTGGACATCAAGACAAACTCATGATAAAAATGTATTTGTTTGACAAGATAAAAAATTACTTCAAAAATGGCGACTTCTGGTGTTAAGGGTCATATGGGTGTTTTATTCTTCGGCAGCTGATTAAGTAAAGGAACCTACTGCTATCCAATTTGGTCTCAATGTAAAGTGGAGCAACAATAAGGATAAAATTTATATTAATTTGTATAATTTAACTAAATGTTTATTGGATCTTTTGACACGTCAGTGGCGAAGTTTTCTTTTTTGTGGAATTAATAATCCATGACCGCAATAGAGGGCGCGTGATTCCTTTTACCAGATTTTAAACCCGGCAAACGCCATGCACTTTCCACATACATTTTTGCAGATAAAAGTTGCAGTCAAATATGCATGTTAATTTTTTGATAGTAGGCCCGATTTTTTCGAGGAAAATGTGCTCCACTGTTTTATACTCTCAATAACCCTAAATTAAAATTTTGACATACCGCTTCTATGGTGAACACTAAATAATTGACCCATAGGAATGCTGCATTAAATTGACTAGTAACTGGAAATTTTCTATCAAAACGTGAGCAAAGTAAAGAACTACATCGCAATTAACCGCATCTATGTTGTGGTTTTTAAATGCCCTCACAGTTTAGCAATGTAATGATAGGTAAACTGGGTGCATAGTATACCACCAATGACTTAGTAGTCTGTGATACATGATTTCTTCTTCTTGATTTTTAAACGGAGGGCAGCGGTACTAAAGGCCCAATCTCTGACAGTGGGACAGTGTGCATTGACAAAAATGGCCAGACTTTCATCGTGATGCCATACTTTTAATATCTATATTTTAATTTTTAACCCCTTTTCTAGATTTTGGCATATACTATAAGCATTGCTGTCACATTGTTAGAACAATTGAATAAAACACCACTACTAAAAATTTTTATCCCTTGAGTATTTGCTAAAATTTTGATGTCATTTTTGACGCATTATGTTCGGGTCACGAGTTAAGTTCAAAAGTGAAATAGAAAAACTAAGAGGATATGTATTTTATTACCGCATATTTTGAATGAATTATGGGAGGGGTCGTTTTATGTAACCAGAATATTACAATTTTGTATAATTTCCTGATTAAATCGAACAGTTTGGCATAGATTCGGACCAGGGTAAAGTAGAAAAGTTTTCTTCTCAATATATTTGTAAAAATACTAACAATACACAATTATTAGCTTCAAAAAATGCATATTATAATATTTATACATTTATATACAATATTATTCGTTGTTATTAAGTATTGCAGTCCACAAACTGTTGTTGATGGAACTTTTGATAAAATTTAACCTAATTGCAATATCTGAAATTGAATAATTTAATTAATTGAATTAAATGGCGGAGTTATTTTCACACCTGGGTTAGTTGCAGAGCAAACGGCTCGGTGTACTTCATATAACGTAAAACTTGTGACTAGATCCAGGAGGGCTCGATTTAACGAAACTATAACGATAACCCTCGAAACTTCAACCCTAATATTGACCGGACTTATAGCCGTTTGCCTGGGGGAGTAATGAACAGCCAAAAGTGTACTTATCTAACACGTGTAATATACTTTTTGGTTTGGAAAAGTTATATCAGTCAGTCATTGGATAAGGCTATAAATTATTTGGCGAAACATTTAGACTTACTTATATTGGCAGGAGAAAAATAGAATTCCTTAATTTTGGTATTTATTCACACACGCTATAAAAATATCGTTTGGAGGGATTACTAGGTAGATTGTACATTTCGCAACTGATTATCAAAAATTCCATTTGGAAAATATAAACTATATAAATATATTCAACAGTAAAAATACTTAAAGACAAAAATCACACACATAAGTTATATGTAGCGTATTGTTGCGTTTATTAGCATTTAAAGTAATTTGAAGTGACGCCGAATTCCAAGAATGGGACGCGGACTAGAAACGTAGAATACAGAGGACGCAAAAATGGCGGAAAGTATCCGGTAGTGAGCAAAATTTCATTACCTGGAAAAAGATTCGAAAGATGAATGTTTTAAAATCTAAGTGAAACTTCCCATATTTATTTAATTCGTAATTTTAGATCGTAAAGGTGTTCTCAATTTTAAAACACGCTTAACCAATTTTCAAGTTGCCCACAATTGACATTTGAGAAATTTGAGTTGGACTTAACCCCATTTTTGTTATTTACAAAATAAACAGGAAGTGAAGGACCAATTATGAAAAACAAATTGAGAATTTATTATGTAAATGAGTGTTATTAGATTTTGAAATCAAGGCGAGAGATAATCCTACCGAATTATTCAACGAATTTGAAAAGCTGTAAAATGCAGAAGACAAATTAAACTACTTATTACTTGCTTTACAGAGAAGTTTTTCACATAGGGGTAACGGAAAAAATCTATCAAACATGTCAAACTGTGGCCCATATCCTATCACAGATATGAGATAAGGTACAGTAAGATGAAAAAAAATATGATGTAAATGGTAGACAAAAATATTACCACACCTTTAGAGATAATGAAATTTATACCACGGAGTCAGTGGTCGAGAATGATCCAGATCTTAAAGGGTAGAGAAACAGGCTTATGTATCCCATTTATGGAATATTTTGGGACAAATATATTTAACCGGGAATGAATCTGAAATACACAAAGTCATAAATATTAAGTTCATCATTAGATAGAGATACACAGCGTCTCGCTAAAAGTGTGCATCATATAAGTTTTTTTTTAAGTAAATAATTAATAACAATAAAATTTAAGCTTAGCAAAAATTTGTGCGATAAAATCGCCTAAAACACCTGTTATCTAAAAATTTTTGTGTCAAAAATGACCAAAATTCCGGAGCTTTAAAAAAAGGTAAAAAAATAATTTCACTTTAACATAATTTGCTGATAAAATCCTTTAAAATGTAGTTTCAACAAGATGTTTTGAATATTTTGCATTTTGGAAATATCAAAATTAGGAACGCTCTGACATGTAACATATCGCAACTTTTACATTTACTTTTCTTGAAAGAGTGAAATGACTCACTCGTTGACAGACAATGCGAAATTCCCCATATTAGAGATTAATAATCATGATTGATATTAAAATTTAGAATATCAAAATGTTACGAGAGTACAATTTTTTTGTTGCATCTTTAAAATACAAATTAGAATTTAATTGATCATAACAATATGTTATGCAGGGTGGTCCCAATTGGATCAAAACATCATTGGTGTACTTTTTTGTGTCAACCTCAGTGGCATGCTCAAATATTTTCTATAATCCTCCAATATCTCACAAATATCCACATTAGGGTGCTTCAAAAAAAACTTTTTTTTTAGCTCTTACCCTCTCAAATGTTTCTTTTTGATATAAAAAAAATCCTCACCAAAGATGAGCCCCGTAGCAAAACTCTAAGAGGTCGCTATTTTTACTTTAGTTTCAGATTTAATTAACATGGGAAAAATTGTTTTTTCACTAAAATTAAATTTACAACAATTTATATTGTGATATTCATGATTTTAGTAATAACGTTATATGGTTGACAGACGGGAATACCAGTAGGTTTCCAAACTTTCATAACATCACGAATCACTTCATCCAAAATTATTAGAAGCTATTTCTGAAAAGTTCAAAATTTAGTAATTTTTAAATTGCTGTAATTAATCTTCTTTTAATGATAATCATGCTGTGTTCCACGGTTTTGGAAAGCTTAAAGACTCAACTTTAACAATATAAATTGTTTTTTTTTAAATCGCGAACATTACAAGTAAATTTAATTTTAGCGAAAAAAGAATTTTTCCCATGTTAATTAAATCTGAAAATAAAATAAAAATAGCGACCCCTTCGAGTTGAGCTCCGGGGCTCATCTTTGGCGAGGATTTTGTTTTACATCAAAAAGAAACTTTTGAGAGGGTAAGAGCTAAAAAAAATAAAAAATTTTTTTGAAGCCCCCTAATCCACATCCCTAACGAGTCCTTTTCAATAATTTATGGTTGTTGTTATCTGTTATGATAAATAGCGGAAATATAAGGCGTTTCTGGTTTAATTATAAATAAGTAGGCCGTGCATGTAGCTGTTAAATTCAAGTGAAGACTTTTACACTTTATCAGTCGCCCTTAGTATATAAGTGGCCAAACTTACAACTTAAACAATTTAAAATATATCCAAATTACTAAACGTATATATTAAACGCCACCTATTGTCAAACTTAATTCTTGTACTTCATTTATTACATTAAAATTTTGTCAAAATTTTGAATATTAAAATGAAAATTAAAACCATTAAAATAAACATAAATAATTCTTTAATCTGTATTTTTTGACATTAGCATTTCCAAGCTTAATACTTAAAGTCTCTCTGTGATGGCGTTAATTGAGAAAGTCGTACTCATTTGCGCAGAAACGGAGAATTAGAGAAAAATTCGCCACTGCATTTAGCACAGTGGAAATTGAAAGCGCTCGAAAATCCAGTACGTAACAAATACAACTTATTTTACGACCACCCTGAACATTACATTTTGTTTGCAGTAAAAACAAAATAGTCAATGTTAATAGTTAAAAAAAAATCGAGATTCGAGACGCTGTTTCAGGTATAAAACAAAATTGAAGTTGACAATTGGTTAAAAGTAACACACTCGCTGTGAGTTGCCGCAAAATTTGTTCATACATTTCTGACTTCAAATTACATTAAAATTAATTGGCAGGGACTTACACACATAAAACAATCTTCTTGTAACCAATGTTAGCAGCAAACTTAATAATAATAAGGGCACTTGATTCGTTGTAGCACTAGTCAATTAATAGAGAGCAGTGGCGCGGTTTGTGACGCTGGTCGTTACGAAATGCCACTGAGAGAGAACAGTGTTCTAACCACAGAATAGATAAGCAAACAGAAATCGTGTTTCCCCAAGGGCAAATTCTCATTATTTTCTGAATGACCCCTTTATAGTTTTATTTCACCTAGATTTTTATTTTAATAAACGCTTCGATGAAAAATGATAGTAGTAAAGTATTGACTTCTTAATCAGAATCAGCCTCGGCAAGAACTTTTAATTGAAATATGAGATTGAAATAGTACTAAATAATTTTTGTCAATTTTGAGACACGCTCCTGACCTTACCTAAAAATGCATTTAATACACGGATTGTATGGACAGTCGGCTTTCCGATCGTTTGCCTATTCTGTGGTAGTACCTTAAGGGTTTATTAGATTTGTACCAAAACAAAAATTGTCGAATAAATAAGGATGGCACGCGGCTTAAAGGCTAAGTACAGAGAAGCGGCGATGCGCTCGAACGGGTAATTTTTTTTGAATCTGTGGCGTAATACCTGAAAAAAAAAAAAGAATGTTTTGCTCCGTGTATAGGCTATTTCGTAAAGGTGTAGAGTAATAAAATGGGGAATGTACCATCAATCGATCACCCCGATTGCCAAAATGAAAAACCTCAATCTACTTAATCTTCGTTCACTCTGTCGAATATTATTTTGAATCGCTATAATTACTCTTTAATGCATAATCTATGTTCACCAATTTTTAAATCTTTACTTTACCATTAATTTTAAAAACTCCAGTTTCCAGTTCTCAAGAACCGATCTCATCAGATGTTTCGAATATATATTTTACAGTGGCGGAGATGGTATACAGTCTGATTTACATCGTTAGTGATTTTGTAGGTAGAGTGCGCGGAATTTCAGAATGGGACAGCACGTGGCGGTTGCAGTCGGCCGATGCCGTTACCTAGGCAACCAGTCTTTGTCTCCCAGCAGTGGCGTGTTTCTATTTTGTAAAAGGACGACCAGACGGGAGTGTAAACAACGTACGAGAATAGCAATAAATTCGATACTTTCTTTAGTCTTTCGAACGATTAAAAATTTGCCCGAATCTGTTAAGATCCTGCAGCATTTTTAAGAGATCATTTTTGTATTAGAAATCAGAAATGTAAAAAGGTCAGTAAATTAATGGGTTAATTTTTTTTTCGAAAAATTTTCGAAATTTTGGTTAGTTGTTGGCATTGAGAGCACCAAATTTTAGACCACGACAATGATATCTTCTAGATTACTTCTACATCGGTTGTTTATAGATCCAACTTTCTGGCGTTTAGCCAATCATCTATTGGTCGCATTCTACTCTGTACCTGCTTATATATGGTTTGATGGGGCGGAGCTAAAGGAAGGGCATAAACATCGTCTCGCATGGCTGATTGCCATATTGGTCACAGGTAAAGGCCTAAGTGGCGGTTAAGAATGTTAGGTTGCTTATAGACTTCTATAGATTCTCTAATTGATATTTTTCGTCCGGTCTCTCCAATGCCGCATATGCATGCTGTAAACTCCCGGCATCTCAAATTGAATTTTGTCTTTGACTTGGCCATGTTGATAGAGTTTTTAGGCTTGAAAGAAGCAAATTGTAATATAATAAAGGGACTTCTTATAAAACATACGACTGAGTTTTGGTTTCAATAACTGTTCTCTAATACTGGTATAGTGGTAGACATCGGTGTGTTTCTTACGTGGTTCACTAAAAAATTTATTCTAAAAGCATAAGCAAGAAATAGCGGTAAAAGAAAATATTTTGGAAAGGTGATGGTATATTTCGTTTATTAGTAGGGAAGAGTATAAATTTTCTATGACAAGCATTATTACATTTATTTGCAAATATTGTTTGCTTATAAATCGAACCTGCCATTTCCGTCTTCAGAGCTAAACTGAAACTGGTTCAAATTCTACTCTGTGCCTGCTTATATATCGCTTGAGGGGGCGGAGCTAAAGGAGGGACGTGATTATCATATCTTTCAAAGGTAAAGACCTGAGTCGTGGTTAAGATTGTTTCGTTGCTTAAAAACTTTTATGTATGTGAATGTATGGGGCAAGACAACAGTGGTTAGTGCGGACTCATTGTGTTTGGAAGGTTGTGATGATGTAATATGACTGGTTGCCATATTGGTGATAGGTAAAGACATAAGTCCCGGTTAAGATTGTTGTTTGCTTGAGGTTGCTTATAGATTTCTATAGATTCTCCAGTTGATATTTTTCGTCCGGTCTCTCCAATGTATTCTTTGCCGCATATGCAAGTCCTGACATCTCAAATCGAATCTATTAAGGATGTGTATTAGAGTATTCTGATAAACGTAGATCTCATCCAATCTTACTTTTTAAAAAACTTCTGGATTCCGCATGCGTCGGTTTTTGTTGAGTCAAACTTGGTAACGTTCCTGTTGGCTTCTTCGGAGCTTGACTGAAACTGGCTTGTATATTACTCTGTATCAGCTTATATATTGAGGGGGCGGATCTTTCTTGCGTTGGTAGAGGAATTGGACAGGTCTGAAAGTAGCGGCACAGGAAGCAAAAAATCGGGATAGATGGCGTCTCGTGTCGCGCACATTATAAGATGACTAGATAAAGGAAATGACATAAAGGGGTTTTGATGACGACCAGATAGATGATTGTTTATGAATTACTACTTCATTGGACGTTGAATAACCAAATAGAATAAAGCATCCGTTTTCTTTTTGCACACCTGATGGGGGTTTTATTACTCTACACCTTTCTGAAATGGACTGTAGTTAATAACAGTGCGAACCACCGACCTCTACGACGTTAGTTTTTGAGCACAAGCGACGAGGACCGCTACCTTTCGACGGTCCGACTCGGTTTCACACCTCGTCCGACCCCATGGGAGGCGGGGCGTTTAAACCGTCGCCGCCAGCTCCCTCGTCGTCGGCGTTGGTCGCCGCCGCCGCCACGCTCGCCGCCTTGCTCTGGGCTACTTCCGCCTCCAGAGCCCTGATCCGGTTCTCGTGTTTCACGATCATCGCCTTGAGCTTGCGAATTTCGTCGGCGAACTCTTGAAGCGTCTTGTCCTGTTAAGAGATTATCAGCACGGGGTCCAATAGACAAAACCTTTTTCAAATTTTTGAAAAAAAAAAATGTTTTTAAGTAATTCGGCTTCCACAAAAGTTTCTAACGTTAACCACAGTTAAAGTCAAACCTTTTTTGGTTTAATGCTCTTTGCTCCAAATTCGAGGGGCCTCTATGGCTTTAAGCATTTGCAACATAGTTAGCCCAAAACTAATATGCATGTTACGGGCTCGAATTTCGAGAGAACCCGAAAACTAAAAACCGCATCGTGATATGTGAAAGCCTTTCTGAGCTACAGGGTGCTTCATAAAAATGTGCGTTTCTAAAAACCTTCCATAACTTTTTTATTGGTAAAGATAGTGATTTTTGAAGATTTTTTAACGGCTACTTGTTTCACCGATTTTATCTTAAAGCCTTTAGTTCACGAGATATAATACAAAGTTACATTTTTTTAATGGAATACCCCATTAAAAAAAATACCTATATTATATATATTATAGATTTCTATAGATTCTCCAGTTGATATTTTTCGTCCGGTCTCTCCAATGTATTCTTTGCCGCATATGCATGCTTAAAAGTCCTGACATCTCAAATTGAATCTATTAAGGATGTGTATTAGAGTATTCTGATAAACGTAGATCTCATCCAATCTTACTTTTTACAAAACTTCTGGATTCCTCCTGCGTCGGTTTTTGTTTAGTCGAAATTGCTGACGTTTCGCTAATCATCCTGTTGGCTTTTTCAGAGCTTGACTGAAACGTCAGCAATTTCGACTAAACAAAAACCGACGCAGGAGGAATCCAGAAGTTTTGTAAAAAGCATTACAGTAGCCTGTGGAAGTTTCTTTGAAAAATTAACAAGATATCTGCAATTTTTAATTATTACCATAGTAGGCTGTGCTTAACTCTGACCTATTCAGTTTTACGGTACCTATCTAGGTAGCTATGATCAGATAAAAACAATTATCATGATACACAAGTCCAAGTGTCAAAAGTGACGCTATGAAAGTGTTTCAAAACTTTGAAAAGTACGACATGATAAAATGTTATATTGAAAGTTAAATCTATATTTCCAGAAATATCCGGAAGGAAGGCAACCTAGCTCAAAACCATTTTTGAAGTTAAAACGGCATCTACAAGAATACGGATATTTTACAAAATCGCGGCGTAGGACGTAGCCAGCCTAGCCAGAGATGGAGAGTTGGAAAAACTAACGGTTCTGGGAGAAATACAAATTTACCCGAATACTTCCACCAGGGCTAGGGAGAGAAACACTGGAGTTCCACGCAGCAATGCCGTGCGGGTGCTTAAAAAACACAAATTTAGGACCTATCGCCCCGACGGGTGCATCAATTAAGGCAACGAGATTTTGTTCCAAGACGTGCACTTTGTAGGTGGTACGTAAATAAATGCCATCGGGGTGTAGATTTTGCCAGAACAGTTTATTTGGACCGATGAGGCAACGATGTTTAGTGATGGAATATTCATATATATATATATATATATATATATATATATATATATATATATATATATATATATATATATATATATATATATATGTTTTCGGAGCGCGAGCATTGAAGATGCCAAGTGAGATTTTGGCGAAACGTCTGCAGGATTCCAGTCGGATGCAGGATTTGCAGGATTCCAGTCGGAGTTCAACGAGCGAACGGATGATATCCCGGAGTATAGTGTCATCACATTTTTCCATCCGTGAATCAATCCGTGAGAATATATATATATATATATATATATATATATATATATATATATATATATATATATATATATATATATATATATATATATATATATATATATATATATATATATATATATATATTATATGCCGAAAGATGCCAACAAATTCTAGAAGAGCAGGTAATTCCGTTTATCGATAATTTGCCACTTCAGCTATACTTTCAACATGACGGTGCACCTTCTCACAATGCACGAAACATTACTAATTTGCTAAATAATGTGTTTGCCGAAAATTGCATAGGAAAACAAGGTCCTATATATTGGCCCCCCAAGTCTCCAGACCTCACCCCTTACGACTTCTTTTTGTGGCGGAGCCCTTGTATTTCGAAATCGCCCAACTACTAGAAGAGAATTGGAAGAGGCAGCTTCGTGCGGTAGAACTTCTTAATGCAGAAAATAGCGTCAAGAGAAGATGTAGGATATGTTTACAAGAAAACGGCCGTCAATTTGAGCATTTGTTTTAGAATTAAGGACACTTTTGAGATGTACGTTTAAAGTGTTACATAGTTAATTAATAAAAGTTTTAAATAAAAAAAATTGCTTTTAATAATTTTATTTCCGTTTATTATTTTAGGGTCGGTAATTATTGCAAACTAGAAATTTGTGCAAGGTTGCTGTGCCCCCTCGTGTTGTAGCCAACTTGATTTTGTATGAAAAAAAATTATTTATTTTGATAAATGGATTTTCATCAAGTAAAAGCAAAAAATTTTTGAAAAAAAAAATAAAATTTTATCTACACATTTAGGGCACGCACAGCGCCTACTGTGGAAAATATCAAAAAAAGCAAATATCTTTTAAACTATTTAATAAAAATAGGTGTATGGCACATCGTTTGACAGAAAATTTTATTAGAAAACTGATTTTTTAGAAAAATTGAAGGTATCCCATTTAAAGAAACATAACTTTGTGTGATATCTCGGGAACTAAAGGCTCTAAGACAAAACGGGTAAAATAGAGAGATTTCCGTTTAAAAAAACTTTCCCAAAACTCTATTCTTATAATTAAAAAAGTTAAAGAGGGCCTTTAAAATCCTGTAGCTCAAAAACGCCTTGACATATCACGATGTAGTTTTTCACTTCTCTCGAAAATCAAGCCCTTAACATGCATATTAGTTTTGGGCTAACTATGCTGCAAATGCCTAAATCCATAATTTGGACCACCCTGTACAAGAAAAGTGGTGAGAGTGTTCGAAGATTTTCGGAAACATATGTCCAAAAACTACTAACGCATTTTAATACATTTTAATTCATTAGAGAAGGCTTTTCTTAGATACCATTTTCTGACATAATCGCAAAAATTTAGATTTTTCTGTAAAAATACTAAATGCGATATGACTTTTTTTATATCAATAGAGAGTCAAATATCAATAAAAGAACTTAACTTTCAAATATTAAGTTTATCAAATAACTCGCTAATTTATTATTTAGGATGCCAAATGATAATTCTGATGTAGTTAAACTTGATTAAAAAAAAAAATTAGTATTGCACTAAAAAAAAAGAAAAAATCGAAAAGCTAATCCTAATAAACATTGATTCGGAACTTGTTTATTACGGTTGAACAAAATTTGTTTTAATAAACTAATTCTTGCTTATTTCGCATAAATGTGTCATTTGAATATTTTCAATCATTAGCTTGATTTTTTTTTGGATTTTTATTTATGGCAAATAATAATTCATTTAAATATAAAAAAAGCATTTGTAAGTAATTATAAATTTTAAAATTTTTGGTAGGTAGTGATTTAAATATATGTAATATAAATTATGCAGTATTATATGTAAAGAAAGTGACGTATTAATTTTAATCATTAACTCAGATTAAACTTGTTGGAGATTAAAAAAAATAACAAAAATTAAATAAACTTTCACTTGGCCGAACTGCTGGCACATAATTGTGATAATAAACTTTAATTCTAAAGCTACCAGGATTATATAGTCGACTACAGAGTTCCCCAGGTTTAGTTAGTATCTTTACATAGCTGACGTAGATCAATGTATTACACATTCTTTCACTCTCGTTAATGAGATCTAACAAACAGAATAGAACGATTTGAAGACTTCAAAACTCACCGCACATAAGATTTTCTCTCTGACCTTTGTTGTGACATCAGCAATATTATTAAAAAAATTTTTGAAAGATTTTGGCTTCTAGAAAAAAATTATTTTCTGTAAAACTATTCATCCGATCGGCAAAATTCTTGAACCAAAAAAACGCGGAAGAACCAGCACTATAACTTTTATTTTTGGAATTTTTTCGATTATCTGCAGGGTTTTTAAATGATGAATAAAAATCTAAAAGACTCTGAGAATTGTTCGTTTCGCCATTAAATTATTAGACGTAAATCAAAACTCGTGAAAAATATTTGTATTTGCCTCAAGGGCTACAATTTTATGTATTTACGGTTTTCATCTATAGCACACGTTTCTTGAGATATTTGAAAAAGTCCATATGGCAGTCGCTGTATCTCGCTCTGAATATAGATGCGATTTACTCTATTGGAAAAATTCATATACCAGGGGAAACGTGGGAGATCCGGGGCTATTATTTTTACTTTGGTCATTTTTTGGATTATTTACAGGGTGTGTCGATTTTGGGTAAAAAAAAAAACAAAACGATCCTGAAATTTGTTTTCGTGGGTAAATTAAAAACTATAAAAAATGGGGTAATAACTTCTATGGAGAGAGAGAGAGTTTCAGGCTTCATCTATCACAGAAGTTTTGTAAAAATTATGTTAATGTTATTGTCTATCGCCTAATTTACTCACCGATACTGGTGATCCTCCGCCGGCTCCGCCCCCTTTACCGCCCTTCGGGGGCATCTTATCCAACACGTTGCTCCGTTTCGACACGGATATGGCGGCCTTCGATTCGGGCGGTTTGTAGCCATCTTTGAGCGAAATGAGTATGGGTTCCGCGTCCCTGCCCCCCACCCACTCGTCCGCCGTCATGGCCGCGGTGTCACCTAGCGTGTCCGGATACAAATCCTCTTGGAAAAGTTCCGACTTACGCGGCACCGTCATGGTTATTGCCTGGGAGCAAAATTAACAATAATAATAATAAACTGTCTTTATTAAAAATCAAAATATTACAATATAACAACAACAGCACCAACACCATAATTGTCAACAAAATACACACCCGTATATACATCGTAAATACATGAAATAGATAGATAGATACTGGCGGGCGTAATAAACAAAAGGACTTTACTGTGGGGAGGGACGTTACAGCATAAGGTATTTCATTAAAGAAGTTAACGGCGTTATAGCTAGAAGATCTCTGGGAAGTTGCCGAGGTGTGTCTAGGAACGCAATATATGAAATAGATAGATAGATACTGGCGGGCGTAATAAACAAAAGGACTTTAGTGTGGGGAGGGACGTTACAGCATAAGGTATTTCATTAAAGAAGTTAACGGCGTTATAGCTAGAAGATCTCTGGGAAGTTGCCGAGGTGTGTCTAGGAACGCAATATCTTAAACAATGACGGGTGTCTCAATTATGAATATCATTTCCTCTGCAATGTTTAGTAAAAAAACAAAAGTGGCTAACTGAACTTTAAACCGGCCCTCCAACCCGAATGAGAGAGGCACTGACAACGAATACAAGCATTCTGAAGTCGAAAATTGAACTGAGGCGGCTTTTACTTAATGAAAATCCATTTAACAAAATAAATAAGAACTAAAAGTTCAGATTTTCACAAAATTATATATTTTCACAGGACAATTGTTCCGACAACATCGTGTCTTTATCAAATGTAATATTTACAAACTAATTAATTAATGTTGTTGTGACAATTCAAGTTCAATTAAGGAGAGGTATTTAAATCTAACTGATCATTAAGCAATACATTTGAATGTCTCCCTTTGTTAATCTCCAAGGCATCCAATAAATTTAATTTTCTACTTCTTGTGGCTGTATGTAAAATATCAAAATTGGCGTTTCTCTGTGTTTAAGTGTGTAGCATAATTAGAATCTAGACTGTTGTTTTTAAATGCTTCTTTATGTTCGTTAATGCGTTTCTTGAAGGATCTACCTGTTTGTCCAATATAAATTTTGGGACATGTTCCGCATTTGAACCTGTAGACACCTGATTTTTGAGATTTTGGACATTTAGTTAAATTTTCCTACTGTGTTGTTAGTTCTAAAAGCTATTTTTAGAACCAAATTTTGACGAATGTTTTGAAATTTTTTCACTGGGTTCTCCTATGTATGTAATTGTTTTAAATTGTTCGTGTTCTGTATTAGGTTTCGGATAAATAGAATTTACTGTTGATTTTTTTTATTTATAATTTTATCTATAATGGACGGATTGTAGCCGTTGTTCAGTGCAATTTGTTTGAGAGTAAGTTCTTTGTTGTAATTTTCTGTTGAGAGTGGCGTATTAAGAAGTGAAATTTTGTGTGTATAAGGGTGATTTGAGCTGTAATTTATGACTGTGTCCGCATGTGAAAATTTATAATAAATAGAAAAATCTAATTTGTTTTGCGTTTTCATAATTGTCAAGTCTAAAAAATTAATAGAGTTATCCGGTTCAATCTCGATAGTGAATTTTATACGATTATGTAATGAGTTAATGTAATTTACAAAAGAATTCAATTGTCTGTCCGTTCCAACAAAGCAAGAAAAGACATCATCCACGTATCTATACCACCATAGAAAACTTTTACAAACCAGAAAAATGCAGACAACAGTAAACTCTATTTATCCGAAACCTAATACAGAACATTCGGAAGCGACGTGGGATAAAACTAACATATCACAGAGTTTAAGTTTGACTCCTTTAATGAGAAAAGTCACTATCAAAACAGAATCCAAAATTTTAACACCCATCTTAAAAGAGGCGTTTATTACAATATCTTCCCTTTTATTTCCAAATCATAACATCTGCGTTTTGTTAGTATTCAATAAATGGTTGTGAGCCGCAGATACCTCCGCAATTATTTTTAGATCTAAATTTATTTTAGTAGCGGCATTTAAAGCTTCACTAGCAACAAAAGATAAATGTAACTGAATATCATCGGCGTATTGATGAGATTTACAAAATTTAAGAAAAATAGAGAAGGCAGCTGAATAAACAGATTCGTCAGCCATACAAAGCTTTAAAAGAAGAACCATTACATATAGGGTGTCATTTAAATAGAACCATACTATACTATAATAAATTATGCCATTAAATCCACTATGCTATTGACAATGATAGATGGCAAAGTGTGTAATACCGCAATGGTAACTAAATCACCTCTAAAATGTTATACAGGATATTTTCTAGGGGCGATTTTTGGGTCCATTTTAAAAACTTCCTAAACTAACCAAAACTTCATACATACTGAACTATTGAGATACAAAAATAAAATACTTTTTTTTTCTATCTGGAATACCGCTTTAGATATTTCAATGAAATTTGACACACATGCATAATAAACAGACATTCATTGTACGCCACTGATTTCTCTTAAAATAAAAATTATTCTTACGATCTTGAATCATTTCTAAAGAAATTTAATTGCTTGCTTTTAATAAACAAATAAAAACCTCTGCATGGTCATAACAATATCGTTAATATGGCAGCGTGCGGAGAAAATAGTTTTTATTTTTAAGTGAAAACCGTGCGACAGACCAAAAAATAATAATAATTAAGAAATCATATCTGCTTATTTTATTTTTTGAAAACTTTACCAGTCTGCATGTCAAAAGTTAAGAGGTTTACACGTTCATATACGGTTTTCTTTTTAAAATTCAATTAGAAAACACCCCGCATATCCATGTTTCAATTTTCTTCTCCAAAGATTGTTAAAATATTCGTCGAAATGAAAATAACAGCATGATTTACTGATTTTCCACATTTTCTAAAGCATTTAAAAAGTTTAAATAAAAATTTGCACTGAGATTTTAGATTGTCAAACTTGAAGAACCAGTTAGTTAGTTAGAAAATATTGCTTCTTTAAGTTAGCGATGACCATAATTGCCGACTAGAAACAGAATATTTATTTTGTGAAGCAAATGTGGATTAATTTCAACCGTTTTCCTTTTTTTTAACTAACTGCATGACTATTTTTGACACTGAAAAATTAATTAATAAACATTTTATAAAACGGTTAATTCTTGTTTGGTGTAAGTAAAACATTAGGCTTGCTTTTGAGTTTTCGGAATGGGGTAAATATCAATTTTTCGGCTTACCTGACATAAACCTGAGTTGTTTAACCTATAAAACCTAGCGATTTCGCATGAGGTTACGTCACAGCCTCGTTTCGGCATCATACCGATGCCCCTCTGCGGGTCAGGAGTTTGGAAGGTGTTAATGTAGTGCACGAACGGCGGCTCCGCGGTAATTTCGAAATACCTACAAAAAAAATAGAAGTAAGAAATTTTCGAAAAAAAATGTTTGTATGTACGTATTTTAAAAAAACGAAGGAGAATGAGACAATCCTCTAAATACTGGATTAAAAGAAAAATTATGTCTTCAGCACGTCGTGAAGGATAGTGACACAGTATTGAGATTTGAGGAACGCCCCACGAAGCAAAGTATTCATGGAGTCCAGAAATGAAGAAAACAAGTTAACAAGAGATTCAGAAAACCTTGTGGATTAGACGTTTGTGATTCAACTAAGATATATGACGTCCATTTGAGCACCTTCATCGATAGCCTCAGAAATATACTGAGACATAGCAGTTAAATTGGTAATGGTGGATCTCCATATAAAATAAGTAAGAGGGATTCTAACATATTAAAAGAGTTGCTGGTTCAAAAATAATACACAATCAATCTATAGCCTGTTTAACTTGACAAAATTACAACATACTGGAAAACAATAAAAAAAATAACATTTTGAATAGAATAAACACCAAACATCTACCGCGTCTACAGTATAGTATGGTATTTTGGGGTGGGGAAGAATACTCAAAAAATTGGAAATTTTGCAAAAATGTCTCCCAAAAACTCCCAAAAAACTAGAAATCACTCTTCTGTATTGCTATTTAGAAACTCGCAATGTTTTATGATGAGGCAATAACTTTTTAAAACAACAGTTTTAAATATTTACAAAAACAAAACCGAACCATGAAATATTCTCGCAATACAAGAAATAGATAAAAAGAAAGGAAGAAAAAACAAATTGACCAAAGACCTTATACATTTTTATAATTTCCTCGGTACAGATTTAATCCATCTCAAAAAAAATCGGTCAGTCTCAAAGCAATAAATATATAATAAATATAATAAATAAATAATAAAGATAAAAAAAAGTAAAGAATGTGAAAAACAAAAAGTCGACGATTTACATGTAAGATGTGTTCGTTTTCAATATCAAATTTGAAGTAACATTTGTTTTGTACAAAAGTTTCCCGGACTCTTCTGAAGATTTAAGACCCTGTATATTTCCACATTTTTTGAATCCATAATTAAAATAAAGGTTCATGAGAAAGTTCTTGAGAAATTCCTACTCGAATTTTGCAAAAGTTTATGTTTATGTGTTTTTTTTTTCATATTTTGATTGATTGATTGATTCAATTTACAAAATCTTAAGATTTTCAAATAGAACACCCTATATTTTTATTCAGATATCAATTGTATAACAAAAAAAAAGAAATTTTACTTACTTTTCCAGATATTCATAGATATATTAAGATAAGACCCGTATAAATTCTTGTTGAATTTAAAGCTGATCACATTAGGTCACTTGTTGGCAATATTAGGTACTCTTTAAATAGCAAAGACACGATACTACTTCTCCAGATATACGAATAAAACCTATTGCTAACCATACAGGGTGTCCAGTAATAAGTGAAAATTTTGAAAAAAATCGACTCTATACTACACATTTTAACAGAATTAATAAAACTTTAGAATTAATATTTAAAGAAACATTTAATAGTTAATTATCTAGCTTGATTGAAAATACCTAATAACAAAAATGAATAATTAAACTTTATAGGTTAACCATACAAGGTAACAAATTTGAATAAATAAATCTATGAAACAAAAAAAAAACAGAAACAAATAACAAAAAAAAACTTAATTATGGTGATAATGTAATATATTGTCCATCCTCTGCAATACACATTGTATGGCGCGTCACAATGCTGGAGACCACATTTCTAACTGCATCAGTATTATTTAATGCAAGTCTCTATTGTGTAATTTTTTAACCTCGAAATTTTTTAAACCTCCAATATCTCAAAAAGTAAGAAAAATTTAAATATAAGATAACTTACAAAATTACCTTATTTTTTATCCTAGAATTGATATCTGAATAAAAATATGGGCTGTTCCATTTTAAAATCTTGAGATTTTGTTAATTGAATTCGCCAAAATGGCATCACCTATTTGGGACACCCTGTATAAGTTGAGGCGCATCTGTCAAACTGAGCATCATCTCCTTGATCTGTGGTTAAATTTTCGTTGCAATACCTGGATGGGTAGCGTCACAACACAATTTTATATGAGGCAATCAAAATATGAAAAAAAAAAAAAAACATAACCTCCATTCCTGCCTAAATTATTCAAAATTCGAATAGGAAAAATGTCGAAATATATATCGACAAAATTATAATATTTTAAATCTTCAGGAGAGTCCAAGAAACTTTTGTACAACACTTTTGTTAGTATCTCCTATGGGTTTTTAGATCATATAGATAGTTTTATTTGGTACACGGTGTACTTATTATTTATATATAATTACAATTATTCTGTACGTAATACAACAAAATGTATATGTATCTTGTGTATCAATTTCCCTACTACCACCCTGGTCCGGTGTGATTTACTCACCGAAAAATACCTAGGAGCAGATAAAAACATCAATAACATTAGTCATAACCATTTATTATGTGTGGGATTATACAATGTTCTGGGCAAGTGTGCCCAAAAGCACCAATGACGGCAGATAAAATCGCCTAATTTACAACACATTTTGCCCTCACCTTATGACGGAATCGCCTTTTCCACATAAATAAATCAGGTTGGTGTCGGGATCGTACAATGGGAACATGACACCGTTCGATGTGTCCAGCTCGACCATGACGATGGGCTCGTCGAGCGAGTCGGGCGTCCGCAAACTGTACTGCCTCTCTGACATCTTCGAGAAGCCCGTCGTAAATACGAGACCGTGCCTTAAAAATATCGCTCTCGTTGCTTTTGTACCTGTAACAAGAACGTCAAGATACTCGACTGCCGTTTTTCACACAAATAAGGTACAGGATATCCGTACTTCCTTAATTTAAATAGAACACCCTATATATTTACACATTACACGTCTAACTCTTACCTTATTTGTTGATTTCCATACAGAAGGAATAAAAAGTTGAAGAAGTAAATACAAGATAATCAAAAAGTAACATTAAAAATTTATGCATGTTATTGTAGGTAGGTTGATTATTTATAATGCATATGACAAAGAGAACTTTTGTAATTAGGATGTAATTGGTTTCAAACAAAAACGATCCCCTGTGAATCAAAAAAAGTTCAGATTAACAAACTTGTCGACGTTTCGCTCATCATCCTGTTGGCTTATATACAGTTTGAGGGGGGGCGGAGCCAAAGGATTGATTCCTATACTGATGAGTCGCGGTTGAGATTGTTTGGATGCAATATTTCATTGGTAGAAGATTTGATTACATGCAAGAATTTTAGTATTATCGAATATGATTTGATGTCTTTCTCATGCCGGTTGGTTGGCGAAATGTCACTAAGTTTTATTTATAAACAACCGACGTACGAGAAACCCAGAAGGTTTGTAAAAACAACCATCTGACAGACTTTAGAAGTCAGACTTGGCATTGCATGCATTGTCACATTACCATCCGGCCCAAAAATCATTGGTTGCCAACTTTCTTGTTTACAGAGCCGTAAAATTATCTCAACCCGAGTGACTGAACTCAGAAATAAAACTGCTTCCATCTGCTATTCTCTCTAATAATCTGCAGATTAGCGATATTACGGTACTACAACCTTCCAAAAACAACTTAAAGCAACCAAACAATGTTAACCTCGACTCAGGTCTTTACATTTGAAAAATATGGGATTCAGTGATCCGAGAGGATGTCCACGCCCCTCATTTAGCTCCGCCTCCCTCAAACGATATATTAGGAGAATATAATGCTCTGAACAAGCAAACGGCAAATTCGATTTATAAACAAACTTACTGCTTGTCATAGAAAATACTCTCCCGTACTAATAAACGAAATATAGCATCATCTTTCCCCGCTATTTCTTGAATAAATTTTTAAGTGAACCACGTAAGAAACACACCAATGTCCACCACTATACCAGTATTAGAAGACAGTTAATGAAACCAAAACTCAGTCGTATGTTTTATAAGAAGTCCCTTTATATTAATATGATAATTTACAATTATTACTATCAACATCGCAATTAAACAAACAAGTCCTGTCGGCCAATGCTTTCTACATTTGAGAGCGTTTAAATGGTCTATGTTTTCTTCTCAAAATGATTGTGCTTGTTTTTTATGTATTTTTTAAAAGTTAATGCGGTTTTATTATATACACAAGTATTATGCGAGCCTCTTTGTTATTTTTATTATAATTTGCTTCCTCCAAGTTTAAAAACTCTCTATCAACATCGCAATTAAACATACAAATCCTGCCGACCAATGCTTTCTACAGCATGAAAGAATTGGAAATATATTTCGAAGCGTTTAAATGGTCTGTTTTTTCCTCAAAATAAATGTGCTTGTTTTTTGTCATTTCTTAAAAATTAATGCGGTTTTATTGTATACACAAGTGTTACGTGATTCTTTTCTGACTATCTATCTATCTATCTATTATAGCTATAGGGGCAAAGGATTCAACTGTTCGAATTACCTTCGTGTGCTATCGCTTCAGACTTAACGGTTCCAGTTCTAGGATCGAGGATCCTGATTTTTTTGTCCTTACAAGTTGTGAGAAGTTCCGAGCCGTCCCAATTGAAACAGGCGCTGTACACGATGTCCGGATGACAGTCGATTTCCACCAGCGCCTCGCCCGTGCCTTGAAATGATAGGGGAACCCCGTCAATACCGAAAAAGCCCCCCCCCCCCCACGACAATGAATATAGACACTAACCCACGTTCCAAATGACGACCTGATTATCGCTACCCGCGGTTAGCAGTACGTTCAGCGCGGTGGGATGCCAAAGGACCAGTCCCACTCTTCTTTGGTGATAGACGAGATCGACGATAGGTTCCGTGAGTGTTTTGTGCAGCCCTCCATCCGGTATGTGCCACACCTAAAACGATCATTTACAGCGTACGTCGTAACGGTAGGAGAGAGGTACTTTGACGACGCAATCTTCCGATCCGCTGGCTATGACGTTGTCATTGTGCGGACACCAAGCTATGTCGAGTACGGGACCCTTGTGGCCGCCCACCAGAGGATGGTCGGCCGCGATACGACCCACCTGGAACAAAATCATAGCCAATGTTGTTCAGTGTGATATAGGTGTTCGTGTCGTCCCGTTTGAGGACTACACAGAGTTATTCGTTATATCAAATAAATAAGAACTAAAAGTTCAGATTTTTACGAAATTATATATATTCACATGACAATTGTTTCGACAACACCGTGTCTTTATTTTTGATAAAGACACGGTGTTGTCGAAACAATTGTCATGTGAATATATACAATTTCGTGAAAATCTGAACTTTTAGTTCTTACGAGGGCAACGCCAAAATTTCCCGTCTTGAATATGAAAGAAACAAAGTAGAGTAACAATTTTTTATTATATTTCGATATAATCCCCCTTAACTTCAATACACTTATTACATCTCTTTATTAACAACTCAATCGCTTTAAAAAAATAATCTTTTGGCTTGTCTGCAAAATAAGCTAAAAGAGCCTCTTTCAACTCAATTTCGTCGTTAAACCGGCGTCCACGTAAGTCCTTTTTCAAATATCTATCTATGATCTATCTGTTGGAACCCACACTCTAAAATGGCAGCTTGTGCAACACCAACAGTATGGACAGGTGCATTACTGTGCAAAAGACGCCGCCTCTGGGCAGTTTTCCTCGACGTTTTACACGTATGCAGTCTCGCAATTTATGTAATAATGTTACATACTATTTACCATTGACAGTGGTATTAGTTTCTTTAAAATCTGTCAAAAGAATTCCTTCACAATCCCAAAAGATCTTAGCCATCACCTTTTTTGTTGACTGGCAGACTCTGAATTTTCTTGGAGGTGCTTCACCCTTACGACGCCACTCCATTGATTATTTTTTCGATAGAGGGTCATAATAGAGAACCATAACAGGATTCGGTTCCGACCCACAGAGTTCCAAAAAATACCGCGCACCCTCGACACGGCGTTGTTTTTAAATAGCCGAAAGGTTTTTAGGAACCCATTTTGCACTAACCTTACGCATACCTAAATGATCATGCAAGATTCGACGAACACTTGTATCAGAAAGCTTAGTACTTTCTGACATTTCCTTGACCTTTAAATGTCGATCACTCAATACCACCTCTTCCACAATCGCAACAATATCTTCCGTTATGACCTCCACTGGTCGACCAGTTCGTGAATCATCTTCAAGGGACTCCTGCCCCATTCTTTCACTACAGAATACAAAGGAGAACTTTGGCCGTACACACCATCCAACCTTTCTTTAATAATTTTAGGCGCTAACCCTTCTTTTGTCAAAAACTTTATGACTGCTCTATACTCAATTTGCTTTATTTGCGACATTTTTTCGGACACGTCTTGTTTAAAATGCTGTCGATAAAAAACTATTTGACGCAAGACTTCCATTTTTTTTCGCGGCGCACTAAGATATATATTAACAAGTTTTATCGTGATATTGGAGCTGCATCTATGTCAGGCCGGGAAATTTTGGCGATAATCTCGTATTTATTTTGTTAAATGGATTTTCATCAAGTAAAAGCCACCTCAGTTCAATTATTCGTTATACTTTGACGCCCACCTACAGGGTTAATTTTGAAAGATAGAAAAAAAAAGTGTAAATACAACAGTATGAATATTTTTGCTCTTTTATCTTATGCAAATGTCAGAACAAACAAACGACGATCGCAAGCTGTCGACATCTGTTCCATTTTGCAATATCGGTTTAAATAAATAAAATTAACAAAATGTTTTAAGTAAACTGTCCTCTAGTGACAGATTTCTGAAACGCTTTCATTTTGTAACGATGAATTTTAATAAATCAGAGCTGCGTGTAAAATACCAGCTTAATTAAGCACACTTACTACGATCATTGTAACACGTTGAATGTTTCCTCCAAGTCACCGAACTCAATTTCCGAACACGCTGTAAGTTTGTTTCTTATATGGGCTACTTGTATCAAACACATTTTCAAAGGATGTAAGTGTTTGTGTTAATATTATCTGATTATGACAGACTGACTTTTATGACTTTTACAAATCGAAGAATGTCGTATTGTGTATGTGTATTCCAGCTTTATGAAAATTAATATAGTTATGTTTTCTGTAGTCTGTAGTTGATGCTTTTTATTTTTATTCTTTAAAATATCATTAATGGTACTTGTCTTAAGCCAAACAGTCCTAGCAAACTTCACGCCGGAACATTAGGCAAAACAAAATTGAGACGTCTATCTAACAAAAAAAATCGAAATCGAACCGTAAACAAACAATGATGCACCGGGTTATTCGTTATATTTTGATACCCACCTACAAGGTTAATTTTGAAAGATAGAAAAAAAAGTGTAAATACAAAAGCATGAAGATTTTTGCTCTATTATCTTATGCAAATATCAGAAAAAACAAACGACGATCGCAAGCTGTCAAAATGAGAGCAAAATATATTTTTTAATGGAATACCCTAAATATTATTAGTTTAAATAGACAGACAGATAGTAGATAGTTTATTCACATTTCATTAAGCCGTTTTTGAGGTATTTCAGTTTAAAAATAATTATTATTCGATTTCTGGACAATAACCATATTGTTTAAAAATGATCGAGTCTGCCTCGATAGCAACCATATCATCTATGCTTGCAATTATTTTAACAGTGTTCTACTTTTGACAACTAATCAAGACTAAAGATCTGCGGCCTAAGTTAAATAACTTATGGGTTATACTGAGGAAGAAAAACGCCAAATAATAAAATTATTAAAGAGAATATCGACAAATCTATCCGATTAGAAAAGTTCCTTCTTGAGACAAGTACCACTAGGGATATTTTAAAGAATAAAAATAATAAGCATCAACTACAGACTACAGAAAACATAACTATACTATGTAAGTACATTGTGTCTTACCCCAAGGCTCACTCGCAACTGGCTAGGACAAATTGCACAGTGAATTCGACTGAATTCAGTTTATAATCAGTTTTATTCCCATCATCAGGTGAAAACCCTACCTATTTTGCTAAACAATGAATTTTGTTTTGCACGTTGTCATTCATAAATTTGATTTGAAAGACGTCAACTTTTACCTTACCCGATGGCTGTAATAAATAAGAGGCAATAATGGCAACAAAATATTGAAAAATATACTCACAGGTTAATTGAAAATATTCTTTTGAATGCGGGTTGCGGCACGCTTCGATAAAACTAACCTACATTTTTTTGGAAACAATAATTGATCGTATGCGTAGGAGTTCATGTGTCCTGTGCGGATTTAGCACGCGATGTACGTCCTGTATCTTTAAAATAACTACCCCTTTGCTAATTCGGATTATGCCTATCTAGTATCGACTGTCAAATTACAAAGTCCGCCTATTTCGATATAAAAATCACGTCGTCCTTTTCTATTTGACATTCGACCGTCTGCTACATCCAGATCCCTCACGAAACGGGACCGATCGCCGTTCGGAATTTTCGATCATATGAACATTCGACCATTTGTGGTGTTCCCTATAGGAAAAATGCTAGTGACGGTTCGCGATGTGACGTTTATTCGAGGGCCGATAACCGGACCCGCGATACACGAAGAATATTAGGCGTTACCGGATAATTATTTATAGAATTCTACTGAAGAGGATCGCAATCGGCCGACTACATCCATTGCGACTCGGCAGAGTTTGTAGTCGCTGCGCGTACCGACGCGACGACGTCGACATCCCGTCTCGTCCGCTAAAAACTTACACGGAATAAATTATCAGGCGGGTCATAAAAGTTATTCTCTCCCCCCCTTCCCCCCGCAGCCCCTAACCGTTGTGCTTTTTCTTCTCGAACCAGCTGCGAATGTACGAGACAGCTATAGAACTGATCCAAAATTATTGCATTTTTCAACTCTTATTTCTATTAAAGTGTTAAGCTAGTCGAAAAAATTATAGAAAGTTATATGTGTATGTGTATCAGAAAATAATAATCGTAACTTGTACCCTTTAAACCGAAACTGCACAGAATTTATATCATAAATCAAAAACCAGGCTAATATGCCTGAATATGTGAATTATAAAAAAAGTACGTTGTACCGTTTAAAGAAAGACATGGTGCTGCTAAATATAGCAACAGAAGCGAACAAGAAAAATAGTAACAGCAATAGCAATAGAAGAAGCAATGAAGTTGATTTTGAGCTAATTTGTACCATCAATCTAGCTAGTTTAATATTAAGCTAGAAGAAAACACATGGACAGAAAAGCAAACACACAGAAAGATATACCATGTATTGTTTAAAAAAGGACACGGGTTTGTTAAATAACGCAATATTCTAAAATTCAAAGACAAATAAATAGCTGATTTAGTGCTAATTTGTATCACCAAAAAACTCCAACGCAGAAGAAAAAAAATAGAAATAGATACGCCTGAAGATCTACTAATCTACTAATGAAAAATGCACAAAAGTTCACCCTTATCTTTTTGCTTCACATTTTAGAAGAAAACGTTTAATATACAGATTCTACGTAATACGCAATAAAAGGCGTAAAATCTGGAAAATATTAAAAACTCTGTCTTGATCCTCAATAAAGTTTTTTGAAGGCACCCTGAATCGTTGTCAGTAACAAAAAAAAACGTAATAAATATAAGACTATTCTCCATTTTACTGATATTTCTTACTAAAAACGTCTAATTCTTCAACTTGGTTTAGAGTGTATAATATATTATATTATATATTATTCTATATTAGTATATATTAGTATATTAAATTTTTTTTTTTAACTTTTAATGCATAAATTGAGAGTTTATTTTTGATTTCCACCATAAACAACCATAAGGAAACACTTTTTCTTCTGTCAAAATTGCTTGATTAAGACGCCGAAACTCTTATCGTAATAATCAAACAAAAAATGGAAATTTTAGTTATTATATATTTAGTATAGTTAATTATTTAAATGTATATTATATTTGTATATCATTATTTAAAAAAATATATATTTTAAACCTATTTTTTCGAAATTAAGTAAAGTGTCTCTTGTATAGTAATAACTGTTTAGATGTATCTCATTTTTAGTTGATTTGGTTGATTGATTGAATTTTGAGCTTAATTTTCAAAACAACTTTACGACAAATACCAATCAACGTTTCCGCTACGTTTCGATAGATGCGGCAACACTGCGATCCCATAAACAATTGTCAAACGTCAAAATTCAAGCCGTGCGGTAAAATTTTCGAAAACATCGGTAATATTCCGGAAATGTCCGAAGAATTATATATCGATCTATAATTGGGTATTTTACAGAAGGGAGTAGAAGTTATGTGAAGATTATTTCCAAGAAAAAGATTTTACCGACTCACTTAAAACTAGACCGATCAAATTTTCACTCCCTTTTAAGACCGGACCAAAAAAGCGTCCCAATGAGTCAGGCAAGTTGCTTTTAAATTCTGAAGAGAGCCATTTTTATTAAAATTTTAATAACTTTGCCAATAGATCTAGCGTAAATTGTGAACAAGAAGACATGACCTGCAAGACTACATACTTTAGAAGACAATAAATTGAAATTGAACTCTTTACAATTAATCTAAATAAAAATGAAATACTTAATAATAAAAAAATATTATTATGATCTACATAGTTTTCAACACTAATAAAAAAAGTTGTTTTTTTTTTTAGGATTTTTGTTTTTGGTTCAATTTTAACAACTGTTATTTTGTTGTATTTGGTTGTTTTTGTTATGTATTTGATTATTTGATTATTTTTTTCCCTAAATCATTAGAAATAATATTTGCGTTTTATCTTTAAAATTTTCTGTTTACTCTCTCTACTTAACTGGTTCTTTTTGTTTGACGATTTTCACTTTGTTAGTTTTAGGCAACTGTTACTTGGTTATTTTATTATCCTTTTTACCTTAAAGCGTTGAAAATAATGTTTTGTTTTATTTTTAAAACTTTTTTTTTTCAAGACTGATTGTTTATTGCCTTAAAACGCATTATTTTTTCTGTTTATTTTACTTAGAACTAGTATTAAGTCGTTTCAGCGATAGGTAGTCGAGTAACCATGTATTTTTCGACTATCTTTTTTTTATCAACATTTTGTGATAGAAATAAAAATAAAACCTCTTTTTAAATTAAAACAACCATTCAACTAGTTTACTTGTGCTAAACATTTAGATCTAAAAAGTAAAAGTGAAATACTTGATCTATCTATATGTATAACAATAAGAAATTTTCAACACAAATTACAAAAAAAGTTGTGATACGAACAAGTAACAGAAATTTATCGTAAAAAAACACTTTATCGACAGTATAAGTAATGATATTGTTAAAAAGTTTGTTCTTTTTTTTGAGGACTTTTATTTTTGTTTCAATTTTGGCAACTGTTATTCATGTAAATATTTTGTTAAGCATTTTTTTTATCAGTTTTAGACAACTGTTGCCTTTTTACCTTAAAGCGTTCAAAATAGTATTTTTGTTTTATTTTCTAAAAATATTTTTTCACTAAGAATGATTGTTTATTGCCTTAAAACGCATTACTTTTTTTCTGTTTATTTTACTTAGAATTAGTATTAAGTCGTGAAACCTTTCTTTCTTTTTAGCAACATTCTTTGATATAAATAAAAATAAAACCTGAGGCGGTTTGTAAAAATATTATTGGGCAATACTAGGCGTACACTAAAATTCCAGAAAGCCCGCGCTTTATTCAAAAAGGCGGTAGTAACAAATCGAAGACTAACACACACGTAGGTAACGACTGCCTTTTTGTTTCTTTCTCTATGACATTCACAAAAATTGACACCCCGTATAATTTGATGCGAACGAATTTAAAAAAAAAGGGTTTGACGGTACATCTAAATCCGTGCGCAGTGCAAACAAAACCCAATCTTATTGTAAAAATAGCTTCCGAGAGCTGAATTTCGAAAACTGCCCACTATCGCGTCTACCATGAAAATTGGCAACCGTTCAAAAGCCATTTACAAATTTTCGGTCGAAAATAAATCCGGACTCGTACACACGGGTCCCCGTTGACACCGCAGTTAATTTTGCAAAAACGGACGCTCAACAAGTATTCGATATTTCCAAAAAAATCGAAAATTTAGAAAACAACACGCCTACTAAAGATCGCCGCCAGTATCATCTTTCTTATCGCTAAATATTAGGCAGATAAGGGCTTTGTAATCGAATTTTTTTTTATTGTAGTATTAAGTAAATTCCATTATGCCAGCCAGCCAGATGGAAACTTGACTAAAAATTTATTTTTTGAATATGAGACTTACACAATACTATACACAAAAAAACTATATATAGCGTGTGCGGCTGAATAAAAATTTCAAAGAGACTAAATATCCAATTTTCCAAAAATCCACATATTTAAAAGATTTTGCCAAAATATTAACAATAACCTAAAGCCTAAATAGAACCCACAAAAGACAAAATAAAATATGGAGTAAATTTTTCTTTTAAAAAACAAGACAACTAAAAGTAAAGGACTAAACAGAGTCATATTTATGATATCAATAGTTTTTTTGTCATATCATGAAATGAGCAGTTCTACTAGTTTATCATTAAATTACCCCACTTTCAGGCTTTTCGACCAATCTGGATCCCATATGAGAATAAACGAAACAGCATTCCTACCTTAATACTTTGTGGTAAAACTATAAAGGCGCCCCCGCCCGCACTCTCCACAATGATCGCTATAAACTTTGGGTTCACGGCACAAAATGTAGAATCCCACGAACTTTTTGATACCCGAATGTTGTCGTAGCATTGCTCCCTTTTGAGTGCTTGGCCGTAAACGTGTCGAAACTTGGAACTTCTTACAACGCGGAAGGACATCTGAAAAATTCAAAAAACATACATCAATGATGAAAACGGTGGAAACAAATTTAAATAGCTATATGTGCGCCAAAAACACTATGAAAAATATCAAATTACAATTAACTGCTCTACAACTCATTTGATCGGATTTTTTAGGCGTAATATTGTTAAAAGCTTTTTCTGCCAAGTGACGCAAAAAATGTGTGAACATCCGCGCTTTCGGCCTAAAAACGATTCAAATACAAACAATAAAAGCGAAAACATAACCTATAAAAATATTGTTTTTGAATCATCCCACCGATACGAACCTTTTTACTTTGGAGTTAAATTCCTTTAAATAGTTCCGGTTACTAATATTTACATTAACGACTAATATTAATTTTAATTAAATCTCACAAGCGCTTCATATCTACTTCACGATATTACACTTCGACTTGGGAGAAAAACCATATTTGGTTATGCGAACATTTTTGAAACGTCAAACATGACGGTGGCGCCATCTATTGGAGGTTTCTGCATTTTACTTTTAGAGCCATCCGTAAGAATCGTATATTACAAAAATGTTACCAAAAAATTATCTCCATTTCAGTGTTCATCAACGCTAGATGATTTGTTCACAAAAAATTTACACGACGTTTATTTCATAGAACGAAATGGAAGACATCTATCGGTGCTTCCGGAAAATGCTAATGGTTGCAACTAGAAATTTTCATGGACTGTATGGTTTGGTGGTAATAAAAATGCAGGCAACGGTCTTACCCACCCACTACTTCTAAAAACGGCTCCTAGGTGCGCTGTCATTTAATTTAGGCAAGAAGGTTATGGCGAACGGACAGTTTGTCGAAAGTTCGATACTTGAAAAACTAACGATGCGTCGCTGTATAGTGTAATAGACAAATCGCACCCTAAATTTGAGTGATTAGTTAAGTGAAAATGAAGGCGAAACCTTCCAAAAGAGTGGCCGGGATGATAATAAGATCCCGAAAGACCATCGCGAAGGATGGTGTGGTCACGGTAAGTTGACAGTTGCGTTAAATATATTCCCAACAAATATGAACTGGTTTTGTATTGAAATATCAGATGGTTTACGCATGTGAACTTTGTAAAATACTGTTTTCCTTACATTGAAAACTGGCAATGGGCTCGTTCAACTGGATACTTAATTCATTCAATTGCAATTCGTTAATCGAGACTTAGCGGTTTTTAGATTCGTGCTGATTTCACTTTTTTTGCGATATTCAATTATTACAATGATAAATTCGAACATATTGTACATTAGTCATCATACTTATAACGTGATTATATAGATTTGCTTTTCAAGGAAGTAACTTTAATGCTTCTACAAACAAAAGTTACTTATAGAATAACCAATATTTAATCCATAATAAAACATTTGTTGTTGATGCTAATACTAATGTATCAACTTATTATTATTATCAATGTTCTTTTTAAGCTCTAAAAACTTGTCTTGTGGGAAGGCTTTTGCCCCATCGTAATTTTCAGCGTTTTTAAAATTTTTCATTTTAAGCATTAAACTTTAATCTCTTCATTAACATATTTAGATGACGAGTGTCACTCTTTACACCGATAATTAAATGCGCAAATAATATCGACTAGGAATCTGAGTACTACGTCAGTGATACATAAATTTTTCCATTGTAGTGTCGACTTAAGTGCTTCATTATCTTCAAGAATTTTGATTTTCAAACAAAGAAATTTTTTTATCAATATTAGGCATTGCTTCAAGTTTTACAAATTGCCTGTGCCTTAATTATTTCTTTTAATGTTTTGTGTTTCTGGTAGATGATTTTAAAAATGTAAAATACTATTATGTTTTATTTATCCAGATTATCTCAAATATACCGAAAAAAATTTTTTATTTTATTTAATTTTTAACTAAACCCATGATTTATTAGGAAGCTTCGCTGTACCTTAAAGAGTAAATAAAGAATTTTAAAGAAAAATAAATGGCACCTAAAGCTCCCCCACCAGTAAGTCCGTTTTTACCGACTAGGATTAAGTAACACCGTTTTAGTGTAACAGAGAGTTTTTTTGGCAACAATGGGCAGTGTTTTTACCACAGTTTAAGCCGAAGCTAAGGATGCCATGAAATTGTGTGATGTATAGTGTGTATCAAAGTATGTCGTCTCGCCTTTTTTTATTTTGTTATAATTTTTGTTTAGTTTTCGCTAGTCAAAACAAGAATTGATTGCAACTGCGGATTTTCGTTTCATATTATCGCTTTCCATGGCGAAGGTATATTGGCTTTCTTTGTGAATGATGATAGCGGATTTGCGAAGCACCAGTGAATATTTGAACTTTCGTTTTTACCATGCACGTCGACAAAAATACGTAGATAATGAAGAGGTATTTTTAACTCGCAATCCTTTGTGGCATTTCAGTTCGTTGCCTCCGTGTGTAGTGTGTTTTCTGATAACTGGATATCCGATCTGAGAAATGATATCAGCTACAAAAACGAGTGTGATACAAAAGTTTGTCGTATTGACTTAAATTACTTCCGCATTTGACAAATAAAAGATTGATATTCGTTCTACCTTATCCCCGTTGAGAACATTTTTATATGCTACAGCGTTGCCATATTTCGCGTATTGGAGAGTTACTTGATTTTTTAAAATGAAACCCCCTAGGCGGCGTGTTTTACTTTTGATGGTACCCTAGACGTTTACGGCGAACGGTACATTTTGGTTAGTCCCATAAGCGGCGATTGATTTAAGGTATTATTAACGTTGCGACGTTGCCGCTTCTTCGAAAAAGCATCGACAGTAGAATTTTAAATGCATATTATTGCATTTTCCGATCCACAAGCACTTCATTTTTCGAATGATACGTTGCTATACCTATCTTCAGCGTTATTCGAGAAAATAAATATTTTCTTCATAGCTTCAGTTAATGTTCTAGTTTTGGATGTACCTTAGGAAGGTATCGAACATAATTTCTCAGTATCGAAATTAGTTTTACATTATACGGGGTTGGTCAAAACTAATGATTTGCTTGCCCGATACAAAAATGGTAAAACATGAAACATCCTCTATATTATCACATATTTTTATACCTAAATCGTTTGGTGTCTGAAATAAAAGGAGAAGAAATAAAGAAATAAGTAAAAAATAAATATAGAAATAAAATAGATTCAAAATGGAAGGAAACCAGAATTCTAATGCTCTTTTACTGAATTTGTTTATAACATAACTTTAGGAAATTTAAACCTCGGGATTCTATGAACGGAACCAAGTTATCTTCTGCGTTACCCATCGATTCATTCAAAACAAAACATTTTCTTCGTTTTAAGTAAGACGTTTTAGTAAAGACGGAATTACCCTGAGTTTCGAATTCCAGTTTGTAAAGTTTTTGTTAATCCTTGCAGATTTTCTCTTGTTTATGTGTTGTAAATCAGGGTTCGTTTCATTATACTTTCTGCATGTTTTGACTTGAATTTGCTCTTAGAATATGTAATAATAACGAAGTGTTTCATTTTTTTAAGAATGCACTTTTCACAATTTTTGCACCTCGTAGATAAATTATTAGTTTTCTCCAACCCTGTATAGTAGAGAACTAATTTCGATATTAAGAAACAATGTACAGCTACGTCCAAAATTTTATCTTTCTACTGGTTCCAGTGTCGTAGTACGGTTTGGTCAAGACCAGAAAAGATCTATAGGAACGTATTGTTCGAAAAAAATCATTAAGTGTTAGCGGATCAGAAAATACAATATTAAAAATTTCAATGATGGTGCTACTTATTCGAACAAGCGGCAACCTCGCATCGCCGCTTACGAAACTAACCAAATTTCCAATGTATCGTCCGATGCAAACGTCGAACGAAGTCAACAGAAGTTTATTCTGTATTAAGTAAGTTCTTAAGAGTTTAATCTAAATGTTCTATATATTACGGAGGTATTTGACTGTGATCCTCCAGTACGTACCTGATTCTCCAGCTTCTTGAGATCTAACATTGGGTTATTGTGTTTACAGAAAACGTACGCACACAGACCGACACCTTATTGCATGGTCACATCACTATCCGGCCCAAAATTCGTCGGTTATCAACTCTCTTGATTACGGAGCCGTCAAACTATCTGAGCCCGAGTCATTGAACCCAGAACTAAAACACCTTACCTCCCCTCTTCTCTTTAATAATTTCCACGTTAAACATATTAAAACATATTAAGCGTTCCATCACAAAATACGCTTCACCACAACCTTTCAATAGCAATGAAACCGAAAACAATCCCACACTTGCCACTGTTGTCATTCTTACATTCAAAATATCACTGACCACATATCAAAAGTTCTAAAGAAATATAACGTCAAAATCCATTTAAGATGCCAGGAGTTTACAGCAAAATTATCAACTAGGCTCAAAGAACACGAAAGAGCCTTACGACTAAGACAAACTCGTTAGCTGTTGCCGAACACAATTATGAATACGGATATAAAATTTTATTCGATAAAACTAAAATTTTTGCATGTAATCAATTGTTCTATTAACGAAAAATCCGAAATCTCTAAGCAACCTAACAATCTTAACCGTGACTCAGGTCTTTATCTGTCACCAATATGGGAATCAGTCGTCCGAGACGGTGTTTATGGCCCTCATTTACCAGGTACATTGATAAGCTGTTTTGGCAGGTCTGACAATAAAGAACTGTAAAGAAAAAACCGAAATACATAGAAACGTTACTTCAAAAGGGATAAGAAGCAGAAGTCTTTGCTTCTGTTGACTTATTTTTATTATAAAATTAAAACCACTTGCTTTGTCGCCCAACACAAAGAATTTAACAGTTTACAGGGGACAAAAACCTTCTTTCTTTCAAATAAACTTCCACAGGCTACTGTAATTTTTTTTATGTTACTTCTGGATTCCTCCTGCGCCGGTGTTTGCTGAGTCGAACATGCTAACGTTTCACCAATCATAGCTTCTCAGACAAGCTCTGTTGTTTCTTTGTTTTGGTGGTTTAGTGATGGTACCATTAACGTAATTCGGCAAGAGGTAACTAAAATATCAGTGCAAAGCTGGTCTAACGAATAGTAAAAAAGGACTAGGTGACGACAGTAGCGACATTGACGATTTTTTAAGTTATTATTATTATATTTAATATTTTGTATATTAATAATGATGACCATGTAGAAATGTAATGGAATAGAACCTAATAACTTGTTACCAAAAGATTGAAAACATACTTATATCCCGCTTGTTAGTGTAGGTAGATAAATTCCTAGGACGGTCCTGGAATGGTGACGAGTAAGAGGCTGCGGTTTTGGAATAATAAACAGTATGCAAAGTCATCCACGGGGTCGGTTGTAAAAGCACTATATTTCTGTATACCATAAACAAGACATATAGTAATAGAGATCTCAAACAACTCTTTCATCGTACTAATTGCGTAACTAATTTATTCTTTTGCCAAAAACCAAAAGCAGTATTTTACAACCATAGGATTTTATTTATTGTTACCCTTATCTTTCATATTAATTTTAACGATTTGTTTATTACCACAGTTTTTTTTTCAGACATCAGGAATTGGGAGTCCGAGCCTGTACCACGCTCTGGTTGTGATATTTCTCGAGTTCTTCGCTTGGGGCCTGCTGACCATGCCCTCGATCTCAGTATTAAACTCGACCTTCCCCGACCATACGTTTCTCATGAACGGCCTCATAATGGGCATCAAAGGTATACTGAGCTTCTTGAGCGCACCGTTGGTCGGCGCCCTCAGCGACGTATGCGGAAGGTACGAGATACGTTCGCGTGTGTACAGGGTGTCCCATTATAAATTATCAAAGTCCCTGCCAGTTTTCCTAAACCTTCAATGCAAAATATAAATTAATAATTTTATCTGCCAAATTTTGACGGGTCGGCGTTTTGCAGAGTCAATCGACTAGTGGGGCTGGTCAATTGACCATTTCTTAATCAACTAGTCATATTCGATCAAAATGTTTTAAATAACTTCTTGCAGTTATAGAATGTTATCTATCATTATTTAATAATATGTATTTTATAATAAATTATTATGCAACTTACCTATAATCGTCCTTAACTAATACCCAATATTATACTTAGTAATTCGGGAAATCGCAATAAAAATATGCAGGTGGTTATTGCTTGATGAAAATCCATTTAGCAAAATAAATAAGAACTAAAAATTCCGATTTTCACGAAATTATATATTTTCACATGTCAATTGTTTCGACAACACCGTGTCTTTATCAAATGTAATATTTACAAACTACCTGCTACTATATATACCGAAAAATGACCATAAAACCTTTATTAATGTAGTTGTGAGAATTTAAGTTTAATAATGAGCGGTATTTAAATCTAATTGATCGTTAAGCAATACATTTGAATGTCTCATTTTGTTAATTTCCATGGCTTCCAATAAATTTCATTTTTTACTTTTTGTGGCTGTATGTAAAATATCAAAATTGTCGTCAAAAATGTGTTTTTCTGTGTTAAGTGTATCAAAATCCCTTCTAACGCTACACTATTGTCTTTCGATGTACAAAACTTATTTCCCAGTATTCCACCTATGGATGTGATAGATTTAGTAGATTTCACCCTCACTCGGAAACAGGTCAACCCATTGATGAAACAAGATTTATTAGATTGCTTAATAGTATCTTTAGACCAAAATTATTTTGAATTTAATGGACAGATTTACATCTCTAAGGAAGGTTTGATTATGGGAAACCCACTTAGTCCTTCGTTATGCGAGATTTTTATGGATAATTTCGAAAATATACTAGAACATCCTTTAAGTAAAAGTTGAAAGATGATGTCTTTGCTTGCTTTGTTGGAACGGACAGACAATTCAATGTTTTTTTAAATTACATTAACTCATTACATAATCGTAAAAAATTCACTATCGAAATTGAACAGGATAACTCTATTAATTTTTTAGACTTAACTATTAAAAAAACGCAAAACAAATTAGATTTTTCCATTTACCATAAACTTTCACACATGGACGCAGTCGTACATAACAGCTCAAATCACCCTTATACACACAAAATGGCTGCATTTCACTCTTTTATACACAGACTTCTTAATACGCCACTCTCAACAGAAAATTACAACAAAGAACTTAATATCATTAAACAAATTCTACTGAACAACGGCTACAATTCGTCCATTATCGATAAAATTATAAATAAAAAAACAAATCCAGACAACAGTAAACTCTATTTATCCGAAACCTAATACAGAACACGAACAATTTAAAACAATACACACATAGGAGAACCTAGTGAAAAAGTTTCAAAACATTTGTCAAAATGTGGTTTAAAAATAGCTTTCAGAACTAACAATACAGTAGGAACATATTTAAAAAACAATAAAACGAAATGTCCAAAATCCCAAAAATCAGGTGTTGAAATGCGGATCTTGTCCTAAAATTTATATTGGACAAAATGGTAGATCCTTCAAGAAACGCATTAACGAACATAAAAGAGTGTTTAAAAACAATAGTCTAGATTCTAATTATGTTACACACTTAAACACAGAAAAACACATTTTTGACGACAATTTTGATATTTTACATGCAGCCACAAAAAGTTGAAAAATGTATTGCTTAACGATCAAGTAGATTAAATACCTCCCCATTATTAAACTTAAATTCTCACAACATTAATTAAGGTTTTATTTGATAAAAACACGGTGTTGTCGAAACAATTGTCATGTGAAAATATATAATTTCGTGAAAATCTGAACTTTTAGCTCTTATTTAAAAATATGGGGTGCTTCATTTAAAATTTCCACGTTAAATGTATTTTTATATCTTGCTAATTGTACCTTATGTAGTTCCAGAATGTGTCGCAGAATCTAGAAATGTAATGACAGGGTGTTTCATTTAAAAAACGAAAGTTTATATACTTTACGAGTATATTTACCGTAAATTAATAGTATTTATGCAACAAGTGCGATAAACGACATTTGACTCACGAGTTTATTTGACACGAGCGGAGCGAGTCACAAAACTCACAATTTAACAAATTAAAAATAATAGTTCATCGGATTACTCAATTTCGCACCATTCGAACGAAATATTTACTAGTTGCCATTGTTGTCTCTTTTTAACTGTGTACGTTCGACAAAGAGAGATATGTCATTTAAACAATGGAATTAGCACAATTTTAAAATTTTATGTTGTTTATTTAACTTTTGCAATTGATTATTTAGTAGTTTATTTAAAGAAAAAGACTGTAATTGGAAGAAAAATCATCAGAAGGATAAAATTTTTAAGATCGTATATGCAAGAAAAAGCAGATTTAACCTTCAATTTTTGTTTGTTTGTACTAATATTTGTCTGATATATTACGTAACATTTTTCTGTGTATTCGTTTTTGGGTACATTTCTTTAAAACAACACGAATACATTCACTGACATGAGCGTCAGAATTGACAAACGTCAAAATCGAAACCGTGCGGTAATATCTCCGAAAACATCCGATCGCTGCCGGAAATGGCCGGAAAACCGACGTGGTAAAGTGACGTTTCCCGCACGCTAGATCGGCGTGTAATTAGGCATTTTAAGATTTTGTTATTTGATATACAAAATATTTTTCCGGTTTTTGGATCAAATTGTGTAATTTCCGATACGTTCTGTCGTATTCGTATTAAAACGCGCTTTTTTGTTCCTAGGAAACTGTTCCTACTAGTCACAGTATTTTTCACTTGCCTACCCATACCGTTGATGACGATCAACACGTTTTGGTTCTTCGCGATGGTGTCGATATCGGGCGTGTTTGCCGTCACCTTCAGCGTGGTGTTCGCCTATGTTGCGGATGTGACCGACGAGAAAGAACGCTCTCTGGCTTACGGATTGGTGAGCGGCACCTTCGCCGCCAGCATGGTGATATCGCCGGCCCTGGGGGCCTATCTCATGGAAAGGTCGGTACCATCCGATTGACAAACCTCGTAACAATCGCCTTCTGCGATAGCTTATTCTTGTTTTTTTTCGAAAAATCGATGCAATCCAATTTTTCGGAAAGTATACGCGCTTGGCAACGAAACATATCTCGGCGACGGTATGTCCTACCGGGCCGCCATTGGTACAGAAATGATCAGCGTCGAACAAAAGAACTTTTTTTTTTCTGTTCTCCGTTATCCGTTTCTCTGTAGGCCTGGCATTAATTGGCTATATCTTTGGAACGATTTGCAACATGGCCTTCAAATTTGGCTCCTTTTAAGCCGCGGACGAGCTACACAAACCAGTAAAAAATGAGTCTGATCAAACCAAGGCGGCCATCTTTTTTTTTTAGATTTTCGACTGTTTTCTGGACATTGCTATGAAACGCGATAGTCATGACTTGCTTAAATGAAACAGTTCGCTGGCCAAACTGCAAACCATCGGGAAAAATACTTTTTTTATTTGCAAGTAGCGTTTTTAAATTTTTCCACATTTCTTTACAGTTTGTTTTATTTCTATCAATAATATCTTTAAAATATCTGTCTTTTTCTAATTTAATGCAACTTACAATGGATTTCTCTCTTTTTTGTAGGCACGCCATGTATCATCATTTTGTTCAAGTACCACTCTTTTATACAAACAGTCTCTTTGATACATCATTTCTTTTATCACAGGGTTTATCCACTTCTTGTTTTGAATTTTATGAAATTATATAAACATTTCCTATTTTTGCCGATTTGTCAAAAAGATATTCTATTAAACACATATAGTATACAGGGTGTTACATTTAAAAAAGTATGATGTAGGTTTACATGTTAGAATTGACCAAGATAAATTAACCACACGGTACAGTAAATGTGTTTTTCTGAACAACCAAGACACGGACTTATTCAACTTTAGCCTACATTTGTTTAAAAGAAAAGTATACCAATTTTTTTAACATTCTTTTAGTTACTGTCTATTTGCTTAGGAAATATCTTCTTCTATTCCCGACTATGTGTAATCTTATGTAATTGGATTTGTAATAAAAAAAAATAAACATAACGGGTATGCCTTGCAGATGGTCAGTCTCTCTAGTGGTTGCCCTCGCGACAGCGGTCGCCATATTGGACGTGTTTTTCATCCTGGTCGCGGTTCCCGAGAGTCTCCCGGAAAAAGTGAGGGTCTCACCGATCAGCTGGGAACAGGCTGATCCGTTCTCGTCGCTCCGCAACGTCGGACAAGACCCCACCATACTGTTGCTGTGTATAGCGGTGTTCTTGTCGTATCTGCCGGAGGCGGGGCAGTACAGTTGTTTGTTCGTTTACCTGAAACTCGTCATGGGATGGAGCGCCCCGATGGTGGCCGTGTTCGTCGGTTTGGTCGGCCTGTTGGCCGTCATCACACAGCTCTGTTTAGGTGAGTCCCGTCTCGAGAATTTTATAGGTATACTAGAACCAGAAATGTAGTGTTTTTACAACCGACCCCGCGATTAACTTTGCCTACTATTTATTACTCCAAACCCGCAGCCCCTTAAAAAAAATTAGTACAAAGTAACAATTTATTACGTTCTATTTCATTACATTTATAATATGATGTAAATAACAGTCACTTAAAAAATCGTTACTGTCGATGATCGATGATGAAATGATCAACTACGCCACTAATCAATCTCAACAAATACAGTCGAAACTATATATAGCGAAATTGAAGGGACTGCTTTTTTTTTGTTATGAAGGAGTTATCGGCACTTGAAAAATAACAATATGCATATGTAATACATAAAAAATTTCTCTAGCAGCTTAACTGAATATAGGGCTTGTTGAATGGTTGGTGGTGGTCCCAGATCAATTTCTTCATCTTCTTTCTCTTGGTGCTGTTTTGCTTATTGTAATATGGCTTCCTCAGTCAAGTCTGCTGTTGTAGGCAAATCCTGATCTATCGCCGTAAAATCTTGCAACTCCTCACTTGTAAACGTAATTGTTGTTTGAAACTGCTTTATCCACTCGCTTAGTGGCTGATCATCTTCCAAGTCCTGTTCGCATTCTGTCTCTGTCTCTGTAATTCCGTAGATTTGGAATATGGGGATGTGCAAGGCAGTTATCTAAGGGAAGTAATATTTTCCTCCCCTTTAATTCTACTTCCCATTTCAGCATCTCCTCTTCAAAAATTTGCTATGTCATCCATGCAGACTTGCTATTCGCAGCTACTAACACTCTTATACGTTCTTTAAGAAGTTTTCCAGCCACACACTTTTCGCTTCGAAATTTAAGAATTTTATTCCGGCGACATTTTGTAAAAAATTCCAGTTTCGTCAGCATTAAAAACGTCGTAGCAGGGTACTCTTCTGCTAGTTTTGGCCACGAATTCTCCAGCCAATCGTTAGTGACGTTTCTGTCGACATCGCGAGCTTAGCCACTTATCTGTCCATAATTTATACCATGTCTCTGAACTCCCCAACCATCCTTCCGCCAAGCTGTTTAGCAAACTTTTCTGCTTTTAGTTTTGCGATAGGTCCAAAGAGTGGTACATATTTAAGACGTTACTGTTGAAATCACTGCAGTATTGCTCGATCCAACCTGAATAATTTTTTCTTTGCACTACCAAGTCATGGATACAGTCGATGGTCCAGATCACTTTTCTTTTCTCTCCGTTCTATCTCCCGAATGAAAGCAACTTTGTCATCTAGAAATAAAATTTTTCGCTTACTCGCCATGCTCGTCGTATTCACTAAGTCAAATTAGAACTGATTGAAATGGTGTGCTTTTATACATACGGATAAAGGAATTAACATAATCGCTTAGTACGAGAAAAATACTTAGGTTCTCGGTACAAGTACAAGTCGGCTTACATTCCTTGCTGTGTTACTTGATGTGCCCTTTTTTCTTTCGGTATAGAGATTGATAAATTGGTTATACAGAGTGGATTAATACGTAGCTTTGTATGGAGACCTAATAGTACAACAAATTTTGTTCGTAATACAGAATTTTACGTTATACAGAGTTTCGCTGTAGGGAGTTTTCACTGTATTTGGATAGGTCTTTAGATAATTTGAAAAAAAGCACTAGAGCTAAGTGTGTAATTTTGAAAGCCCATATAAATTGCGTCATTGTGCTTTATTTATAATTTGAATCTATTGCTATCTAATGTTATAGAAAAAGTTGACTAATATCTTTTCAAGGTGTTTTTAAATTTAAATTCGCAGAAATAGCGTGTGTCATTGTCAGATAATAAGATAATACAGATATGTTATATAAATTTTATACATACATATTCTATAATTAATATTTTTGAAAAATTGTAAAAATTATTTACACACAGTTATTTAGTATTGCCCAGTATGAGTATTTTTGTGTCTCTGTCATATTTATAGAGAGGCTAATCAATTGGTTTGTTTAGCGTAACCTTGGCAAAATTTGAAGGTCATTGCGCCTTAGTTTTGCTTCCGCCGAAATTATTTCTGTCCTTTCTTTTTTTTTATATTTTATTGTTCTATCTTGTTCAAATGCTATTTGCAACTAAAAAATGGTCAGTTCGTTAATAGATTACTATTGTATTATTCGTTGCAGGAATATTAATTAAAAATCTAGGCGCGAAACACACCATAATGTTGGGATTACTCTTCGAGATGCTGCAACTGTTATGGTACGGTTTCGGTACGACTACGTGGATGATGTGGGGTGCCGGTATATTGGCGTCTGTAGGTTCCATCACGTACCCCGCAATTTCCGCCTTCGTGTCTGTTCACAGTACCGCCGACAGGCAAGGGGTCGTACAAGGTAACTTCAATTTAGTCGCTAAAATGGCATAGAACGTTTCTTCAAACAAACGAACAACAAATCAATCCTATTTATTTTCAAAATCTTCTATCTGTCAAACACAAAATTCCGTTACCAGCAGTTTACAGCCTAAGAACTGTAGGCTAAAAGAACACGAGAGAGCCTTAACACAAATAAACTCAACAGCAGACATCAAATCTAATTCGATAAGACTAAACTTCTTACATGCAATGCACCAAAGAAAAACCCGAGAATAAAAATCAAATTTAAAGTAATATTTGTGTTTAAAATTCTTATATTATGTAGGTTAGGTTTTGTATTTCACATCACCATCCAGCCCAAAAAAACAGAGCCGTATAACTATCTCAACCCGAATCACTGAACCCAGAATTGAAACACCTTACATTTGCTCTTTTCTCTAATAATAATAATAAATAAAGCCAACCCACATATAACGTCAAAACCAGATTTGGTACTTGTCCTAAAATCTCTCAGCATCTTCAATCTGTCAGAGGTAAAATAAAAAATGTCAACGAGGCTAAAAGAACATGAAGAGGCTTAAGACTACGACACATCAAATCATCAGCTATACGAAATCAACGAAAAATCCAATAGTCTATGGAAATCCATAACCAACCTAATAATCTTAACCTCGACGCAGGTCTTTAGCCGTTCGAGACAATGTTCATGCCCCTCGTTTAGGTCCGCCCCCCTCAAACCGTATATGGGGGTATAGAGTAAAATGCAGTTAAGCTCTAAAGAAGCCAACAGGATGATTGGCGAATAGTCAGCAAGTTTGATTTATCAATAACGCACGAGGAATCCAACAAATTTGTAAACAGTATTCTAGTGTGGAAGTTTCTTTGAAAAAAAAACTCTCTCCAACAGCTCTCCAAGAAATGTTAAATTGTTTTATGTTTATATGGTTAGGCTTAAATTCTCACGGAAGGAGAACACCGACCGCTGGTGCTGTCGCAAATTAATTATGTCATTTTCCCAGCGTATTGACGTTTTAAAAATAATAAATACGGAGTGTTCAAAAACTAATATTAAAAATTTAAATTAAAGTTTACTTACTATGCTCTTTTCGGTTAGTGAACCGGAATTCAGTGTTAACTCGAAACCTTAATTATATATATATATATATATATATATATATATATATATATATATATATATATATATATATATATATATATGTATATCTCAAATTAACTAATAAAGAATACATAAAAATTCTAAACAACCAATCTTAACCGCGTCTTTGCCCTTGACCAATATGGGAATCAGTAGTCTTAGACGACGTTCATGGCGCTCCTTTAGCTCCGCCCCCTTCAAACCGTCTGTAAGCATGTACAGAGTAAAATGCAAGCTAGCTAGCTCCGAAGAAGGCAACAGGAGGAATCCAGAAGATTTGTAAATAGTATTAGCAGGTTTCTTTGAAAAATTAAAATAAAGACTTTTTATTATTATTATTATTATTATTATTAATTTTAAAATCGCCACTTGAGTATTTTTTCAAGCTTTATTTGTTGATTAATTTGTCCAGTAGTAAAAACTTTAAATAGGTTTACTTTTTTTTTACTGATTTTTTAGACGTGACCGTTGACGTTACTGCTGCTTCTGTCGCGTGCAATATTACCAGGATTTCAATGATCTTATTTTAACCTACACTACCGTTGGACCTTGACCGACGAAAAATATAATCTAATTAGCAGCCACGCATACACGCTACAATTTTTGTACGTTAATGAGCGAGGTGGGGCCGCGTCACGCAAAAAACCTTTTTCCATTTCTTTCCGTAGACCGAATTGGCGCCAAATGAATTTGAATGGAATCGATAGTCGTAATAATAAGAACGAATTCGCGAAATTACATTTTCTATAACACGCTAACATTCGCTAGAAAAATTAATTGATGTGGTAAAGTTTATAGCGATTACATTAATGCGACGCGTATCTTTTTTTTTTCTTATTATTAGTTGACAGTGGTATCCAAAACCGACTCGTTTTTAAGTTTTTAAGTGACGGCTATGGAGCCATTTTAATTTTTTTACTTTTCACCAAACTCTTAAATATTCTTGACTACGATTTTATACGCCAACTTGAGATATGGGATATTTTTTTATTTATAAAAAAATATTTGTGATGGAAGCATTTGCACTTTAAATTCAATTCCATTAAAATCAACGACGAATGAACATAATAACACAGAAAACTGTTTTCATACATCTTTGTGTGTGTATTTTGAAGAGAATTGAAAAGTTAGAAAAACCATTTTGAAATTTCATTTTATGAGCAACAATTAAAAAAAACTATGTATAAGTATTTGACAAACGGTGTTTCTTCTTTGCTATTAGGTAACGGGATTTTTGAAAATATTTAAGATATGTGTTATAGTGTTTTCCTGACCCCATTGTTCGACAAGCAAAAATAATACCATTTTACTACGTGTGTGCGTCTGATGAAGTGACGGTTATAAACCAAACTAACCAAACAATCGAGGATTTTGCCTTTGGTGTTTTGACCCAAAGATTCCCATCATTCCATTATATAAAGTCATTTCAATAACACCTTGTATATGTATAAAGGATATTCGACATTCAATATTGATATCTCATCAATTGGGGCAAAGGTGCTTCAAGAATATCTACAATTTTTGCCAAACACCCTGTATGATAATAATGATGTAGATTTTATTCCAGTAATTTTAAACACTTTACGGCTGCCCTTCTCTCTAATAATTTCCGCATTAGGTATATTAAGCGTTGCATCATCCCAACCTTCCAAAGACAATGGGTCCGAAAGCAACCCCACACTGTTGTCCTTCCTTACATTCAAAACATTACTGACCACAATCTATCTATAGAAATCTATAGAATTCTATAAGCAACCAAACAATGTTAACCACGACTCAGTTCTTTACCTCTCTCCAATCAGTCCATCCGAGTGTTCCCTTAGCCCCGCCCCCTTCAAACCATACATGAGCAGATACAGAGTACAATGCGAGTCAGTTTCAGTGAAGCTCCGAAGAAATTTGTAGTAAATTCTAAAGAGACTAAAAGCACTCGTGACTAAAGTAGCTTATATCAAACCTCTTCCACAATTCGTGCTTTTTACCAGATTTAAAAACTCATTGTTGTTTTCTTTCAGGGATGGTGACGGGTATGAGGGGCCTGTGCAATGGTCTCGGGCCAGCCATGTTCGGCGTGATCTTCTATATGTTCCATGTTGACTTGAACGAGGGGGAAAACAACCAGAACGCCACACATTCCACTATGGTTTTCGAAACGTACACAGAGGTAATTCGCGATTTAAATTGATTTTACTAAGGCACAGCTGCAATATATGCAATTAATACTGCTACTAATATGTAACTCTGAAACTGCCCTAACACCCATAGAGGATGTGGATATACTTTTTTTTTAAACTGTAGCGAAATCATCAGAGAAACAATTTTACAAAAATATTTTTATTAAAATTTATTTATTTATTTATGTTTATTGAAATGTTAGGTACGTACATAGTGTTTAATGGAAAACGTAAGTTTTATACTCAATGTTTGGACAGTTTTATCATACGTTTGTCCAAGTCCCCAACTTTTCTCAGCATTTTGTTTTTTCATTTAGGGGTTTACCTCACTTATCCAATTATTTATGAGCTGTCATTTGAATTTAGTTATTTTATTTTATTATTTACGTGTTTTTGTAGGAATAAACATTTGTAAACAAAGTAAAGACATATAAATTATGTGATAATGCTTATTTGAGATGCCTACCTAAGAATTATTTTTCAAATACGGTATTATACCTTCAACGGATGATTTAATTTTTGCTTATGCAGATTAGAAATCCAAATTAGAAAATTCGTTAAGTTAAACTTTTCTCATGTTAATGAATAGCGATTAAAGAAAGTTCAACAAAAATTGAGTTTTGAGGGAAGAGAAAGAAACTTTAAACAAGAATCTAACATATATTGCTTTAGACAGTTGTGTTATTTACCATTACGATTATTATGGGGCTCTCTGTTCTAATTTTTACAAAATGCAAATAAAAAATTTGATTTTTTTATGCCGTTTTATTGACAAAACTAGAGTCAAAAAAATATGTGAAAATAAAAGATAAATAAAGTAAATAAAAATTAAATTTTATATTTTATAATTTTTTTATAATTTCTTATTGTTATCTTTATTATTAATTTTAATTAATTGATTATATGGTTAGATTGGCTTCAAATTTGAACTTTGTTTTGTTTTGGCAGCTTGTGCCGGGGCCGCCGTTCGTTTTCGGCGCCTTCCTAGTCATATGCGCCATATTCGTTGCTTCGTTTCTCACGCCCAAAGCACAATTAGAAACAAGTAAGTGTTACAAAGCACGTTTGCGTTGTCTGATTTCCTATTCGAGAGCAATCATTTTTTTTTCTACGACCGTCATGAAAAAATCACAATCTAACAAATTAAAAATAATAACAGATTATCGGATTACTAAATGCAAAAACACACACGAATTTCTCAAAAAATGTCAATCACTTCACACACTTTTTGTATAAAAAAATATCTATATACTAAGAAGTATAAACGCATTCTTCAAATTTCAGGATATGCATTATATGATCGAAAATGTATTTGACTCTAACAGTACTAACTAGAACTAAAAAAAGTCGATTATTTGGTAGTTCATTTTATGGGTTGTAGAACCAATAAACCTAGTGCAAATCCTGAGAAAATTTATTTGAAAGTTATTTGAAACAAAAATAATTTGGATAACCTTTATTATACTCGGTAGATTAGTATCAATGTACTTTGTGGTTATTCCGTTCAAACTGCTATTTTTTTTTACTTAAAATTTCTAAGATTTTGAAACTAGATTTTTACTTTGTTTTATGCACATTATTCATCTATTTACTGAAATTGAGTTCTAAAATTATATAAAGTCTTTGCACTAGATGTACGCAGATGACGTGCTTTTAGCACGATTCACTAGACGTTTCATAAATCTCAAGGTAGATGGCGCTCAAGTCACCTAAATTCAAATTAAAAAATTCGTTAAATTTCAAATACAAAAGTTATTGGATCAGAATTCAGTGTTAACTTAAAGCGTTAACCAAAAAGGTGTCAATTTTATTTTTAGTTGCATCATAGAAATAAGAATTGATGAGGTAATTAGATTTATTGGCATATTTTTGCGGTACAGTCATTTAGCTGATATATTGTAAGTTCTCTCTGAATGACAATTATATTAAATGAAATATGTTCACGATCATCTAGTTAGGACAAGAGTTATTATATGATTAATTAATTGAGAATAAGCGATAAAAGACATAAAAAATTACAGTTAAAACAGAATCAGCCATATGTAAACTAATAAAAAAAATGCTTACGTTTCGCCATCGTCCTGGTGGCTTCTTCAGAATTGAGTTAAAACTGGCTCGCGTTCTACTCTGTCTCTGCTTATATATTGCCTGAATGAGGCGGGGCTAAAGGAAAGGCATGAACCATGGTCTCGTTTGGTTGGTTATAGATTTCTATGGATTCTACTAACGAAAAATTTGAGAATCCATTGAAATTTGTAAGCAATCTTAACCGTCACTCAGGTCTTTGCTTTTCACCATCCGCCCCTCCCTTAGCTCCGCCCCCCCTTAGCTCCACCCCCCTCGAGCAATATATAAGCAGGTACAGAGTAGAATGCGATCCAATTTCATAAGGGTTTTTAGTTGTGGTGAATACGGATTACATTCTATTTTTTCAAATACTATGCTCAGTTACTTTATTTTGTTGATTATGATAGGGTGATGTGATTTCTGTCTCATTGTTGCACGCCTTATTTGCCAAACCTAGTTCCGAGTGAAAGTTTATGACGTTTATGTCGAAGAATCAATCAAAAAGTCACCAAAATGAATCGAAATTGAGGCCAGTAGTATAACTTTTTTTGCTTAGAAATCATCACTGTATCGTAATTTTTATATAAAAAAAAAGTAACGGAACGATACTAATAATGCCATGAAATTTATGTCAAAAAATAGGATGTAATCAAATTCACGATTTCGAAAATCCTCCGGATTCAATTTATCATGTCTATATTTTAAAAACTGCTCGAGCCACACAGAGATAACAATTTCTAGAACTAAATTTTAACACCCTGTATATTTTTTCTTTTTTTGTTTTTCGAAAATTTCTCAACAACCGGCAATATTTTAGGTTGTTATATTCCATTTCGAAGGTGCTCTTTCCAACAAAACACAACGAATGTAACATAACCATAAATACAGCAAAATCGAGTGTTTACGCATGCGCGTCGCCAAAACTCGGACGCTGATGGGTAGTAGCGCCAACGATTTACCGAACTCCAAATACGTCCATTTTATAAATCGAATAGGAAATCAGACAGTGTAAGCACGCTTCCGAGTGTCAGAAAATACATTCACCTTCGCGCCATATTCGAATATTCGACCGAAATATTTTCAGATATACCTTTAGACACGCATTACGAGTTAGAGCGTGGCCAGAAAGTGGCCGGTACTCTCAGTCCCTTGATTCCGACCAGGGGCGGTATAGACGCAGCGATACTCTAAATGTCTGGACTTTTGTTTTTATTTGACATGAAACGAACCGCTGGTTTTGCACTTTTCTAAAATGCTGGCCGGGGATTGAGATAGATATATTTTGGGATACGCGAGCTCGTTCGCGTGTGAACCGGACCAAGAAGAAATATTTTAACGCAACTTTTATTTCTTCAAAATAACTCCTAACTAAACATCCATATGTATCCCAATTACAATATCAAAAACAAAGTAGTTTTCAAGTTCTCGGGCATATTAATTGGACCAACAGTGTTTTTTTTTTAATTACCGTTTGTACATAGACCTTATAATACAGAGACAGAGTCTATCCTATAAGGTTCGTAATATTTTAAATTTCCCTTTCAAAATAGACAAATGCACAGATATAGTTGGCGTAGTAGATATGTAAGGCCGCTTAAGGAGCACATAACCTCAAACCTTATAAAATCATACAGACTGAGTTCACACTTTAAAGATTTGCCATATCGTGTTAAAATTTGTGCTTTTAAAATACGTATTTTGAAATATTAGTTAACAAGCGTGTGAGCTGCAAAGGCCAAAATTTTGCATGTAAAATTAAATTAATATCGCAATGATGTCGGTTTTGTAAATTTGAACAATTTCACACAAGTTGAATAGTTATAACAAAGAACTGTGGAATATTCACATCTCTTTTAATGGAGGGTAGAAGTAAAAAACAAAACTATTGTTTAATTAAAAAAAAAAGGTTGGTTGGCCTCTTACAAAATTAAACCTCTAAAAAACAGTAAAATTTTAGCTTACTCTTACTAAAATGAGCACTGTTTGCTGTATATATTCATGTTATTATTTAAAATCCACAAAGGGAAAATAAATTGGAAGAGGTACGCGTTTATTAGTTGATATTTACATAACCTTTTTGTTTTGGTTCATTTTCCATAGTAGTTACTGAATTAACTAAAAAATTGACGAAAATTTGAACAAGTTCAACAGAACAAAATATTTTCACTATGCAGGTCAGTATTCCATCCAAAATGCACGAGACGTCATTAGTTTTTATTACTTTTTATTTTCTCATAAAGGGTGTATTAGATAAAACACACATTTCTTTTCTTTAAATTGTTATTTTTTATTTTTTTTATAGGTAGACAAATATGCTCTTCACGATGATAAAATTTTTGAAAATATTTTTGTTCTGCATATTTGCAAGACATTTTTTTATTGTCTTTCGCTTTTATTCTCTTATTTGATATTATGAACGTCATGCGGGCAGCTATATCGCTTCCTAAAGCGTTACACGGCCTTGTGGTGTATATTTTTCCTTTTTTTTATTGTTGTAATTCAAATATGGATGACAGGAACATAACGAATGATATTGTAAATATTAATAAAAATAAACCATAGCGCAAATAAATTTTCTTGGTCCAATTCGTATGCGACTGGGCTCGTACGTTATTTGTGTACATACAGAGCGTTTTGGAAAAGTGGCGATAGGAAATTCGTTCTGAAATCATGGTTTGGCTCACTGTAATTTGTGTACGTCTCCATCCCATTCATTTGTCCGTCGATAGCGGTTTAACGCACTTCTCCAAAATTTTCAGAAATGGTAAGGGTTTGAGGAAGGTCTCTCTCGTTTTGCGCGATGATGCCGTCAAATGTACCGGTGACCGAGGTGAACTTTTAGTTGATTTGGATGTCCATATTGTGATTTCAGAATCGGTGGAGTTGCTTTTCGCGTGGATACACTTGTCGCTAAATTCTAAACTAACCAAAATATATTAAAGTACCTCAGTGCGGAGAGCCCTTTTTGATATTTCATTACTAAAAGGTCGTTCAACGTGGTCCAAATTTGGGACCGCCCCCTTAAAACCTTCAGTTTTGTAGAACAAGCGGTATAAGATCAAAACTAACCAAAGTTATATCTCTCGTTGGGTATGATTCTATAGGAGTTACCATAATCGAAAGCGGATCCTTTTTGTCAGAATTCGACAAATAAAGATAATTGTTGTTATTAAATATCAGCCTGTTAGCAATCGGGTATCGAAACGGGGCTCCGAACTGCGGACCATTCAGTCTTTAACTGCGCACCCCACCCTGTAATTTGTTACTTGGATCGTATGAGATGCAGTGAAAATATTTATTTTTATACTGAGGTTGTGTTAATGTAAAAATTGTATTTAAGTTTGCAAAGGCTCGCTTGTCGATTGGTGGTCCAGTAGACTCTAATTTTTCTTTTCCTGTTATTTCAAACAAAAAGAGAATCGTTTTTTTTTGTTGTTGTGTGGCAATATGGCATTATGTTAACTAACGACTATTTCTTTTGAAAAGTCAAACCAAACATCGGAAGACGCACTTGTAACCAAACACAACAAAATAGTTGTGTATTTTTACGAAGCGTTTAGTTAAAAGTGGCAACATCCGGAACGCATGTAAAATACAACTTTCCTCGAATTTTAATGTTTAAAAATTAAAGCATAATGATCGAGCTCAGAAATGTGTAGTTCTGCAAATGCTGTAGGATCTACTTGTACCTCAAAGTTATCAGTTAGGTTCCTCTTCTTTTTCCACACCAATGTCTTCAACTTTTTTATTTCTATTTCATATTCATTTTTAATTGTTTATAGGCTAGCATCATTTCTGTCTTATCACGAAGCTTAGTAAAAAATCAATGTTAGTAAAAACTGAAACAGTAATAATATTATTTGTTGGTGTTAGTGCCTCTTTAGAAGCTTCCCATACTCATTTAAAGGTTTAAATACTCCCAACAACCTCTGTAATTAACACTTGAAAAAATCGTATATGTAATAATAATGATTCAAATCAACTTGTCAGTGTCTGGCAACTTAAAGCATTTTCCTTTTCAATCCTTTCCTTCTTGAGAATTTTCCTAAATTGGCCAATAGTCTTAGACAACAAAGAAGCGTTTGGATATAATTCGTCACGTTTTCAATGGCAGGGTAAAACGTAGAGACATCTGTGAAATAATTGCGCAAGCTAATAACACCTACGTTTCGCTAGCATCTATTTGGCCTGTAGCAAAGTTTTTAAACGTCATTATAAAATCATTTTTCAAGGACTTAAGTTAATTTAATTTCTTTATTTTTTTTTTAAATTTTCTATCAAAATTAATTTGATTTTAGAGTTTCAAATATTTGTCAGAACATAACACTCGATCGTATTTTGTTTTTATTTACTGCCGATGAGGTTCATTTTTATCATGTCAGCGTCATCAGTTCAAAAGGTAACATAAAGGTAAGAGGAACATAACGATGTAAGGTATTTTTGAAAGGGATGAGATTTGTTTCCACTACTGCAAACCAGAAATGTCGTCAATCTATAAGTGGGCCTTTGTCATACCGATTAGGTTACAGGTCAGCGGTTATCCTACTTCTTGCTTACCAAGAATTATTAGAGAGTACCCAGTGTTGGTGGGGACTTGTGAGAATTTTCGATACATGAACAACAATAACCTGTTACTCTCTAACTAATTAATTTTATCGGAATAAAGGTAAAATGATGTTAGTTTCAGTTAGTTGATATAAAAAACATTCTACTTTGTAAATATACATAATAAGTATTTTTTATTTATCATCAAGTATTTGATAAATGTGCCCACTTTCTGCCTGTACAAAGTTAGTTTTAAGAATAAACTACTGCTAGGTTATTTATTGCATTTTGGTTTCCAGAACTGTCCAGCTTAAGTTGAAAATTTATGTTTGCCGGGTAATTGGGATAATTCTTCATTTTTAGGCTGTGGTTATTTTAGTTTTCTGAAAACTGTGCATAATTTTGTAACTTTAGAACAGTATCTTGGAACCTGTCCCGCTTAATACCCCTACAGTTGATTGTACTTGTGGGTATTTGCTTCACACACTCACAGAGACACACATATCTGGCATCTTTATTGTTAAGCCTTATTTCCCATGAGGTCAGTTTTTGTACCATATTTATTTTTAGTTTTTTTTCCTCGACTTTGTTAATTGTTTTAAAAAGTATTGTTAGACTTTAGAATTGTCACCTTGAATAAGAAATTAAATGACTGTTTATCTATGTTTTTTTTCTTTGGTGTGCAAATGTAATCGTCTTCTGTTAGGTGTCCAAGTATGTTGTAGGGATGGGCATAGACTAAAAAATCACTCGGGTTCGAGTTAATGTTGAGTTCACGCCAACTACTATGGTCATTCGCCCGTTAACAATACCGTAGAGGAATTTTCCTTTTGGCCACAGACTAACGCGTAATAAAGAAATATAACCTATATTTACATATAGACATTTAAAAACGTTTACCAAACAAGATCACACGAAAAAAGACCGACATCAAGGTTTTTGGGACGAATACAACAGATTCACCACAGCGACAAGGAACTCCGCCGAAATTTATTGAACGCCAAAGTTCTTCTGTGTTACCAACATACGAAAAAGATATTACATTAAAGGGCAATATAAAGGTAGAATTCAATTACCCAGTGAATAATGAAAAATTGCGTTATAAAAATCAGGTTAGAGATTTAGGTGTCATTTTAAAGAAAATGTTGATTTTAAAGATACACGTAGAAAAAGGTCTCAAACTTTTAGGTTTCACCTTGAAAAATTGTAATTCATTCTCAATTTCAAAATATCAACTTTAGTATGCAACAGTAATTTAGTAGGCTGTTTATCAACAGTATATTGCTGCTACTGAGAATATTCAGAACATGTCTTTGAGGTAATTTTAAGTTGGCAATGCCAGCTGCAAACTTTGACAGAAACGCAATAATGGACGGTTAAATCTAAAAACACTACATAAGAGAAGAAATCATCTATATAATATTAGTCAGTGCCCTGAAGTTTCGAGTTTGAGAACCTATGAACCTTTTCAAATATTGGATGCCCAGCTCTTCTGGGTGGGGTGTTACCATCATAGAATGCGACGTTCAAAAATCAACATGGCCGCCGGCAGATCATCTATTCTACAGTTTTTCTTTTGGATGTGACGATTTTTATGGCTACAATAAGAGATGTCATTTCAGACGAACCAATAAGAACTTGCAACGTTCTATTATTTTATTATTATTATTTCTATATATTCAATTCTACAGTTTGTAGTTTGTATATGGCATTTTTTATTCTCCGATTCAACAAAAGTCACTATAAACTTATATTTAGACTTTTAAGAGACATCTTTCAAAGAGGTTTGTATTTTTTATATTTATAAATACCTAGAAATTTTATCTGTTATATTTCTTGCAATTTGGTAATAGCGTTGCAATATTTATGGTTGTGTTTGGCCAATTTTATGAGTAAGCGTCATCTAACGACCGATCATTGGGATTTCTGTTAAATTTTGTTTTACGGTGTAACGCCAGATGGCAGGATAAGTTGATGTTTAAAAAAAAAAGGATACGGTTGATTGGATATTGGATTGGGTTTTGGTGCGATTTGGTAGAAACAAAAAGTGCGCTTACTTTGTGTGATGGTTCTTAAATTTGAAGAAAGTGGGAACTATTCCCGATATACAAGAAGGGGCCGCAATAATCGAATCATAGCATCGAAAGAACGCATTCCACAATTATTGAATTGTTAATTGCAGATCATAAAACCCAGGGCGCCCTTGTCAATCAGGATATTTCTGTTTTTTTTTTGTCAGAAAAATGTGATCTTAACCGGGCTGAAAAGTTTGGTTATAAATGGTTTGAAAAAAAAAACGGAGACGCTTGAACTGAACTATTTAATAAATTTATGGTTTTTAACCCTTACAACAAGAAAAATCACTAAAAAAAAATAAACTTTATTAGGTCCAACAGGCTGACGTCACTTTTTGGTGTTCATGTTACTAAAGTCGAACAAATTATCGTAACGTCCAGTGTCGAAATTACCGAACTGATTTTCGACGGAACCCTGAGTCTCTTGAATTTTGTAACCATCACCGTCTTCGACAAAGGTAAAATCCTGCCGTTCGTTAGGAGAATCCCGATTGCACATGGGAAACGGTTTCTCTAGCCCTACCATGGGCCGAGACAGGAGGCTGAAATGTTTCGAGTTGTTCTTCAGCTGCAATATTAATTAACGTGGGGTCAATTGGTACTGTGCCGGGCTCATTTCGTTTACCTTGCCTTCTGGCAGGACGGGTTGAAAACATCCTCCGGCGAGTTTAAAATTTATAGGAGAATTTGGAAACATATTTCCATTTTTCAAAAGTCCTTCGTCGAACTGCATGTTTGGGGTTATTAGGCTCATGTTGAAAGCAGGGTTTATCTCGTAAATATTGTACCGATCGCCCCGACTACCAAATACGACAGCTGGCTGAAGGTGACCGGACTGATTTTTCGGCGATTCGGGCTTCCTATTGGGCGGCGTAGAGAAGATCCACTGCCTTCGGGGGATTCGCCCGAAATTTTGTGTCACCTCTTCATCGTTAGAAGTGACCGGCGGCCTTTCGACCCTGGAGTACATATCAGGCACTTGTTGCTTACCTTGGAGCGCTAAATTTACGCTTTCGATCTCCCTGAAAATGTTGCCCACACACTGACTTTTCACATTACGAGAGGACGCCAGTCGGACGCGGATTTGCTGTAAGAAATCTTCGCAAAACGAACGATTTGCGAGAGGGTACGGCGACGAATTTACAAATCCGCAGAAGCTCGTTTTCTCTGGCGAATATTTGTTCCCTACTCCCCGTTCTGCTACCTGAATTTCCTCGTATCTTCGGTTAATCTCACTAAACACACTTTTCGACTTATTTTCAGGCACTAAGTTAATTTCGGAACCTTGAAATTGACTGGAACACTTTGAATATTTGAAATGATTACTGCTGTCGCGTTCGTTACTGATTTGCCCCATTGAATCAGATTTATTTGCAAATATATCACCGTATACAAACTCTTTCTTACCACCTTTTTCTAGTATTCTCTCCGAACGTCTCAATTTTTTCGTATTGTGTTGAAAGAGGCTATGCAGGTCCTCTCTCAACACATGTTCCTGATATTTATCAGCTACCTCCTCTGCGAAAAAGATAAATGATGTGACAAATCCCTTGAAAGGTGTAAACTTACTCGTATCCCTTTTTACTGTTTTGGATGCAATTCCGCTCATGAGAAATCCTGGCCGAAGCTATACACAAAGAAAACATAGACAAAACGACCACATTACGCTATCCACTTACAGTCAGCCTTTTTCCTGACATCCGGTCATTTCTTCCGTCCGGCACTTTTCGATATTGCGTTTTTCGTCCCAACCTTGGCTTGGTACGTACTTTTCGATTAGCATTCATTTTCACTTGTTTGGCAGTATTAGCTTTTTAAAAATATAGACATTCTTCTTCCTGACACCAACTGTGTAGAGTTTTAAATATTTTCAATATGACGCTGCGACATTTTATGTTAAATATGTGGTACTATACGAATGAATAAATAATTTATTCTTAGAACATAAGCGATATTTTAAGCAATTTTAGAAATCAAATTGTTCCCGCTATCGTGACAGGTCTTGCGCACGAATAATCTTCTTTTAGGTTGTACAACACGGACCACTTCTCTTCTACTTCTACACCTGTCACCGGGTGATGTGGATTTTCTTTGTTACTATTTAACGTTAAATTATGAAATATTTTCACCAACCGCCGTACTTTGACATCGGTTTTTATTTCTACGCGGACAAGGATTAGGCACGCAATGGCAGCGCATGTTAATTACGTCCTGCCATAGAAGATAACTGTGTAAACACATGCCCTGATAATCTTTACACGTAAACCAAGGTCTTTCGCCCAAAAGCAGAAACGATGGGTTTCCCAACGACTTTTGCACAAGCGCTACAAATTAACGACGGACCCTAAAATAATGCATGATGTTTGTTATTGAAATGACCTCATATCATTTACGGAATGAATCTAGAGTCGATAGGGGGTTTTTATTTGCAAGTAAATATTGCAATTTAGATTTAAAACTAACCCCGTATGTGATAAATCGTTCAATCTAGCGAAACCCAAAATTTAATGCAAACATATGCGAGTGTTTTGAAACATACAGGGTGTTATTAAATAAGTGTCTGATATTTCGCGTAGGGAAATTTCTCATGTAAAAAAACTAAGTATTTTCCTTCTTAGTTGTTCAAAATTTAACTGCTTAGGTTTCATTTTGTTTTACGGTTTTTCACTTTTTTCCCTTATTTCTGTTCTAATGGTCCCATTATGGCCAAAGGGTATATCCGCAAGCTATCCATTCAGAGGATATCCGTGGGATATATTTTACAGTATATCCTTATTATATGGGACATTGCGGATATTGTGTGCTATCTGGGTAGTGTGTGAAACACCTAAAACAGATATCAATGATCTACGCCAAAAAATAATAAATGGTTGCTAAACCACTAAAAATTGGTTAGGCGTATTTTTTCGTGTTCGGCAGCATTTTTTAAAATGTATAAGAAAATGTTTACAAATGAACGGTGGGTAGTTTGAAATTGAATTGTAATTAGCGTTGCATGCTATTTAATTTCCGATTACCATAAATAATTTTTTATTTTTGAAAATGTTAAATATATTTGTGTCATTCAAATTAAACATGTTTTTAATTTGTAGTATACTGTTTTGAAAAATTTAGTTCACGTCGCCTGCAGGTTAATAATGCCGGCCTGCATTTCCACTTGCTTTTCCGTAACAGAAACGCATGTCGCGATATCCAGTATCACCTTTCTGTAAATTAAAAATGCGTTGTATTCGTGGCAAAACGATAACGCTTATCGACTTAAAACAACAGTAGCAATTTTGAACTGAGGTGGCATTTACTTGATGAAAATCCATTTAACATAATAAATAAGAACTAAAAGTTCAGATTTTCACGAAATTATATATTTTCACATGACAATTGTTTTGACAACCCCGTGTCGTTATCAGATGTAATGTTTACAAACTACCTGTTACTATATATACCGAAAAATGACAATAAAACCTTAATTAATGTTGTGAGAATTTAAGTTTAATAATGGGGAGATATTTAAATCTAATTGATCGTTAAGCAATACGTCTCATTTTGTTAATCTCCATGGTTTCCAATAAATTTAATTTTCTACTTTTTGTGGCTGTATGTAAAATAACAAAATTGTCGTCGTTTCTGTGTTTAAGTGTGTAGTATAATTAGAATCTTTTTAAAACGCTCTTTTATGTTCGTTAATGCGTTTCTGGAAGGATCTACCTGTTTGTCCCATATACATTTTAGGACAAGATTCGCATTTCAACCTGTGATTTTGAAATTTTGGACATTTCGGTTTATTGTTTTTTTAAAAAAATTCTATTGTGTTGCTTTCAGAACTAGAAAGCTATTTTTAAACCACATTTAGACAAATGTTTTGAAAATTTTTCACTGTCTTCTCCCATGTACGTAATTGTTTTAAATTGTTCGTGTTCTGTATTAGGTTTCGGATAAATAGAGTTCACTAGTGTCTGGATTGGTTTTTTATTTACCCTTTTATCGATAATGGACGGATTGTAGCCGTTGTTTAATGATATTAAGATTTTTGTTGTAATTTTCTATTGAGAGTGGCGTATTAAGAGGTCTGTGGTATAAAAGAATGAAATGCAGCCACTTTGTGTATAAAAGGGTGATTTGAACTGTTATTTATGTATGACCGTGTCCGTGTGTGAAGGTTTATGGTAAATGGAAAAATCTAATTTGATTTGCGTTTTCGTAATAGTTAAGTATAAAATATTAATAAAGTTATCCTGTTCAATCTCGATGGTGAATTTTATACGATTATGTAACGAGTTAACGTAATTTACAAAAGAATTCAATTGTCTGTCCGTTCCAACAAAGCAAGCAAAGAAACCCACGTATCTATACCACCATAGAAAACTTTTAATAAAATTATGTTTTAATTCTAATTCTAATTAATCAACAAAATTAAAGATATCAAAAACAACAGTATGGATGTAATAGATTTAGTAGATTTCACCATCACTCGGAAACAGGTTAACGCATTGGTGAAACAAGATTTATTAGATTGCTTAATAGTATCTTTAGACCAAAATTATTTTGATTTTAATGGACAGATTTACATCTCTAAGGAAGGTTTGATTACGGGAAACCCACTTAGTCCTTTTTAAGCTAGTTAGTTAGATTTTTATGGATAATTTTGAAAATATCATACAAGAACATACTTTAAATAAAAGTTTTCTACGGGAGTATAGATACGTCGATGATGTCTGTGCTTGCTTTGTTGGAACAGACAGACAATTGGATTCTTTTTTAAATTACATTAACTCATTACATAATCGTATAAAATTCACTATCTTGATTGAACAGGATAACTCTATTAAATTTATAGACTTAACTATTACGAAAACGCAAATCAAATTAGAATTTTCCATTTACCATAAACCTTCACAGACGGACACAGTCATACATAACATCTCAAATCACCCTTATACACACAAAATGGCTGCATTTCTTTCTTTTATACACAGACTTCTTAATACGCCGCTCTCAACAGATAATTACAACAATGAACTTGATATCATTAAACAAATTGCACTGAACAACGGCTACCATCCGTCCATTATCGATAAAATTATAAATAAAAAACAAATTTAGACAACAGTGAACTCTATTTATCCGAACACCTAATACAGAACACGAACAATTTAAAACAATTACATACATAGGAGAAACCAGTGAAACCTAACTAAAACATTTGTTTAAAAATAGCTTCCAGAACTAACAACAAAATAGGAAAATTTTTAAAAAACAATAAAACGAAATGTCCAAAATCTCAAAAATCAAGTGTCTACAGGTTTAAAGTAGGATCTTGTCCTAAAATTTATATTGGACAAACAGGTAGGATTCTTTAAGAAACGCATTAACCAACATAAAAGAGCGTTTAGGAACAATAGTTTAGATTCTATGTATGCTACACACTTAAACACAGAAAAACACATTTAAATACCTCTCCATTATTTAACTTAAATTCTCACAACATTAATTAAGGTTTTATTAATTGTCATTTGAAAATATATAATTCCGTGAAAATCTTAACTTTTAGTTCTTATTTGTTTTAGTAGCAATTTTTGAGGGTTTGTGATTCTGCTTTAGGCAATCTGTTCCATGAAAATAAAAAAAGACGTTCTTGGTAAAGTGCCCTCTAGTGACAGATTTTTGAAACGCGTTAAAAAAAAGAATGTTGACGAGCTATAACCGGACCCTAGTTTTGTTGCCGCCGGCAGGTAACTTACATAATTGTGGGCCAAAGCTAACGCGATGAAGATTTTGACGGACTATACTTGAGATTAGGCCACGAAACGTCCCGAATAAATGGTTAACGCGAAAATTACGATTAATTAAGCCAAGGCGGAAAATGTTCGGGTAAATACCGAGCATTAATAATAAATAAACAAAGACATGCGCGGTGGCGTCCGTCCACAGGGCCGCTAGAGATCGATAGAGCTGACGGAGTCGTATCTGGTGAAAATAGAGCGCCGCACGGAGACCCAATTTCGCGAAAAACACTCGCTCTCGGAAAGGGATAAAGGCGGAAATGGGACTCGGCGTACGGGAGCGTCGCGATGTACGCGAAAACTTGTGATAACGGTGGCGGACGAGCGTGATAAAGTCGGGAGTCTAGAACACCGTTGCGATGAATATTTTAGACGAATTAATAAACGGGAAAACCGCCACGGGGTGACGTGCTGCGAGGGGGCGTGACGTCGACATTGCCGTACGAAAATGAAGCATGTCGGGGTCGTGTTTTTCGGTTTGTTGTTGGTCCGTTGCCGATCGCAAAAACCGAACGTCGACAACAGGCGACACGACGTCTACATCGCGGGATTTTTCCCGTTCGGCAGGGGTGTCGAAAATTCGGACACTGGTGAGTGATAAATACACAAATAAATAAAGGAAACATCCGTCGAAATTGACGTAATTATTGGAAATATTTAGAAAAAAAAAACTATTATGGCATATAACTCGGAAGCGGGAAAAAAGAAAACTATTTCTTTATAATAAAACCACCATACCACCTAAACCATCGTAATAAAAGCTTTTTGTTTATAGAGATACTTCGACCAGAAATATAGTGCATTTATAACCGACCCTGTGATTAACATTGCCTACTGTTTATTACTACAAATCCGCAGCCCCTGTTGAGCAGACCCTTACCCTTATTCATTCCAGGACCGTCCTAGGAATTTATCTACCTACACTAAGAAGCTGGATATAAGTATGTTTTTAATCTTGAAACATATACATAAAAAAATTAGTACAAAGTAATAATTTATTAAGTACTATTTCATTACATTTCTACATAGTATCATTATTAATATACAAAGTATTAAATATAATAATAATAAATAAAAATAATAAATAAATAATAAATATTTTCTTCTTTCGTTAGTCGTTTTTCACAGTCAGACCAGGTTTGTACGGATATTTTAGCTACCTCTTGCCGAATTACGTTTACGGTACTATCACTAAATTTTCGTTCCATGTCATTTCATCCTTTACGCGCTTTCATCTCAGACCAAATCATCTCAGACCAAATCATCTCAGTCGGGTTAAATATACAATGATACGGGCGTAATCTCAAGATTTCAATTGAAATTGAAGATCGTATGGTTTTTGTAGTCTTTATTAAAATGTTTTATTTTTAATAATTCCAGAAGTTGTTCTTTATTTGAAGAAGTATTTGGAATTTTTCTAATTTGGGTTGAATGATACGCAATAACAGTATTTTGCAATCGTTTTGGCAACAGTTTATTTTCAAACCGGTCCTCCATGGTAGTCTATACTTGAATATTTGACGTTTTTGGCAGACAAAAAAAGACACCTTCCACCCAACCATTTTTGGGCCCAGCATGAAGAATTATTATGCGTTTTCCATGTGAAGGCGCACACTTGTTTCTGTTATTAAACCATCCTTTTTTTATTGTGTCGTGAATGTCGAACCACGTTTTGTGTAAGTACGCATTGACCTATTTTGCTCTCGAAATGTTTCAATTGCATTTAAATAATCCACCCTCCATTGCGAAATTCTTTGAGATTCCATTAGCACTTGACGTTTATTAATGGTTTGGAATTGAAAACCCAGTTTTCTCAAAAAAGAGCGCAACGACTCTTTGGCACAACTAATATTTAAATCTGCCAGTACTTTTTTATGCAGTTTTTCTAGTGTTAAAACACTATTCACGTTATAGGCGTCTTAGATTATAAGCTGAATTAGATCTGCAAGTTGCTCTTTAAAAATTCGCGAAGTACCAGCATCTTCTCTCACTTTCCTCTTTAAAGCAGTTTTTCAGTTGACTTAGTAACTTTGGTCATGTCACTTGTTTTTATTGTTGCTCCTACTTCCCCTTCCGAATTTCTTATAAAATCGTAAACATTCAAAACAATTTGTTTAGCATCCGAAGACAAATGGATCCGTTTTTTTATTGGCGGAGGTTGTTCGTCTTCTAAATTGTGATTAGGTTCAACTACCATCTCCACTTCACCTTGAAATTCTGCGTTGTTTTCCATATCTTCTTCTAACAGGGGAACATCTGCTTCATTCCACGGTCTCCACATTTTTAAATGTTAAAAAACAGGAACCTTCAGAAAATGTTTAATTGTAAGATTTTGATAAATATTGATCTGTATTCTGATGACGTACCTTTATCTACCGCGAATATCATCTATTGCATTAAAAAAGACTGTTGTTGTTTACAAATAGAAGAACTATGTAGAATACACAAAAATACAAGAAGAAGAATGTTGTTAATCGACAGGCACACAAGACATAATGATTATTTTCAAATTTATCTGTAAGATAAATAGTGTACAGGTACTTACCGTGCCCTTTGAACTATCCACTGAAAATAGCCTCGCAGGGTCAAAGCTCGAAAATCATGTACATAAATACGTACTTATTGGAAGGATCAAATACCTCTGTAATATATACGAACATATTGCAATTTAGATTAAACTCTTAATACATACATATACGATACATATCACCTGATGTTAAAATAAACGCTTCTACTTATTAGAAAATACCCCGCAGCATCAATGCTTAATCAAATTTAAAACGGTCCATTTACGTTTCAAATAAAAATGTCAAGTTTTTACAAGTATTCGTTACGGTCCATCTCAGGAAAGACCTACTTATCTGTTGAGATGGGTCTTACCACAGTGGTATAATACCTTAAACGTCAAACCACTAATTGCACTATATTTTTGGTCGAATTATACTTGTTTACAGTATTGCTAAAGTTTGTAGAAACATATCGAAAATTCCTTAAGTTTTGATTTATAAAATGTATTATAAGATTTATAAGTTCATGTAAAACTAGGAGCGAATTTGATTAATGTCATTTGCACTGATCAAACTAAGATTTTTGGAATAGGTATTTAAATGAAGTTTTGATATTATAATAATGGATTAGGTATCATTTTATTATCGATTAATGAAAAACTAGGTGCTTTTAAGATGATCTATGAATGGTTTTTGTTAGATTTGCTTTGAAAATAATTTTAGTATATGTGAAGTTTGAACAGGGAATAAAATGGGAATTATAAACACTATATTTTTGGTGGTGTTATACACTCATGGATACTTACACAGCAAATTAAAGAAACATAATCTTACTGTGAGTTCTGACTGTCTTCTTCGGAAACTGGCTCGCATTCTACTCTGTAAATATCGTCTCGGTTTATGCCACTCATTTAGCTCCGCCACCCTCAAACAATAACTGTAAAAACGTGCATGTTATTACATTTCTAGATTCTGCAACACATTCTAGAACTTTTTGACGAAATGTACCATACCTATCTTGACAATTTGCGGATTTAAAAAATACTTTTGAACAGCTAAACACTTAAATTTTTGTTTACAATCCTCTATTAAATTGCTGTATCATAATATAAAGCCCAATTGGCTAAAAAATCCATGTTACTTGTGAATTTCAAATCGAAAACCCCACATTTTACATTGACATGTAAATAAGCAGTTAATTTGCCATCTAAAAGTCCCAAGCTATGGTATATCTATTTTCGATGGTTTTCGAGTTATATTCAAAAAACTAAAATATTTCATAGTTTTTGCATTTGCTACCAATGTATGAGAAAAATAAATTTTAACAATAATAAAAAATAATTGAAGCAAATTTTTGAAACCTACGAAGAAGGGAACTTCCAAAACTTGTTCAGTTCAGAAGAAAATGAAACCAACGTTTTAACATATTTTCTTGCATTTCCATATGCGTCTGTTCCGAGATCTAAAGATGATTTAAGAATATATTATTCGTCGATTCAACAGACACTGAAGAAACATAATATTCATGATTACACAATAACTAGATCACAATCTCTTCTCCCACCTGATGCACCATTAAGCGTAGAGTTTTGTGGGATGGTATTCGTTAGAATACAAGAAGATCGAAATTTTTTGAAGAGAGTTATTTGGACCAACGAGTCAAAATTGTTATTTTTGGTTAGTTCTGTTTCATGGATAATAAAATGAATTTTTGTATCTACAACGAGAAATTGAACGATGAAAAATATCTGCAAATATGGCAATTCTGCCTACGCCGCCTATACCATGCTTTTTATTCGTAGAAACACGGCAAGGGCGTTATCAAAAACAGTTAAAAAAAAATCTTATTTAAGAAAAAACATTTAGTTTTTTGAGCCTCTCAAGAAAAATTGCTAGACGTCTGACATTTGAGATACTAGTCCAAGTCTGTTGGGTACGATCAAACGAATTACTTTTTCCAAACAATATTTAATAGTATATAAAATAACGAGCAAACAAAAAAAAACAAAAACTTCTGAACTAGGAAGAACATATTTGTTATTTACTTGACCATTCATCCTCACAACTCAAGTATAGACTACACACCACATTAGTCCACACAATTAAATAAATTGGTGTTAGGAATAGGCAGATATTTTAAAAAAAATCAATTTTAGGACGGGGAGTCATGCCAAGCGTCAAGCTAGCACTGGATCACGTAAACGAACACACTTCCGTGTTGAAAAACTACAGACTTCACATGTGGTGGAACGATACCATGGTAAATATATTTCGCTTTTATATTATATTAAGTAAACTATAATAAAAGTAATTACAAAGTGTTATATAATGTACTTGGCCCAGTGCCCCCGGGCACGTGGCCCAAATGGTGTTGCGGTATTAAAACTATGCTGTTTGACAGAATGTAGGCGCGAAATTTGAATTCATAACCCCTGAATTAATAAAGTACATCAGATTTTTGATCGTTTTGATTTAGAGCTTAGATTAAATGAAGTATATAAACCTAAAGTTTAGAGTATATACAATAAAAACTAGGTATTATTTTTTTTTAATTGGATGAAATTAAAAACGATTGATTAAAGACAATTGATTTGAGAAATTGGGTAAAATTTAATCTGTTAAGTAGTTGAATATTTTTGAATATTTTGTGTTTGTCTCAATATAAAATGTATAAATATATATAAACATAAATAAATGCATATAAATGTATACATGTGAATAATAAAGTAATATATAAAATGCGCACATTTCAAAACTTTTATTTTTATAAACAGTTAATAATTCTATAATTAATAATAATTATTATAACATATTAATAATATAGGGACGCTGTATAAAACTTTTTTAAAAGGCATTTATGTTGATATGTTGTTAAAACAGAGTTTGTCCTGTCTGTAGTTAATTTTCCTTTTCTTCTGTATCGGAGACAATGGAATTATTGGATACATGTGATGAACTATTTGGCTTTTCTATCAACATATCAAGTTCTTCAGGTTGTTTTTATTTTGACAAAAGATTTGAAACTGGTTGATCGTTCAAGTCTTTCAACCTCAAAAAATGAATATCATATTTTTAATAACATCAAGACATGTACACTCATAAGTATACCAGCAAATCTTACAATATCGGCATGTTAATCCACAGCGTACATCTTCATCTTTTTGTCTATAAACCAAATATGGATTTTCAACTTTTTTCCTGTGAAAAATAAAACAATTATCACTGACATTCCTGTGCATCTTTTTTATCTCAATAAGATGGTCAAATAAAACTTGTCAAGCCATCTTCCATTAAATATCTTCGTGACATTAGTTTATATAACCGGTAGCTTAAACCTATATAATTTAGTATTTATCAATAATTTCATATCGTCTCTACTACTATTAAATATTGAATTATTTAACTGCACTGCTTTACGTAGGTGATCAATAAAATGTGTAATAAATACCTACTGGACACTTAGTAATAATAAGGTGATTTATTTGATGACAGTTTATAAATTTCTCGGCGTCTAGGTCTCTAATTATAACAATCAAATCAGAAAACAGAGACTAACAAAACGTTGTTCATTTACAAATCCACCCGAAGAAAGAAAAAATAGTTTCATTATTGAAATTATTTTCTTACTTACTAAAAAAAATAAATGCAACAGTATCATTTCATACGTGACCAGATGATCATATTAGTCGGTCATATTACTTTTCCTAACCTCAAATATTATCAAAAGGCCATTAAAGGTAATAATGTGTTTTTTGCAATGTTGTCAGTTAGCATTTATATATCAAACTCATCGGCAATATATACTTTATTTTTTCGGCCAATTTTATAAATATTTTGTCATTTGGGGTTTGTGTAGCCCATGACCGGGTAAACGCAGAGATTCGAATGAAATAATCGTAAATCATGCATATTAGATTAAATAAAATGACCTGTCGAGTTACGACCTCACACACCTCGCACAGATCATTCACATCATACACATGATCACAGGCCAGTGATTATATCACATGCATATTATGAACCAAAGAGTATAAGATAGAGGGGAAGGCTCCCATTCGTGGCAATGTTAAAAACCGTACATGAGTTTCAACGCCCTCTAGTGATTGTGTCCAGTCATGAAAATGTAAAAACGCGTGGGACGTACAGTTCAATTCAATTTAAATTTTGAAAGGTGAAATGTAAAAAAAAAATTATATCGAAATAGTCGAAAATTATTGAAATTTCTTAAATTAATAAACATCTGAAAATACATAGTAAAAAAAATTATTATAACAATAATTATATTGTAAAAATCAGCAAAAAGCACGTTTTTTTTAGTAAACCCTTTGATATACGATCAAATTTATTCTATTTAAAAACACAATATAAAAGTTGATGTAAATAAAGTTCTCTGATAATAATAAAAGTTTTCTTAAAAGACACCTATTAGTAATAATAATAAAATTTTTCAAAAAACATATCCCTTTACTAATCACTGGTGAAACAGCTAAAAATCTATCATTGCACTTAGTGATATGAAAAAATATACTTTAATAATAGAAATGTGATACAAAAATATGCTTTAACGTATAAAAGAGTTTAACAATTAAATAAATATTTTTGCTTATATGACTACAGCAGATAACTAAAACTATTCCTTAGTTTCTTTTTTATCGGTCCTTACTTGGGTTTTATTTTATAATAGTATTTCATCCTCGATTTCTCCTCTTTGGTCGTCACTTTGCTTTCGTTTTTTCATTGGTATTTTTTCAGTAGTTGATTTTGCGAATTTCGACAATTTCCAGTTGTTTATTTTTCTTATTTTTTAATGTTACAGTATTAGTCTTTTTGAGATCACGTCTGATGAATCGTGCTTCCCAGGAGCATCGTGTTTTTATAAATATATTCAAAAATAATGTTGTAGCATTCAAGGAACATAAAAGCTGGTAATTCTGAGCTCAATTTTGAGTACAAATGCGCCGATATATTCAATTCAATTGGAGGAATTTCTCGAAATCATTTGATCCATTTCATCGGTGCTGGGGGACCATTGCGTTTCACAGGATCGGGAAGACAGTTGCGGCGGATTGCAGTTTTAAAAAAATCCCCCATCTGTCACCCCAAACCTGTTTGACGCCAGGCAACGAATTCTTCGAAAAAGTAGCGTCAACACTGAAATTTTAAATTTTCAGATCCGTTAAAACAAAAAAAAAGCCAGTAGATAGTCAAAATTTTGTACATAACTTAGGGAGGTATCGAACGGAATTTTTAAATATGGAAATTAGTTTTACGTTATACAGGGTTGGTCAAAACTAATGATTTGCTACCCGATACAAAAATGGTGAAAAGTGCATATTATCACATATTCAATTAATTTTATTTCCCCCTTCGAATGACAGTTCTTCACTTTTGGTCTGCTGCTTCGTGCCACAAATAATAATAATTCAATGTTCGGCGTACTAGAAAGCTGAAAACGCGAAACGCTTGATGGTTCTGGTGCGTTGCGTTTGAGTCCTTCCACTAAATCCTATTTATTGTTATTGTTATATTTTGTTCTTGCTTGATTCTATCTGTTATACTGCTGGGTTTCTCTCTATTTGCCTCAAACGAATGTAAAAGTTTTGTAAATTGGTTAAACCGTAAATAAATTAAATTAAGTTAAATGTGTTTTGCTTGTTAACAGATAAGAAAGTCAGTTTTTTAATTACCAAAATACCTTCAAATATTTGGAACACTGGTTAATGATTTTCACGAAAATATTAGCCTTAAGAAACTTCGTTTGTCCCAAGAGTTATAAGAATTATTTAATGACCATTCGATGTTTGGGGTAGTGTGATTGGCCAGTAAGATCGCTCGATCTCACGCCATTATATTTTTACTCAAGTACCTTTTACGTTAGTCACGCGTCATGCTTTGCACATATATAGTGTTGTGAATGCAATGGAGCATGTTTAGGCAATTATGTCCACGCATAATATACAAATTCATTAAAATAGTAATAGAATAGTGATTTTGAACCGATTATATCGACAAAATTAGCTTTTATTTCACAAAGTAAACATTGTGGGTATAGCATACGGGACAGATGTTTCACTTTTACCACGGTATCACCGTAAGCTTAACTTTATCGAGATTTGCGATATTTGCAAATGAACAACCCCGATTTCAACCCAGAACATGTTCGTTCGTCAATAGAACTAATAATAACTTATTATCAGTTGTGAGAGCCACCAAGAATAAAAAATGTCGCTGATGTAGATAAAAAATGGGGAAAGAACTGTTGGAATAAAACTCGTCTCCATAATGCTCCACACTGTGTTCTCATTGTGACTGGAGTTTACTGAAAAATCAATGCGAATAAAATTTTTTCGTCTACTGTCTAAATAAATGGCTGTTCTTATAGTAATACTGATTTTTTGATTTTTTTTAAGTATCGAATGTACAAATCATATGTTGTTTACCTGTCTTGCTGCTTTTTTTAATAGGAACTTAAAGAAGAGTCAAAAAAAGATATCCAAATTACTTTATTAATTCTTCATTTCAATGTGCCGTAGGAAACCCATCCTTGATGTAGGAAGCCATCCATTTTACGAGGTGTGTTCAAAAACTAATGTGATTTTTAAGTTTTATCAAAAAGTATTTATTAACTTATCAATTAATGTTGTATCCTTCAAAGTAATCCCCTTAGATATAATACACTTGTGCCAACGTTTTTCACAGGTTTCTTGAGTTTCGGGAACAGGAAAAAGTCGCAGGGGGCCATATCCGGTGAATATGGTGACTGAGTCATGATTGCCGTGATGAATTCCGGACGTATTCCACATAACAAAAAAAATATATCCAAGATCCAATTAACGTCACCTTACTTTATGAACACGCCTCGTATATATCATCTTCCATCTTCTAACGTCACTTTTCAAGCTAATAATCGACTGATTATCGTAATAATGGGCCAAAATTCGTCAGTTATCTTACCTACTGGTTTATGAGTAAAATTCCTTTGGTGGATAAGAACATAGAAATATAGGGTTTTTACAACCGCCCCGTGATTAACTTTGCCTACTGATTATTACTGCGAAACCGCAGCCCCTTAGCAGACTAACAAACGGGACATAAGTATGTTTTCAATATTTTTCTGAGCAATTCTTGAAATGTGTACATAAAAAAATTAAAAGTAAAAAGTAACAGTTTGTTGACTTTTTATTGATTAACCAAAGATACAGAAATGGATGGCATGGAGTAAAAACGCACCCTGGAACAGATATCGGATCTGGTCACAACCCCGTGGTATCCATAAGTAAAATCGACATAAACAATTTAAAGCAACCTAACGTGAAACAAAAAGTCATAGAAAAACTAAATGAGGCTTTAGCTAATATCAAGACAACATCTAGACAACCAGTCAGCGTAGAAGACAAATGGAATAATATTAAAAGACTGATCGCTGCCCAAAATTACAAAAAGAAGAAATGGATGACTGACGAAATATTATCATTGATGGATGATCTTTTAAAAATAAAGACCGAACCAAACATCAGAAGATTAACCGACAAATACGGAAAGAGATCCGCAAAGCCATAAAACAATGGCTGCTAGACTGATGCGCAGAAATGGGGAAATTGGAAGAATAACATGACCACTTCAGCATACACAAACTCGTTAAAGAAGTAACAGATCACACAAAATCTTGTAGCATTAACAGCATTGTGAAGGACAATTAATAAATCAAGGATCAATTTCAACATTGGAGAAACTATACACAGCAACTCTACTCAGAAAACACTGAAAGTGAATATCAAAGCGAACCCTCCCCTAAAATATTAAAGTCAGAAGTTGTAAGGGCAATCAAACAGAGCAACAGTGGATTTAACTTAATGTTACATTTACGCCATTCTGCTATATGGTGTAGAATTGGTATTGGTTATAAAGAGCGGCACCCCCGCTGGAGTCCAACCACTTAGGCCACCAGATGGGCCCATTGTGCCCCCAGACAGCTCTAGAGAGCCAGAATGCCGACCCTCCTATAGAAGGTCAGCAACTCCATTAGCCCAATACCGTGCGATCGATAAGGGCCATTCCGGAGACTCCGGAGCTGCACCATCCATCATAAGCCTCGCCTGCCTCATTCCCGGAGCAACTCTCCAGCCCACTGCGGCCCGTTCTCTCGCCCAGGCTTCGAGAGCTCCCCACCTCACACACGGGGCGATCCCCAGGCGGGGCTCTGGTCCCATATGCCTATGCGAGGAGCCCTCCGTGGCAAAGGCATCCGCTACCTCATTGCCCCGGATCCCGGTGTGACCCGGGACCCAGACCAACGTGACATTACTCTCCTCGGCCACTCTCCTCAGTACCCCTTTGCACTCCTTTATCAACAAGGAGCGCGTGCGCACTGACTTTAGCGGCATAAGTGCAGTCCTACTATCCGAGCAAAAGAATACCCTCCTGCTTCCGTGGTTGAGCCGAAGCACCTCTCTCTGCCATTTGTCAAAGAAGGTCATCTCGGCATGCCCATGACCCCGCGATCCCCGGACCAGTCCTCTAAAATGTCGTACGGGCCGTGATTGAAGGTAGAAACCTGGACCATAAAGGCCTAGATAATGTGGATATTTAAAAGACCACTCAAAATTCCCTGGACAGATCACACAACAAATGTTGAAGTATTAAATCGAATAGGCAGAGAAAGAGAATTGTTGCCAGTAGTAAAAAGAAGAAAAAGTGCCTATCTGGGTCATATATTTCGAAATTCCAAGTACCAATTCTTAAAACTTATAATGGAAGAAAAGATAGAAGGAAAACGAGGCATCGGAAGGAAAAACACTCATGGCTAAAAACCATAAGGGATTGGACAAAACTCGATGCGCACGCACTCTTTAGAGCCACACAAGATCGAGAGGAGTATGCCAGCATTGTCGTCAAAATGCACTAATTGGATAAGGCACTTTAAGAAGAAGAAGAACAGTTTACTACGTTCTATTTATTACATTCTTACATATTCTATAGTATCATTATTAATATACAAAATATTAAATATAATAATAATGAAGTATTAGTCACTTAAAAAATCCTCACTATCGTTACTGTTGTCACCTAGTTCACTTATCAACTCCAACACTAATCGTTCTCGATAACTATTTTCTTCTTTTATTATTCGTTTTTCCCTGTTAGACCACTAGACCACTTTTGCCTAATTACGTTTATAGTACTATCACTAAATTTTGGTGCAGTGTCAATATATAACCATACGGGGGTAATCTCAAGATTTCATATCCTATCGAACAGCGAACATAATCAATAGTCTTAAAAAATACTGTTGTTTACAAATCGAAGAACCAAGTAGAAGACACAAAAATACAAAAAGAAGAACGTTGTTAATCGACAGGCACACGAGACAATGATTATTTTCAAACTTAACGGAAGATAAATTGAGTGCAAGTACTTTGAACTATAAAGTGAAAACAGCAAAGCTCGAGAATCAGCTACATAAATACGTATTTATTGGAAACATCACATATTACAATTTAGATTATTAAACTCTTAGGAACGAAACATTTGCTTAATCGAATTTAAAACGGTCCATTTACGTTTCAAATAATTTTTTTCTACAAATATCCGTTACTTAACGCAGACTAAACGTCAGTTGGGACCACGGTCCTGCGAAGGTCTGCAGTTATGGCACTGTAAACTACTTAAGACGTCAAAGCAATGAATGCACTATATTTTTGGTGGTACTATAACTACCGATTATTTGCATCGGGCGTAAACTGTTGCCGAATTTCTTCAGTGCAACGCTGCGGTCGGGGTCAAAGCCTTCTTCGACATGATGCACAGCGGGCCGCACAAGCTGATGCTGTTCGGGGCGGCTTGCACCCACGTCACCGATCCCATAGCCAAAGCGTCGAAACACTGGCACCTAACGCAGGTACTCATCGGGGAGGAAGTATGACTAACAAAAGCTATCTTCCCGTCTATTTTCAGCTGTCGTACGCGGACACGCATCCCATGTTCACCAAAGAGAACTTTCCGAATTTTTTTCGCATAGTTCCGTCGGAGAATGCGTTCAATGCCCCGCGTCTCGCGCTGATGAAGGAATTTAACTGGACAAGAGTGGGCACGATATATCAGAATGAGCCGCGCTACTCTCTGGCTCACAACAGGTAAAAAAATCGAAGGAGACGTGTTGAGGGATGGAGAGGCTTTGACCGGTGAACGTGGACAACAGATATAGAGTAATGGGCACCATGCTTCATATGAACGTATGTCCTTGACGTCTTAACTTTTGAGATACAGTGTACCAGAAGACTGTTCTTTTCACTTTTGCAGTTTTAATGAAATAGCATAACATCCTAACAACAAGATAAGTAATAGTTGATCCTTATTAAAAAAAACACTAACTACTATTAATAATTTTTAACAAAATTGTATGTTAATAAAATAACATCAACCTTTTTGAAAAAAAAAAAAGGAGAATATTGAAACTAGATAAGTTGTTGAAAGTTTTGTCCTTGTTGGTTTGTTAGCTTCATCTGTAAATGATATTTCTTTGCCAAACAAAACAAAACAATACAAAATATCTAAAGTGATATTACAGATGTTTAAAAAATATATTTTATTTTTGAAAACTTTACCATCCTGTATCTCAAAAGTAAGGACGTTTTGGATTCGAATCGACGATAGAATAAACTCAGATAATGAAAAAATATTTCTCTTCCTTTCGTGAACCTGGATTCTTACGACAAGCAACCTATCCGATCGACGCAATTAAGTATTTACCTAGGAAAAGATATTATCTCAAAAACAAAAGTCACTGGCTGTCACTTTTGGGTATTTTGTTCAACGCGATACCAACATAAACATAGCAATTCAATCGGAAGAATCGACTAGATTCACACAGTCGCATTGTTACAAAGACTAAAACCACTTTTAATTGTCCGATTTTCCATCCATTTCCTGACTTTCCTTTAAGAGTTAGGGAAAAGTTTATAAAATGATTGTCTCGACTCCATCAAGCTGCCTGCCAAATTTCAACCCTCTACGACCATTTTTAATTTTCCGATTTTCCACCCATTTCCTGTTGTTCCCTTATGAGTTGGGGAAAAGTTTATAAGACAAAAAATGCTCGTCTTGACTGCATCAAGCTGCCTACCAAATTTCAACCCCCTACGACCACTATTAATTTTCCTATATTTCACCCATTTCCTGCCTTTCCCTTAAGAGTTAGGGAAAAGTTTATTGTATAAAAAATGATCGTCTCGACGCGATCTGATTGTCTGCCAAATTTTAAATTCCTACGATCACTGTTAATTTTCCTATATTCCACGCATTTTCTGCCTTTCCCTTAAGAGTTAGGGAAAAGTTTATTGTATAAAAAATCATCGTCTCGACGCGATATAATTGTCTGCCAAATTTCAAATCCCTACGACCACTGTTAATTTTCCTATTTTCCACCCATTTCCTGCCTTTGCCTTAGGAGTTAGAGAAAACTTTATAGAACAAAAAATGATCGTCTTGACTTGATTAAGCTGTCTGCCAAATTTCAACGACCACTTTTAATTTTCCGATTTTCCACCCATTTCCTGTTGTACCCTTACGAATTAGGGAAAAGTTTATAGGACAAAAAAAGATCGTCTCGACGAAGTCTAACTGTCTGCCTAATTCGTATTTGTGTCACCCGGTATAATGCAAATAAAAGATAGTTCTTCACGGGACAAGAAAAATCGGATATATTTTTAGTCTGAATCCGGAATTTAATTCCTTTGATCCGAATATCACGTTTTTTTTACAACAAAACACCGAACTTATTAATAAATAACTTACTTCAAGCCCATTTGACCCAACTAAGTCCTTAAAGAGAATCAACAGTCATCCCGCAAAATCCCTCGGTCTGAAAAACAAAGTGAGTACAAAGGTTTGTTATTAATTTTTAAATTCTTAGACGGACAGGCAAAAAATATATCACAAAATATAATTACCGAAAGCTAAACGAATGTAATCTTTCCAAAAATTACCCGAAACCCAAAAAATCGAAAATTGAATTAGAAATTTAAATGCCTTACAGAAAATTCGCTTCGCAACAGAAGGACAGTTCTAGCTAGATAGATGATTTTAAATGGCCCTTCTTGCAGGTTAGTCGCAGAAATCGACATGATGGGTTACCAGGTGGTCGAAACGCAAAGCTTTACCAACGAGGTGTACACGGCATTGATGAAACTCAAGGAGAAGGATACCCGTATCATTTTGGGAAATTTTAACGAGCGATGGGCTAAACACATCTTCTGCGAAGCTTACAAGCTTGAAATGTACGGCAGGAAGTACCAGTGGCTGATAATGGGCACGTACAAGTTCGAATGGTGGAAACGAATCGAACCGGAAGTGAACTGCACCCTGGACGAGCTCGAACTGTCGTTGGAACAGACCATCTTGACGGATTTACTACCCCTGTCGACTAACGGGGAAATTACGGTATCGGCAATTGTAAGTTCCAACTTTTTGGTGTCTCTTTTTTTCATTCGTCTCAACACTTAACTATTGGTTATTCTCTGCACTCACGAAATTCGTAATATTCTGTGCCACAAAACATAACGTAATACTTGTCTCATCTTCATAAAAGTACTCCGGGCCTTTTCAATCCGGATTTTTATTTCCTGAGAGCTGTCAGCATTTTCCATAATGAGACCAGCTACCTTTTGGATTCTGCCACGTATCACTTTTAAGAATGCCTTTAGTGTATTTAGCCTGGTGGATTATCTGGGCTGGCGCTTTTCTGATCTTCAATGTATTCTGTGCATGTAAGAATTCCTCCTTTGTTCGGACCTTCATCTGTGTAACATGTTAACTTTTGTCTACGATCGTCGGAGAGATCCGTCACATACTTTTTCCACGTTCTTAGATTTCTTGGGTATCTATTAATATTTCGTCGTTCCAGCAATGTCTTCTCCCTCCACTTATTTCTCCTTGCAATATGAATTGAAGTTTTTAAATGTATTTCCCCTCATGTTTCCTGTTTTTAATAGTGATTACGACTTTTCTGTCTTTTTTCATTCGTCTTGCCACCTCACGATTGGTTATTCTCTGCACCGATGAAATTCCCAATATTCTACGATACACTCAGAGCGAAGTATAGCACTGACAAAACATAACATCTCATGTTCCAAGTTAAGTAATCGCAGTTTCGAGAACTTCTAATACGTTCACCATGTTTCTTGTCGATTGGTTTTTGCTTTGGATTCTGTAATGTATCAATTTTTGAGAATGCATGGGCATCATTTGGGCTTGGTAGCGTTACAAAGCAATTCTGGTGGTATTATCTACCCTCAATAACTTTAAAAAGTTCGGCTGATAGATTATCTGGTCCTGACCGTTTTCTGATCTTCAGTGTATTCAGTGCACGTAACAATTCCTTTTTTGTCCTTTCAGGACCTTCGTCTCTTTCCAAGGTTAACTTTTTGTCTATGATCTTCAGTGAGATCTGCCACATAATCGTTCCACGTTCTTAGTCCTTCTTCCGTGCATGCAAGGATTTCTCCATTGTTAGACCTTCATGTCTTTCCATTCCTACTCCGTTCGTCGATGCTGAGAAGAATTCATTTGATTTGTGCTCCGAACTCCTACCACAAGTGAATATTCAAGAGTTATTTTGTCAAATCTCTCAAAACCTAAGAAAAAATTATTCAAAAAAGCTTCACTCCCTTGTAGGAGTGAATGGAGCTTAGAGATTTCACAGAATAAGTAAAGTAAAGTAAAAAATAGGTAAGTTAAGTAAAAACTCGTTGGCTTAGATACTGGGGGCAATTGGTGTTCCGTGTCTGTGTCGTTTGGATTGGAAGAGAGAGCAAATTAAAGACAAGGGTATTTTAAACTCATTAAGGATACATATTGACGAACAATGTTTACAATTTTGACGGTGCAATCAAGATGAGAAGATTTGATTGCAGGGTCTCGGATTTTAACACACCCGATGAAAGTTTCAGTAATAGGGACTTTAGTAACCCGTTCGTTTAAACTTTTTGCGGTCATCCTGAGGCAAACGGGCATCATTTTTGCAGACTGCCGATGAGTACAACAGCGAATACAACTCGCGGAGGGGCAAGGAGTACTCTCGATTCCACGGCTACACCTACGACGGGATATGGGCCGTAGCGTTGGCCATACAAAATGTCGCGCACAAAATCAAATACTTCCGGAGGAATCAGACCGTCAACGATTTCCGCTACAGGGATCCGCTCTGGGAACGCCTGTTTCTGGATGCTTTGAACAACACCAGCTTCGAAGGTTAGCTTGGATGGCCCTAGTCGGAGTATTTCTAGCCTAGATGGAGCAAAATTTACACCATCTGTTTACACTATACGCATTATTAACACCTGCATTGATAACCGTCAGTTATTTGTGCGCTCCAGTTTATCTTTTCGACTGACTGACTAGCGGGCGCGGTGCACCGTTTGTAAGACGTTCATAATACACTCTAGTGAGGAAGACTTGATTCGATTGATTGCCCTTAAAAATCCCAGTAAAAAACACTTTTTTTGCATTAAAAAAATTGTTAAACCGGATGTTATCCGTACTGAGATAAGTTAATCCACGTTAGAAAAATAAACACAGAACAAACAGAAGATTCCTCGTTACAACTAAGTAATATTGCTATGCTATTGATAAATGCCTAACTAGTATTGGTCTTTTTTCATAAAAAACTATATGATGATGCGCATTCTCCATGCAAACCTAAACAAAAAAAAACAAACAAACAAAACAAAATTTAATGTAGTTGCAATACATCTCCATATACATTTTTTTTGACCCGCCCAAGCATTTGACTTCTGCGGACCTGGTGTTAGGTATTTCAAAAGTTTATTATTTTCCAAACAGGTATACGAATTTCTGTTTTAATGGACCCTGATACCCACTTGTAAAAATTTGCAGGATGACACCATTTAGGTGACGGAAGGTCATGTTACATCATGCGTTAAAAGTTGTCCTGATAAACAAACTTAAGTTGTTTCAGCTTGAAGCTTTTCAGAAGAAATGCATCTCCAATAAGAGAGTCCCAAGTGACTCCTTGCTCTCTTATACACTTTCTGTATATTTACATAATTTTCTGATCCAGGAATTTGCAATATATTTAACTCTGCACTCTATTTCATCTTTGATAAGTTCTTCTCCGGTTCCATCCATGACAAACTCATTTTCCCTGTTTCCAAATTTTTTCGCCGCTTAAGTTGATCTCAAGACAGAAAAAAAAACACAATAACCCCTAAATATGTTGTATTTTCTAAACGAGAATATGATTTTCCAACACTAAGCAGCTCTTCTTAATGAGGCGTCACTTGATCCTCATTCCAATTTGAAACATGTGGAGCATTAGGATATTGGAAAGTCTGCTATACTCTTCCAAGAGAATGGAGTTTGCATGTAGTTATTCCAGATGCGTTTCCTTTGCACCTTGTCGAAAGGAATACATCTCCAAAAGGACATTGTTCCCTCAGGCACTTCCAGTATGTTTTGTTTGTTGACATAACTTTTTGATCCAGGAGTTTGCTTGATATATTTAATGTTGCATTCTATTTCATCTCTGATAAGTTCTTCTTCAGTTCCATCAATGACAACCTCATTTTCTTTTGTACCAGAATAACAGAACAACCTCTAAAAATGTTGTATAAGGTAGTTCCAAATCATTTTCTAAATGAGTATATGATTTTCAAGAACTAATCAGCTCTTTTTAATGAGGCGTCAATTTGAAATAATTTGGAGCATTGGGGGAAAGTCTGCTATAATCTTCCAAAACATTCGAGTTTACATGTAGTTAATTATATCAGATGTTAATTAAATCAAATGTTCCTTTTTGATCAAAGAAAAAGCACATTAGTTAGAATTTTATTATCTCCACCATATCCAATAATACCTCAGACACTTGCTATATGTTTACATAACTTTCAGATCTAGCAGTTTCCTCAATATATTCAAATTCATCTTATCTGGTTAGGCATTTTTTGATGGGATGTCACTTGATCCTCATTCAGATGTGAAAAAAATTGGATGATGACAAAACTTAGGAGACAAATGCTTTTGTTATAGCCTTGGGGTAACTTTTCCATAAGGTATCCTTTGTATCTTTGTTACCATTGGCTGATACAGGCAGGAGAATCGGGTTGTTTTGGTTCCCCTCATCATTACAGAAACTTTCCAAAAACATGAGGGTCCAGACTACTGTAGAGCTCTGGTTTTCAGGTGTTACGGGTCCGGTCAGGTTTTACGACAACGAAAGGAAGGCGAGCATTTTGATAAAACAGTTCCAGGAAGGCAGAGAGGTGAAAGTGGGGGAATACAGCGCTGCCATACACCATTTGGACTTGTCGCTTGGCGACGAGCTTAAGTGGACTGGGAAGTACGTCTTTGGTAGGATAGTAAACGATATTGGACGAGCAAACGAGTGTCCTCTCTTAAGCTGGCAGAAACAATTGAATATGATGATACGAGGGCTGCCTTTTATATTTCGGGAATTTCTTAAACTAGTCCCGCTATCTGGCGACTAACGTTTTTCTAGGGAAGTTTGACATTTTGAGGTTAGGTTTACTCGGTTAGGTTTCGGCGAAAGAGTGTTGTTTGTGTTTTTTATGATAAATTAAAAGAATTGGTTCGGTTAAAAATGGAACTTAATCGGGAGCATTTTCGTGCAATAATTTTTTACAACATTAGACGTGGACTAACAATGCATAGATGAACTTAATTCGACTTTTGGAGTTTAAGGACTATCTAGGACTACTGTTTATCGCTGGTTTTCGTCGTGGTCGTAGTTTTCTTGAGGATGAATTTCGTGAAGGTCGTCCAAAATCGGTGGGTGTCCGAGCCATCCACCATATAGTCCTGATTTAGCACCTAGTGACTTCTATTTATTCCCGTACATTAAGATAAAATTACGTTGGCAACGATTTTAGACACCAGAAGAAGCGTTTAAAAAGCATGTTTTGGACGTGCCCGACTCGATGTGGGAAAAGTGCTTTGATGATTGGTTTTATCGAATGCAACAGTGTATTGATCATCAGGTTGAATATTTTGAGAAACAAAGTCATATTTGTTGTTAGCTTATAGTTTTTTATTACAAATCCCGAAATATAAAAGGTAGTCCCCGTAGGTCATATCCAGAGTATATACACCATTGGTTTGTGGTTGAATTTTGATATATTTTTTTTGTTCTCGAAAATGCACTGAAAGCTTGTTTTGCTTGTTGCTTTAACCTAAAATAGCAGGTATTTTTTGAAAGAATAAACTGGGCTTAGAACCCAACTATAGATCCACCGACATGACCGTCAGAATTGACAAACGTCAAAATTCAGACCGTGCGGTAAAATCTCCGAAAACATCCGAAATATCCCGAAAATGTCCGAAGTGGTTCGGATCCGCGGGAAATGAAACTGAGATGGCCGTATTTGTCCAAATCGTATCGGGGCGTTCGTGGCTCATTCGGGGCAGCGCGGGAGGGAGGCCGGCAAAGCGTTTCCGTGGAGAAACAATTTTCCTCGAGAGAGAATAATTATGATTTGTTTACATTACAATGTTTTTAAAATACATCTGTTAATATTTACAGTGGACTCATCGTAAAAGATGCAGTTGCATTTTAATTAATAAAAGAGCCAAACCTATCATAAATGTGTTTGTTTAAGGGCTCTCAATTATTTCAAATAAATCATTGCGGTGATAGTAAAATCGTATTTAGGTACCTTTTACTCGGAAAATTGCATACGGCGATTATCACGAATCATGAAAGGTTAATAAAAACGGGTGCCCAATTGTTCTCACAGCTTAAATTATTGATGATTGTTAAATTTATTCAATAAGCAATATGATTTATCAATATCTTTATCTAATACTTCAGCTGCGACTATTTTGAGGATATGGTTGTCAATTAAGACACTTTGGATCATGTAAAAAATTAACCAGCTACCTGGCATACCCAAGAATCAAAAAGTAAAAGTTACCTCAGTAGAACAGGGCCCATTAATTAAAGATACCTATTTTAAAAGGTCAAATTGTCAAATAAAAATCACTTAGGTGCCAATGAAATACCTACCTACACCTTCATTGTAGCATGCTTAATAGAAGTTGTAAGTTTTTTTAGCTTAAACAATATCGTAAATTGTTGTTCTTTATGTCATATCCAATAACCTCTACTTTATTTTGTAAACTGTTAATTTCATTTTGTTTATAAGTACGCTGTATAGTGGATACGTCCTATATACATAATTAACCAAAGTAAATAATGTAACCGCATTTTATAAATTAATTTGAGCCGTGTTGTATTTTAACCTCTTTCTTTATTTGGATAAATGTTTTGGCCGCGTTCGGGTGTTCGTCGCCGGTGCCTCGAGTAGAAAAAAATAATTTTAAATTGTAGTGCGTTGTCCCAAAACTTTCGAAACCAATGAGACAACGAAATTAACTTTTCGAAAAAAAAAAAAAAATGCGCCAGCTTGAGAGGGGTAAAATCGCGACGGGCCTTGTCGCGCAGCGTCACCGTTTCTTACCCCGCAGCTACCCTCCCAAAGACAGGACCTTCCTGAAAAAGGAACATACGCGGGTTAACAAAACTGTCTACGCGATACTCGCATCGTTGGCGTGCTGTGGCATCCTGATCGCGGGTTTCTTTCTGGGGTTCAATATTAAATACAGGAACCAGAGGTACATCAAAATGTCCAGCCCGCAGCTGAACAACTTGATCATCATCGGGTGCATGATAACTTACACCAGCATCATATTTTTGGGGTTGGATTCGGAACTCTCCAGTATCGGTACCGTCCGCAGGGTCCGAGACCTTTCTGGTGTTAATTCCATTGATTCCAGAGGCGTTCCCGTATATCTGTACGGCGAGGGCGTGGACTTTGATGGCGGGTTTCTCATTGGCCTTCGGGTCCATGTTCAGCAAGACTTGGCGAGTTCACTCGATCTTCACCGACGTCAAACTCAACAAAAAAGTGATCAAGGATTACCAACTGTTTATGGTGGTGGGAGTGTTGCTTTGCGTGGACGTCGTGATAATGACCACGTGGCAGATAGCCGACCCGTTCTACAGGGAAACCAAGCAAGGCGAACCTTATGTAAGTTGATCTTTTATTCTACGTTCTGCAACGCTTTGCCTTTAGTTCTTATATTATGCTTATAAATTTGATCCTTTAAGTAATCCCAGTGGAGTTATAAAGGAATAAATAAAAAGGAATAAAAGCGGTTGTCAAAAATTGATATGTGCCTCTCAAGTTATGAGCTAATGCGCCATCTTGTTTCAAAAATCGATAAAATCGAATTTTTCGAAAGTATACGCGCTAGTAATTTTTTCCAAATCTCGGTAACGGTAGATCCTACAGAGGAATTTTTGTTTTCTGTTCTACCTTCTCTGTTCCAGGGTTTTTCGACGATAATTTCCGAAAGGTTTGAGCTACACGCTTCAAATTTTGCTCCTTTTTAACCGTCCATAGGCTGCATAATATATGTTAAAATAGCGGCGTTCAAGCTTCGGCGTCCATCTTTTTTTTTCAATTTTCGATTCTTTTTTGGATTTTGCTATGAAACACGACAAATGTCCGAAATTTGAAGCTATCGACTTGAAGTTTGGCAGACGAATAGCGCTTGGTCGCCTAACGGAAACTATTGAAATTAGAGGTGCTGGGCGGTCGGGAAGTATTTAAAAAAAATTAAAAACCGCGTTTGCAAGGGTCCACGAAAAAAAATGATTTCTCGAAAACAGTTTACGCGACGGAAAAAATTCTTAAACAAGAAGAGTCTGCTTTTTTTACATGACGATGTAGCCCGCATTGACAGCTAAAATTTTTGTATTTGAGGTTTTCACCTGTTATACACGGTGATCAAGATATTAAGTGTTATGTTCAAAAATTAACAGGTGTCTTAAATTTGCAACTATCGACTTCAGATTTGACAGAAGTGTAGAAGTCCACACCCGCATTTCACATGTTAAAAACGGACTCAAATTTCGCAAAGCATTTTTTAAAAATTTTTGAAAATTTGTTTTGGTATATTTTGCCTTCCAGAAAAAAATTATTTTCTCGAAAACTATTGACCCAATCGGCAAAATTTGTGAACCAGGAAATGTGGGAGATCCAAAACCATAACTTTTATTTCTAGCATTGTTTCCAATATGTACAGGTTTTTTCAATTATAGACAAAAATCTAAAAAACCCTGAAAATCGTTCTTTTCGCTATTAAATTATTAGCAGTACATAAAAAATTCGTGAAAAATATGGCCAATTGGTTTAAGCCACATCGAGAGCCACAACTTTGGTATTTACCGTTTTTGGTCTATCACATACGCTGTTCGAGATATTTGAAAAATCCAAATGAAAATCACCACTTCTCGCCCTCAAACTAGACGCGATGATGTAATTTACTATTACGACGTACTGCATGGTTTCAGAAAAGCCTTATTTTCTCGAAAACCATCTACCATTTTCGAAAAATTCTTGGACCAGGAAACATGGAAGATCCTCCATTTCCGTAAATTTTTTCGATTATGTACAGGGTGTGTCGATTATGGGTAAAAATATCTAAAAGGCCCTGAAAATTGCCGTTTTCGTTTGTAAATTAATAGCCGTTAATAAAAAACTATAAAACTTGTAAAGATTTGGTCCAAACAGTATCGTAAATTGTGAGGAGAGAGAGTTTCAGGTTTCGTCAATTTTGCAGGGCGCGCGAAATACTTATATAATACTTATATAATTGGAAATCGTTATTACTTGTACAATTTTTCATATCTATCAAAGTTTGTCGTCACTTAGAAATTCGGTGATACGTGAAAGACGTTTTATACAAGGCGTATGCGCAATATAATTACATCGATTTTGCAAAAGTTCCATAGTGGTCCGCAGGAGCATAATAGAGAAACGATGCGTCCCAATAGAAAAAAAAACAGAATTGGCTTCATTTTGAAGTAAAAACCGATTTTTCGAAAGCAATCTTATTGGAAATGGAACCGAACCAACCAAAAACCAAAACCGATCAATACTAGCCATCCAGAATTTCAGTAATAATTGCAATACACTGCTCATCGGTCAGCGTAAAAATATTAATTAATTGAAAATTGTTATTCTTATTAAATTAAAATTGTACCTCTCTACGTGGCCATACCATATAAGTTGTCGTTGGTCTATTTCTTCAAGGATGGTCGTCTGCACGTCCGTGACTGCCCTTATTCGAAGAAAGCCATTTCTAATGACAGCAGTCTTCTTTTCAAGGCTTTCTCTAGTTGTCATGTTTTGCATCCATCAAATCCATCAAATATAGAATCGTATATAAGCTTTTTCCTTTCTTCAGAAATATGTGTCGATCAGAGAATAGAGTTGAGACATCCTATGACTCTTTTCCCCTTCACTATTCGGTCTTCTATTTCCTTTCTTGTTCGTCCATTCTTATCCATCTTTGTTCCCAGTTAGTTGTATTCCCCACATGACGTCACCGTAACGCTATTCCCAACTTCCAGATGCTGCCCACACACACGTATTTTGTTTTATTACAGTTCACTGTCAGCCACATCTTGTATATTCATCAAATAGCCTTCTTGTCATAAACTCTAGGTCTTCTTTATCTTGGACCACTTGAACTTGATCATCTGCAACATGGAGGGTGTAAAGATTGGTGTCATTTGTTAATTCTATTCCTATTCCGCTTCACGCATTTCTCCATTTTTCATAAGGCTTCGTTCAAATAAATCTTGAACAGTGTCGGGGAGAGACAGCATCCTTGTCGAAGGCATTTTGAGATATGTTCTTTCCTATCCTATAGAGCTGTTTTTGCTTGCTGCTCTATTTCGTTAGGGCCGTAATCCTGGTCTACATTGCTTTTAATTAACCCATAGACTGACTCATTGTGCTAGTGACCGAAATACATCGGTAGTTGGCACACTCGTCTCACTTTCCCTTCTTATGGATGTGTGTTATCCAGGCCTTCTTCCAAATAGCAAAAATGACGTGAAAATAACGGTGTTATTGTCATGGATACTGTAAGCTACCACAGCTGGGCAAAGCACCAGCCTCATCAAGTTCAGAAACTGAAATCCAGGGATATTTGTTGGAAAATGATATTTATTTTGTATTCAGTTACGAAAATGCGCAACTTTTGGAAGTCCTAAATTCGTATGCAATTAAAAAACAGTAATTTGGCTAAAGAGGCTGGGCATACTGTTTTACGATTTCCTCCATATCATTGCATGTTCAACCCCATAGAGCATTTGTTTAACTGAGTTAACCAAAGACCAGGGCACAAAATATCACTTCTACTTTAAGTCCCAGTATTATAAGTTTGACCAAAAATGTAATTAATCACATACCAATTGATAGCTATAAAAATTCAGTACAGCACATTTCTCTACAAAGCAATATAAATCCTATTGTAATGAAATGATTTGACATCTGACAGGCCCGTACCCAAATAGCACAAGGACGTCCGTAAATATACTGTTTCAGCTAAGGGACATCCTTTAGATGTCTCAAAGATATACGATGTTACAAATGGGAACGTCCACAGTATACACATGCGTCCTTAGGATGTTTGTTAGTACATACTAAGGATGTAAAGGACTATCGATTGATACCATTAATAATAAAACACATTTTATACGCATTTTTTTCTATTGTAGATATGAAAAAATTGTAGGTATATAATGTAGCAAAAATATAGTCCCAACCTAAAGTAAAAATAGAGTAAGATACTATCTTGAACTAAACTCTAACATAATAATTAATATTTGACATATTTCCTGTCATTCCTTAGCGAAAGTAACTCTTTTTAGCGAAACAGCTATTGAATTCTCACAATCTTTTGATGTTTGTCATGTGTTTGCTTTTTTATCAGCATCTGAAAATATTAAATTTTGTGAAAGACAGGCTTCTATATATTTGTACTTTATAAAAAAAAATAAACAGAACGAGACTGGTATCTGATATGTTTAAAAACAGATTGAAAAAATCGCTACATCCGCCTTTTACGTCAGGCTTGATTTGACGCTGATAGTACTCTCATGAAAGTGATCTTAGATGCTAATCTCCACGACGATGAGAGTATACATTTATGTATTTCATTTGATTAAATACAAACCTCATTAAACTCTTATTGGTAAGATCACTTTCATGAGAGTAAGTACTATCGCCCGCAAAAAAACTAGAACCAATACGATTTTTCAGTTTGACAGTAAAGGTCGATTTTCATGCAATATTATTTTTCAACAATAAAAATTTTCTTAGTTTTTTTTTGCTTGTGATGGTACCTACAATCCCTATAAAAACAAGCCTTAAAAAATAAGAAAAACGTTTTCATTTTAATGTGAAAATTTTACTTTATGCAGGGTGATTCCTAAAATTAATACTTTGTTTTTGGGGGCGGGTTCTTGCATCCATTTTAAGAAAAAAATATGCAAACTATACTATATAACTAAAAATGTAATTTTGCTCTGGGAGATTTTCTCTGACATTTTTTGCTTAAATCAAAAATTAGTTTAGTTTTGTATACCTAAATTTAACTGCTCAAAAAACATGAAGAGAAACTGGATTTTATTTTTGTTTTCAAAAACTAAGCAATTAGATATGAAAAGAAGTCTAGAATCAAAAAAGATATGTAATCTAAAACGTATATAACATAGGTTACAAAAAAGGCAGTTTTATCTTAACTCGGTCCAGCAATCACTTAAATTATCAACTAAACAATCACCATAATATTTTATTAAATTATAATTCTTTACTTTATTTATATTATATTTACGTCCTATTTATTTAAAAAAAAAACATAATACCTACTTACCAAATATTAGTAAATTTCATTGCAAGTTCATTTGAAATCAGCGGGGTCAGAGCTTGCTACCTCATTGACCTAGCATAATACTAAAAAACAAGGCTTGATGTTGGTAGACTACACAACAATGGTTCGTTCAGCTTAGAATGTATCAAATCTTATGTTATATATTACCATAAAGCTTTACTTACATGAATTATTAGTTCTTCAGTAATAATAATACCACAAAAAAAATAACTGAAACGAAAGCACTGAAATCAGTAAGCACAGCACACAAAATACTCAAAATAGACACCAAGTCGCCGTATACCGTATACCGCCAACAAAAACAAGGCTGAAAAGACGAACGAGACGGAGGAGAAGTCAACGAGACTTTTAGTAATTTTTGGTAATTTTTTAACTTTGGTTAACTTTTGACTGTTAAAAACACTCCGTGTTTATGGATTGTATGTAGTTCGATGTTTGTTAGATCTTGCCTGTTTAATTACTTAGACTCTTGTCCATTTCAGCCTGATCCTTCCAATGAAGACACGATCATCATACCAGAGAACGAGTACTGCGCTTCCGGCAAAATGTCAATTTTCATCGGATCGATCTACGCGTACAAAGGACTTCTAATGGTAATTCGTCCTCTAAACTAGTCGCGATTCCAATTAAGTCCAAAAAAGTTGGACACTTTCAAGGAGAAACGTACCGGAAAACATTGCGTTTCCATGAAAGTATTTCCAATGGTTCCAATAATTTTTCAGTTACCAACCATTACCACATACTGTTGTATATACAAATATACAGTAGAGAAGAGGCGAAGTCTAGCAAAAGCTACTCCACTTAACCTCTTAAGTGTTTAAATTGTAATAATAATATGGAACAATAGAAAGTTATTAAAAGTAAAAATGAAAAAAATAACATTGAACATTGAAAAGTTTTCGTAAACTAAAATTAAGGACAGCCTGTATAAATGGCGCAAAACCAAATTAGACTTTTTCACCAATAATATTTAGCATTAAGTTGAAGATTATGCGTAGAAGAATATAGACATAACTTATACAAATCCAAATTGATATAAATTGAAGCAATATCAAATAATTTAGTATCTAAAGAATAGCTGAGTGTCATCAGCAAATGAATGCAAATTAATTAAGAATAATATAATAATATAAAAATAAAAACAATATAAACGAATATACATATAAAATTTTGGGCTTTAAATTCTCTGCCATTTTGTCAAGAAGATATCTACTGTAGATTGCTTTTGAACCCTTGTCAAAATTTGTCAAAGTTCCTTTGGTTCTCCCCCGAAATCACTACTATTAAATTTTTTTTTTCTTCTTGCTCAGCTGACTGCTTGAGCTCATCATTTAAAAGCCCACCTGCTGCTTCTTTAACTATTTCTTCGAAGTTTTCTGCATTTATCTTTACCATTTCTTTTACACTTCATTAAAAGATCTTTCTGTTATCCCATTCCAAGAAAGGTTCACGTTTTCTACAGTATTCATGATATTGTACTTTTTACAAAATTCTCCTATTGTTTGCTTCTCTTCTGGCATGGCATGCAGTATTATCTATTAATAGCAGTGCTCTTTGTTTAAATTTTCAGTTCAGTTCAGTGAACCAATCCTGGATGATTTTCTTAGTTATCCATGATTTTTTATCAGACTCCCAAACTACTGGACATACATTAAAGTTGAACGAATATTATCACAGAAACGAAGAGGTGCAATTATTTCACTGATTGTTATTTTGAAAAAGGCTAAACTCCCCCAAGCTGTAAGAGGATTACTTTATTAAAATGTTTTTGACTAAGTTTTCTAAATTTTTTATTCGGATTTTTGTCTCGGACTTGAGTAGTAGTAGTAGTAGTAGTAGATGCTTTAATAATTTGAAGTAATCGGGTCCGAAGTCGTCTTTATTCCGTCTTTTGTAGGGGTGAACTTCATTCTCATGTGAAAAAAATATGTTTGATTCTCATAAACGTAAACTAGACGCTTAACCCATATTATCCCAAGCATAAAAAAAAGCTTTTTTGCTCTGAAATTGTTTATTTTGTTGCACTTAAGAATGCATTACATGAATTAAAAAAAAAACTCGAAACATACTGGTGCGTAAACGAACCAATGAGAAAAAACATTAAATAAGGTTTTGGGGCACATAAGATGTTGTTAGAGAAAAGTTTTGCTGACTCTCGATCTAGTGAATGCGGTCATTATGCCGTGCGAGCCGATCCCGATTTACATCGCCTAGAGAAATACCGCCGCGAAATACAACAACGCAAGTTGCACTTAGTACTTTTTGATTCTCTTTCCGTTTATCCATTTTTGTTAATTGTATTCTGTGAATCGTGATTTCTTTTCATTAAAGTTCTTAATCAGAACTTCGGGTTAGATTTCACTGCCGTTTAAACTCCGCCGACAGATGTAACATATAATTTATACATAAATGTACAAAAGAAAGTTCAAATTCGACAGAAAACAACTAAAAGTAGATTGTTTTCCAAATAGAACCTGATTTGATTTGATGTGCAAAAACATTTCCTGGATGTGACAAAGAAAATGATAGAATAGGTGGTGCATTAACGCACCACTGGGACGAAATGGGTTAAATATATAAGCGCTTGGCAGTGTAAGAATGTTAAGCTCTGAAAATATCGATCTCACATCCTCTCTGTATTTGAAGTTTGAAGTTATTGTTATGAACAACGTAGTGTTCCCTTCCAGCTGGAAATGAGGCTTTAACCATATTGGTGATGGCAGAGTCGGTTGATTCTACCCTCCCGAACCCATATTGCTGACCAAAGTAGAGATTAAAATATTCAAAATATTTCTTAATTCGGTTTTTTAATACAAGGTATCACGCACATAGGTCTAAAGTTGTTTGCAGTAACTTCCCCACATTTATATGTATGTGATTTTTTTTTATATTTATAACATATTTGGATCAGATCATCTATCAAACAAGTATTAAAATATTCTTTAGCTGCTTTAAGATCAAAAACAACATTTGCTACAATCTTTGGTTAGTTTTGGTTGATTTATTATTATTATTAGATTATATTCCGGTAGGCTTTAGCTGTATTTCCTTCTTCTTCAATTACTTGCTTATCAGGAACGCTTTTTGCTTTCCTTATTTCTTTTTTGTGAAACTGTAGCTTTTAATATATTTTGTGATACTCATGGTTCATCGGGCAAATTTTATTTCAGAAATTGAGGTTATGTGTTTTTTTTTCATATTTTGATTGCCCCATATAAAATTGTGTTGTGCCGCTACTGATTACAACGAAAGTTTAACCACAGTCTAAGGAGATGGTGTACTACTCAATCAATTTGACAGATGTGCCTCAACTTATACAGGGTGTCCTAAAATGGATGGTGCCGTTTTGGCGAATTCATTTAACAAAATCTTAAGTTTTTCAAATGGAACACGTTATATTTTTATTCAGATATCACTTCTAGGATAAAAAATAAGGTAAGTTTGTAATTTATCTTATATTTAAATTTTTCTTACTTTTTGAGATATTCGAATTTTTAGATAACACCCGTATAAATTCTGCTTGAATTTAAAGCTGGACGCATTAGGCAATATTAGGTATTTTTTAAATAGCAAAGGCATAATTCTACTTCTTTTAAAGATTTAATACTCCAGATATACGAATAAATATTTAAAGAAACATTTAATGGTTAATTATCGTCCAATATCTAATATCCCCACAATCGGTAAAATTATTGAAAAGATTCTATATTCTCAATTAGCAGCTTACTTCGAGGACAACCGTTTGTTGTTTCCGGCCCAGTTTGGGTTTAGACGTGGTAAATCGACTTGTGGAACAATTAGTAGAGTTCTTGGTTAGGTTTATGCAGCTTTTGAAAGCAGAGAGTACTCCGGCACAGTCGATCTTTCGCAAGCGTTTGACTGTGTCCGAGATCCTGTTTTTTTGAGTAAATTGCAGGGTGGATCCCTCATCGGTTGGATTTCTTTAAAGTAATCTTTCCAACAGGAGGCAAATCGTGGTCCTGAATGGAAAATAATCACAAATTAGAGTTATTGATCAATTATCCATCTATTCTTCTATCTTCTATTCTTGATCTATATAAACGATCTCCCTGAGCATGTTGCTGACATAGTTTGTACATTGTTCGCTGAAGTCATTCTGAGAACGAGTTGGTGCGCAGGATGGAGGGGGCACAGTCCGGGGCAAGTGATTGGTTTCGTGCTAACAAACTTGATCTGAATGAATCAAAAACACAACAAATTATGTTTTCTTTACGCGAGTCACCATTCAACAATCCATTACGTGTCAACTGTCTTGGGGTTCTGCATTTCGAGCAGCATATTATTGGTCTTTGTGAGAAGCTGTCCAAGGTGGTGTACTTGTTGCGCGGCTTGATCGGCGAGGTCTCTCAAAGTATAGTCAGAATGGTATATTTTTCACTCTTTCAGAGATTACCTGTCAAAATGATTGAGTAGTGCATCATCTCCTTAGTCGGTGGCAAAATTTTCGTTTCAATATCTGTATCTGTAGCGTTATAGCACAATTTTATATGGGGCAATGAAAATATGAAAAAAAAAACACATAACCTCAATTTTCGCCTAAACTATACAAAATTTGAATAGGAATTTCTTAAGAAAGTGACCTTTATTTTAACCGAGAGTTACAAAAATGTCAATATATACAGGGCGTTCCATTTAAAATAACATGTTTTAATTTGTTTAGATATTCGGGGCTTTCCTGGCGTGGGAAACGCGTCACGTCTCGATACCAGCCCTCAACGACAGCCGTTACGTCGGATTTTCCGTTTATAACGTTGTCATAATGTGCATACTGGGCGCTGCGGTAGCGCTCGCGCTCGTAGACCACCAGGACGAGATGTTCCTGCTCATAAGTTCGTTTATAATGTTCTGCACCACGATAACGCTGTGCCTGGTGTTCGTGCCGAAAATGATCGAGCTTCGTAAAGATCCTGGCGGCCACATCGACAAACGGATTCGCGCCACCTTGCGGCCGATGTCGAAAACACGACGGGACTCGAGCATATCCGAGTTGGAAACGAAACTAAAAGACCTGAAAGACTTGAACGTGAAGTACAAGAAGACGCTGCTGGATCGTGATTCAGAATTGCAGGTTTGCCACCTTTGGTTTATTATTTCCCCTGAAAATTTTTCTTTGCGACAATAAATTATTAGCAGTAAATCAAAATTCGTTAAAATATGGCCATCTGGTTTATACAGTCCTCAAATCACCAATATTTGAAAAAAAAACACTATTTGTCGAGCTTAATCTAGACGCGCTGATGTCATTTATAGTTAGCCCGACGACATACCGTCTTTACAAGCTTCTATGAAAAATTACAAAGTTAAATATCGGATTATATCGTAAAAACGGTATATTATTGGGCGAACTATACTATTACGATGTACCGTATGATTTTAGAAAACAAATATCTTCTCAAATGCTATTTACTCTATTAGAAAAATTCGTATACCAGGAAACGTCTTGCGAACTATATACAGGGTGTGTTATTTTTTTTACAAAAATTCTAAAAGATCCTGAAAATTTTCGTTTTGGCTGCAAATCAAAAATTATTAAAGACCGGATAATTTGGTTTGAACAGTATCGTCTATAGTATATCATCAGTTTTCGTCTATCATACAGGGTGCACCGGATATTTGAAAAAATATAATTGGGAATCGCTATGATTTGTAAAAAATTTTGAATTTACTGTAAGTTTGCCGTAATTTTAAAGTTCAACGAGATGTGGAACACACTTTATACAGGGTGCACACACAATAAAATTACACAGATTTTGCGAAAGTTCCATTGTGGTCCGCAGGAGCACGACAGAAAAACAATGGGCTCTTCAAGGGGCTTCTTTGAAAAACGAAACCACGTAGCGCCTTTGTAGCTCCTGCGTAGCGCTACATGCCCTGCGTAACTTTTTCGTTTCAAATTTTTCGACAAAATAAACTCCGATGCAGTTATAAATTAATCTAGCAGTACCGAGGTATCCACTTATTTCAAAGAAGGAAAAAGATTGGAATAAACACGTAGAAAAATTGCGAGCGCAAATTTAAAAGGTAGAAAACAATCCACATTACTATAATATGACCAAAAATATAGTGCATTTATTGCTTTGGCGTTTTACGTATTTTACAGTATCTTGTACATCCCGACAGATGTTTATTCTGCATTAAGTAGGTCTTGCCTGAGATGGACCGTATTAACTTGAAATTTTTATTTGAAACGTAAACGGACCGTCTTAAATTTGATTAAGCATTGACGATGCGGGGTATTTTCGAATAAGTAGAAACGTTTATTTTAACATCAGGTGATAGTATGGTTCTAAACTGCTATAAATTGCTATTTGTTCGTATATATTACGGAGGTATTTGACTGTGATTCTTCCAGTAAGTACGTATTTATGTACCTGATTCTCGAGCTTTGACACTGAGCGCTTGTTTTCACTGGATAGTTCAAAGGGTAAGGGTAAGTACCTGTACGCTATTTATCTTAAACGTAAGTTTGAAAAAAAATATTTTTGTCTCGTGTGCCTGTCGATTAACAATATTAGTTCTTCGATTTGTAAACAACAACAGTCTTTTTTAAAAAAGGATATATTTATTAGATTTTTTCAATTAAACATTTTTTGAAGGTTCTTAATTTTTAACACTTTAAAAAGTGGAGACCGTGGAATGAAGAAGAAGAAGACATGGAAAACAACGCAGAATTTGAAGACGAAGTGGAGATGGTAGTCGAACCTAATGATAATTTAGAAGACGAACTACCACAGCAATTGAAAAATCGGATCCATTTGTCTTCGGATGCTAAACCAATTGTTTTGAATGTTTACGATTTTATAAAAAATTCAGAAGGGTAAGTAACAAGTGACATGATCAAAGTTGCGAAGTCAACTGAAAGAAATTGTTGCAAGAAGAAAGATGCTGGTACTTCGCGAGTTTTTAAAGAGCAACATGGAGATCTAATTAGGCATAGGCCTATATATAGGCATGTAGATTATAGAATCTACGAATAGTGTTTTAACCCTAGAAGAACTGCATAAAAAATACTGACAGACTAAACATTAGTTGTGCCAAAGAGTCGTTAATAATTAATAAACGTCAAGATCTAATGGAATCTCAAAGAATTTCGATGGATTATTTAAATGCAATTGTGAGCAAAATAGGTGTACTTACACAAAACGTGGTTCGACATTCACGACACAGTAAAAAAAACGATGGTGTGATAACAGTAACAAGTGTGTACTAGACGTGCCGCCTTCACATGGAAAACGCATAATGATTCTTCATGCTGGCTCCAAAAATGGTTGGGTAGAAGATGCCTTATTTTTGTCTGCCAAAAACGTTAAAGATTCAAGTGTGGATGTTTGAAAATAAATTGTTGCCGATTCCTGTTATTGTTATACCTCGTATTAGAAAAATTCCAAATACTTCTTCAACTAAAGAAGGAATTAAAGAATTTCTGTACGAAAATGATTTATATTTTGCAGAAAGCTACACTGGAATTTTAATAAAGACTACAAAATCGTTTCGATAGCACAACAAAGTGGACATGAAATCTTGAGACTACCCCCGTGTCATTTTATATTTAACCCCATTGAGATGATTTGGTCTTTGGAGTTAAAAGCGCAGATAAAAAGAAATAACATTACACCAAAATTTTATGATAGTATTATGAACGTAATTCGGCAAAAGGTAGCTAAAATATCAGTACAAAGCTGGTCTAATTGTGAAAAACGAGTAATAAAAGATGAAAATATTTATCGAGAGAGTTGATCAGTGAACTAGGTGACGACAGTAACGATAGTGAGGATTTTTTAAGTGACTGATACTTTATTATTATTATATTTAATATTTTGTATATTAATAATAATACTATGTATAAATGTAATGAAATAGAACGCAATAAATTATTACTTTGTACTAATTTTTTTATGTACATGAAAACATACTTATGTCCCGCTTGCTAGTGTAGATAGATAAATCCCTAGGACGGACCTGGAATGGTTACCGCTAAGGGTCTGCTCGGCAGGGCCTGCGGTTTTGAAGTAATAAACAGTGGGCAAAGTTAATCACGGGCTCGATTGTGAAAGCACTATATTTCTGGTCGAAGTATACTTGTCGTGCCTCTTTACTACTTCAGTCCGCTAGATGGGACACAAAACTTGTATGTTTTAGATGCTGATCAGGCAACTAGGCGACGAAGCCAAAGACATCCTCGAAGAGAAGACGGAGGACTCGGTGAGCGATACCAACCGGCTCTCGGTGCCGCTCCTGAGGAAGGAAGCGCCGAGTGCTACCGAAACCAGCGACCTAACCTCACTTTGTAGTTTAAGTTCACAAGCGGCCGATTACACTTCCCTCCATAGGACCGAAAGCCACAAGTACGTATCGCGATTACCTCGATTTCTAACTGATAGATAGATAGATAGGTAGAATTTATTCGGTATAAAATAGACAGAAATCGTTGTAACCATACGTCACAAATACAATTAAACAACAAATAATAACGAAAGTACACAGACTTTTTTGTTTTAGTATCACAAAACAAGTCGCCGTTTCTATTTTATGTGCATTATTAAAAATAATGGAACAAAAATTATTTGAAAGGAAGCTATCCTTTAGATGAAATAATGTTAAAAACTAATCATCATCACCCGCAAATTCACTTGGAAGCCCATCGATTCGTTCTACCAACTTTTTAGGTGGTTTTCCTCCAGTTCCCAACGCATGACACTTTTCACCAGCCAATTTCTTGTTTGTACTCTTTTTTAGGTGTTCATATCTTTCTCTTAACTGCCCCTAAACATCCGACCACTTTCATTGTTATATTATCTTTCAGGTTATTACTATCAGTCTTTTTATTTTCTAGTACACACAAAGCAATACTGCAATTTGCTGACCTATATATCTTACCCAATTTCTAAAAATTTAAACTTATTTAATTGCAATTTATTGTATATTACACAATCTGATTTTTAACAGTACAGAACAACCCGATTTTTTTGTCTTGGACTGGGTGTAGTAGAGTTGGGCTTATAAATGCCGTGTCCAGTCACCGAGCATAGTTTAGTAGAACTGTAGCTCGAACCGATACTGTACAACCGGACCTTAATAGCTTGAACGTCTGTTTAATCCATCAGGAAAGAACATAGCTGTAGTTTTGAGAAGTTGCTGTTTTCTCTTTATGTGTATAAGAGTTCTCTTAATAAGTGGAAATACGCCCTTAGATTGGTTTTGTTTTGTTTTTTTTAAATGTAGTCTTTATGTCTTGAAATTCTTCTATAGAAATAGGAGTGGAGCGATAGAAATTCCATTTAGCCCCCCTATTTCAGCGTTATTATTTTTTTAATTGGTAAATAGTCACAGAATATTAAAATTTTAAAATTTTTTTCCTCCAAACTTTATCACTTTCTTCAATACGGCTTACATCTCCGTATGTTACTATATAAAAAGCTTTCATTTCGATGCCAATCGAGGAACATTTAAATTTTGACGCAAAATATGAAAAATATGACACATTCCAATAAAACCAACGTTACGCTTTGATGGGAGCTTCTTAAAAAGTTAAAACTGTTTGACCCGAGGACAAAAATTTGCTATTTAATTTTTTTGTTTGTTGTTATTTTAAATTTAGATTTCTTTATTAACCATTCGTTATTATGCATTTTAAACGTAGAATTTCTTAAAAACACAAGTATAAATTAAACTAAAAATTTACTAAAAAACATTTTATCATATTATTATTAAGAACGCAAGGAAGGTTTAAACGTGCTCGCGTTAAATGGCGCTATTCAAAATAATAAAAAAGTATTGCCTGAAACATGCATAGATTGTGTAAACCTTCTCACCAACTGTTTCGTGGTGGCTTAAAAAGGTCCAAAAGGTAAGTCATTTATATGTAGATTTAATAGCGACGTGCAAAAAGGTTAACATCGTCATAATCACCACACTGGGGTTGCTTAAATCCCAATTTCTAACGCGCCTTCGGTCTTTCATATCTGTGATCTGAGGTTTTTCACCGTGCCATACTTAGTGTGTTCTGTGTTATTGAAAAGACAGACCATTAATAAACGGTTCCTACTAGGAAAATCTGATTTAGCAGCAGCAAACTGAACGGAAAACGATAAAAATAAGGCGTTTTTTAATCACTCATAGGAAGTGAGTGTTACTTAGTCGTTCCGCCACTTTGATCTAAAAATTTCTTTAACAAGCGCAATAATGTCTTCCATGAAGGCGAAGAAGGCAGCCGCAAAACGAGTCGTCCCCGAAGAAGCCGCAGAATTCTCCCAAAGCCAAAAAATACGACGACAGTCAACCGAAACAAGTGAACGGGGCCATAACGACCACGTACGCGTCAGCTGTCAACCTCAAACTGGAGAATGTCAAGGTTGACAGTAACTACAACAGCGTCAAAGAGTTGAACGTGGTAGCGCTGAGCGAGATGCAAAAATGCGAAGCACAGGTAAGCTATAGCTAGCTATAGACAGCTACGTCCAACAAAAATCAACTAATATTGCCAGACTTCGCAATATATTTTATATATTAATTAATATTAATGGAATTGATTCTGTTTGTTACCACTATTCACAGGGTGTTATGCTTATAAACAGAGATTTCCGGGGTATTATTTTACTGACATCCATGGACAAAATTAAAAATTAAAATTGATTGATAAAGGACTGTCTGAAATTGAAAAAACTGATGGAATCTTCAATTGCAATCAAGTCGCCTTGTTTCAATTGACAATCAAAGTTTACGTTTTTAATAAAAGCGTTTACTTTATGTACCGCTAGACATTTGTCGTTTGTAAAAGTTTTACAACAATTCAGATAGGATTCAAAAATTAATTTTCCATAATGGAAAATCGACATCAATGGACGTGCTTCTTCACATTCATATGATGTTTTATTCTTTATTGGTTTGTCGGAATTATTAAATTTTTTTTAACAAGTAAAATAATGATTACACTAAAATTTTTGCATCAGAAACTCGGACGTTATAAACGAGTGGTTTTGTGCAAATGAGGAAAGGGTGCCTTGTATTATTAACAAAGTAAAGTACTTATTGAACGATGTCACACCACACTGAGTCACTTTCTCCCGTAGTTTGGATTTGCCCTTGAAATTCATTGATTAAATTATAGGATGTAATTTCAATAATACCCTAAATAGTTGAGTTTTATTTTCTAAAGATTTTTAATGCCTATATACGTACCTTTAATATTTAGCAATATGAATTTGTGTTTTAATTATAATACTTCTAAGTCTAATTTTTTGACTGATCGCCATAATTTCACCAGTTTGATTTTTTGAACGGACTTCTTAAATTTGGTATAATTGGATCAACGTTTTGAATTAGTTTTTCTAAACGCGTGTAAAACACGCAGAATTATATTTGCCCCCTTGTCTAACTCTCAGAAACTTTTTCCTTTACAGATCTGTATTAAGTAGTGCTTTTTGGTTACTTCTACCACCTCCGTCCCGATTCGCTTTATTTTTAATTTTTTTTAAGACTCTTAAAAGATTAGAGTATTTGAAATTTTTAATAAACAGTTCAGGAATTTCAGCAATTATTCTTTTGCATGAGGACCATTTGAAATACTTTTCATTTTTCTATCCACCTAAAATGGGAAACACTGTATTTTGGCAAGTTAAACTGATTGGAAACAGCTTTCCTTCTAAATAAAATATTTATCTATTCATATCGCTAATTTCAGCAATTATTCTTGGTTCTGACACGAATCTCTTTGGGAAATTCATTTGGTTCTTCCATACAATCCAAAATCATTTTCGAAACACTGTAGAGAAACGCGTTTACTAACATTTGTCGCATCTCTGTGGAGACTGGTTTTGTGTTGGCATATATATTAATACAAAAATAGACACTATAAAGCTCAACGAACCTGCAAAATTATATATTTAAATTTACGTTCATAGTAAATCCTCTTTATTCGTGTCAGTTGAAAGAGCTGCTCTGCTTTCATCGCGCTCACTACTAACCTATTTGACATTTCTAAACAATATAATTTTACAAATGTCAGCAGCCTACATAATAATTTTTTTTATCTGATATTGTATGTATAACTAAATCTAACAGCAGAGAAATTGTACAAGGAGAATCAATCCCATTATTCTAATACAAGGCGTTGCTTTTCTCCGGTATACCCAATAAAATTGTTTTTCAAACGGAGCCCCTGTTACTAACCATGTAAAAAACTTGTTTTTCCACTTCCTACTCTACAATATTTTAATAGTGCACCGATTTAACGCGAGGTTTCACTGAAAAACTCAAATACAAGCGTTTAGGGTACTTTAGTCACGGGTTGGGATCGATCTGTGTCTGTACCAATTTCTAAAACTCAATAAGTCGACTCTTGACCGTCGAATCTAAATGCGCCAGATGCCTCCAAGCATCGAGGAGCCAGAACTGAAGGACATCAAAGAAATTAAAGAGACCACCCCCAGAAAACACGAAAGGAAGACGCCGACACACGAACGGAGGCCCTCCAGGACGATAGATTCGATCGAATTGCACGACAAGCGCCGGCTTAGCATCGCCAAAGTAGCCAGCGAAGTACTTGAGGAGAATGTTAACGGTGAGTATTGTGCCAGTCACTTTATCTCCACTGACCTTCCACCATGTATGGTTAGAGCTACACCGAGGGTTATTTAATAATCCCAACAAATTCAGATATCCATGCTCATTACCAGTCTCGTGGTTTAAATTAAACTCGTTTGAACTCTGCAAGTCAACCGTATGTCACTCTTAAAATTACGTCACTAAAGTTTTCGTTCTGCTTTAGATAGTGGATAATACCAATAATTCGTAAGGACGTTATCAAGACCTATTAAAGATGCAAATTTTGACAATGATCATGGCCGTTTCCTTTCCTAGGAGAATCTTCATTCGCTGCCTCCTTCAGCTTCCATTAGGCTTAATCCCTCATCAATGTTCAGTGGCCCATCAGTAGACGTACCGTTATTTTAACGATTTCCGTTTCATGGTAGACCTATTTCTGCTGTAAAATTAGAATTCTCTGTGCTCATTGCTGGGATTCCTTTTCCACGCATTGATTACCATTTTGACCGTGGGTTGTTCTTCGTCAAGCCAAGTAACGACAATGGAAGTTGTGACATTGTGTCCGACGTTCAAAGAAACAATATAAAACTTATTTCTACTCGGGAGTTGTTTTTATTGTCACTCGGCTGTAAATCTTGCATCGAAACTGTTCTTCGGATGTCAATTTTTCAGACTTGTCTGATTGAGATTTGTGTCCTCTAACGATAGATTATCATTAATTTCACTTTTGTTTTGGGTTTAAACTTCAGTTGGGGTAGCATTTGGAAATGTTAACTAGCAAGAGAGACGTTTACAACCATGTTTGTGTCCTTTGCTCCGTTCCGACTATGGAGTATACAGGGTAACTCACTATTCCAGGATACTTTTAAATCTTCATAATAGTTAGTTCGAAAAATGTTTTTTCCTTGTAAGCTAGATTGGCTTTGTAAAAAGGTCTAAACAAGTCAACAATGCCTACAGGGACGTTTCAAGGGTTTTAAATAGTTTCAGTTTCAGGCCATGGAACTGGGTTATACTCTGATTGAATTTTGTCACAGGAGGTCCAAATCAATAATATTTTCAGAGAAATTGTGGTGCACTCCAATGTCCCTCAGGGTTCACACAGAGTATTCTTTCATTTTTTTTTATAAGAGATTTGAGTGACGTGGTTCTGTATTCTCGAAAATCATTTATTTTATTGGAGTGGTTTAGTATTACTTTTTCTCGCTTAACTGACACTTTTCAAAAATGAGAATTCTTCGTTTTATTACCCGTAGTAGTACCCTGCTGTCGCCATACTATTTTGAAACTAACTAAGGAGTTAGATCTACACTTGCATGTGTCCGTTGGTTTCAATATCTGTCAAAGACGTCAGAACTTCCCAATGATTTGTATTCAATTGTAGCTATTTTTCTGGGCTTTGTCGCTATTGTAACATCGTCAGTAAAGATGTCTGGGTCTCTCTGTTTAGAAGGTATGTACTTCTACAAATTACCTAAGCTTATGGCACTAGAAGAAGAAAATATCCAAAAAAACACAGGGACTAAACATAAGGAACCTACCATGAAGTTTTCTCAAAAATGAAGTTTAAAAAGGAAGTTAAAAAAGTGCTGTGAAATATTTATGAAATATCCTGTTCTATCACTTTTGGATTTTAACTTTTTCCATGGAGTGAACTGGTACGGGTATATAAAAAAAATCTAGCAATAGTGAGCTATCCTGTATATGGAAACCTGCATGTTTACTGCAACACGCATCACTCGGCACTTTTCCTTCTAATCAGGCACACCATGTAATTGCAGAGCTGGCATGTTCGCGACGTACCAGCATCCCCAATTCACGCACCACCACCCCTAAGAAAAAGCCCGATTGCGGCACCCACGTAGTGGCTAAAAGCGAACTGTGGGACACGGGCAGTCAGCACCGTTGCGCTAAGTCGCACCAAAAAAGTAGCCGGGTCAGTCTACCCCAGCAGGACGACGGTACGGCCCTTCGAGCAGGATAATCTGTAAATATCCCTCACGCCGTCCTTGTTCCAGAAGAAAGCCACATCCACCGCACGGTCTCAGAACGGAACCGTCATTCGTCTCAGAAACGTGAAAAGTCGCCGGCCAAGCATCAGCATCAGCAGCAACAGCAATCAGAAGACGGCAACATATGCAACCAGCAGTGCAACAAGTTGGGCTACTTCCAGAGCACGCCTAACGTGGCATCGCTAAAAGCCAACACCCATCCACCGAAGAGGGACAAGTCGATGTACAACGCGACATCCGAAGGGGAGTTGCTGGACAGGGAGATTCTGCCGATATTCCAGAAACTGCTGACCGAACGTAATAAAAGTCAGCACAACATTAACTACTCCTTCGGCAGGTCGTGTCCCAACATCTCGATCAAGTGTGATATCGTCGAATACCTATAAGTTTTTATTAGATTGCTAAAAATCCTACGCGGCAGTTTAGCTAAAAGAGTCCGTTTGCACCGACTATTGGCTCCTTGGTTAGTTTTGGTAACCGTTGGTTCCTTTAGCGTGGAAAAAATAGGGCGATGACTGTGAGCTGGCCTAATTGCAATTGGGGAACAATTGTTTCCGGGGATCAAGGCGAATACCAAAGAATTTGTTGTTTAAAGGTTGAACGAACTGTTGTCTTGACTAGAACTTTTACCAGCTAAGGTTTCGCCGTCACAAAAAATATAATCATCAATATCAAGACAAAGTCAAAACAATATAAACGTAAAACAATTAAATAGAAACACATGCACATATGAATACAGGATTATTAAAATAAATATGGGCAAAAAAAAGAAAGAAAACCGTGAATACAGCTTATTATTGATTAAAATTACTCTCGATTCCTGAACCGAATAGAAGCAATGAGCAAGCAGATATTCTTTCATCGCTCTTTTAAATTTTTTGTTAGAATTAGAAACAGACTTTTAAATCCTATGAGTGATGAGAGTTATTTTTTACTTGCGGAAATCATTTAATTACTCAATTCATTTGCATATGCGATAAACAATAGCGGACCCAATATTGAGCCTTGCGGTACTCCATATTTGAGATCCTGGGCGTTTGACAGTTAGTTGTTTAAAAAAACCAGTTGAGAGCTATGTTCCAGATAACTTTCGTTCCATAGCATTTTTTTTAAATAAAATAGCACGGCACCTCTGAAGTTAGGAACGTTAGGAAGCAATTCCAATCAACGGCGGTCTTTAGATCCAGATTTTCATGCCCCACGAAGTCCCTTTCCTGCATATCCAGGTACACAGTGTCCTGTGTATCAAAGTTTTCAGGTTTGCCGACATAGTGTCATTTGAGGGATTCTTCGTGAGAAGTTCTATTAACCTTAGTGCATGTTCCAAACCTTTTAATTTTTTACAAGAATATTTTGTTTTTCCATTCAACTGGCACGTATAAAACCGTTTTCTTGTATCTGGTAAAAACTGAACTGCAGTTCCTGTCGTCTTTGTCGCACTTCCAACGGAATACTTGTCGTTTTAGATGATCTTCTGCTAGTTTATCGATAGTAAATGGTTTGGGAATTTATACCATCTTATTGTGTTCCTCGCCATATTATAGGTTTTGCAAAGTTTGTCCACTCTGTCTACCACTCCTCTTCTGGTGTTATAGAGACATATCTGCCCTTCAGTTCCTGATATAAGAAATGCGGGCCGTTCCACAACTTATTGGGTTGCTTGGTAAGTATTGCTTAAAACCACATCTTCCCCTTAATGCTAATAATTCTACATAAATGGTTACGTTTGCACTTAAAGTGTAGGAAGTTTTACATATCAAACAACTGCTGTATTGGGACCAATTTGTCTTTGTAATAAAATTAAAATCTGAGTTTTCATCTCATATTTCCTTGGTACTGAGGCGACTGTTTTCTAGTGGATCGCCAAGAAATAATAATAATAATAAATAATATCTGTCTGCGGACTTGGCAAGGGTTTTAACATCTGTTCATACTGTTCCATCCTGAGCAATAAAGGAACACTTTTGTTTCTGTAAATTGGGCGCTTATCATCACTCTGAGTTTTATTATTTTGCTCTGAATCGGTATCTGAAGTTAAATGCTCTTCAGTAATATCACTATCACTATCATCTTCTAATCTTCTTCTAATAATGTTGCCAGTCTTGCTTGTTCTTCCTCAAAATAAAAAATTATTTCAAAACAAGAATGAAACTTACCAATTTAAAGATGCGCGTAAATCGCCACAAAAATTAAATTCGGAACTGGTATTCACTAACCTGCACATAGCGTGGTTTTCTTTGTAAATAACGATTTGCATACACCTAATCCGTTGTCCCCTTTAACTTTTCAAAATGCTGTATCCAAACTTTTTGACGATCTGTTAGCCACCAAAGTCGAAGTCTGAGGTAATACTAACATGTTTTGCACTGGTGGCTAATAGTAAATACCAGTGGGACGCTTATTATTTATTATAAGGTATCAGTATTAGAAAAATATAATAACTACCACACAGGAGCGGCACACAAAAATTGTGAACTGGTTTTGGGGAAACCCATTAATATGCAAAACTAAAGAAGAAAATTCGGTGTGCGAAATAAGTAAGGATTGCAAAAGCAAGGTACTTCAAATTTGCCAATGACACTGCATTAGTTTACTCGGGTGATAGTGCGGAACTGCTTGAAGAACTTGTTAATAAAGATTTACAGCAGTATTTTGAGTGGCTGTTCTATAATAGACTTTCCTTAAACGCCTAAAAAACAGTTTATATGATATCTAAACAGACAGACAAAGCACTTTGTTACCCAAATATAAAAATAAAACTATATCTGAAAATCTAACTTGGGATAAACATATTGAGACCGTAATTGACAAAACTGTATCAACGGTAGGTGCAATAAAAAGATCAACTCACCCAAAAAACAAGACAGCTGCTTAATAATAGCTTCGTAGAGCCACACCTTGCTAACATGCTGGGGAAATACCAGCATAGCACAGCAACATAAATTACAAAGGTTACAAAGTAAAGCAATTAAAGTAATATTTGGAATATGTCTAGTGAAGAAATCTACACATGTTAACCTTATTTAAAAATATGTGAAATTAAGATACTAGATCAAACAAAATTAATTTACTTAATTCAAAACAAACGGACAGTGTTACAGCTACAGCACAAGAAACAATGATAAGTTAAGAAATGTATACGCAAGGACCAAAAAGAAACAAGACTCGCCAATATACATAAGCATTCAAGTATAATAAATGTATAATTAATAAAAAACCACAAACTCTATTAAAGGGCACTACCAAGAAAATGTGTCATAACCTTAAAGATTTTATAAGAAAAAATAAAATATAAACTTACATTAACAAACTGTTATATTCAATTTTACTAGAATATTATATATATTTTTTCTGTTACTGTTTTTGTAAGGCCTCGGGGCCAGTTTTATTGTTAACTGTTTGGAGGTCTGAAATAAATTTAAAACAAAAAATAGTTACTTCATGTGCAATGTGCATGCTTATAAATGTCCTAAAATTAAATCTCATATAAACGACATAATATTTAGGTAAGGCAAAGCATGGGGGCATAAGTTGGCAGTTTTTAGCCTTTCAATAATTTCAACTCGTTGGAAAAATATTACTAAAACACTGGTATGGCTTCATTAAGCCCAATCTGGTACCTCTGTGACAAAAGGTCACATGTATCAATAACATTTAGTAATAAGAATCAATGACATCTATCACGCTCAACTTAAACAAAAAATTGACAGGCCAAAACCTGCTAATTGTTAACAAACGCTGTGTATAATTTTTAGAAAAAATATTCAACATTTCTCTTCATAAAGTTTATGTCCAAAGGTATTGAAAGTTTAAAGCCCTATTTTGTTTTTTAAATTGTGATCTGATTGAAACAACATTATTTTAAAAAACCTCTACAAAAACAGGGATAGATAATAAAATCATAAACCGAAATAACTGTCAAATATCTTTCAAGGCTTTCGATAAACTACACATATGTTCTCAATTTTGTCACTAAGAAATATCAAATAAAAATGAATGCTACGTGCAACACATTACCGATCCTATGAAAAGATGCTCGGTGCAAACGGCAGCCATCTTTATTTTAAATTTTTGGAGCTGTATTTACATGTAAATGCTTGTAAATAGTTAAAAAAAAAAAACAGAATACCTAAATAGGACATGATGACTGACATCGAAGTAAAATACTTTCAGCGCACGAACAATATTCCTCTAAACTTACAAAAACAAAAAACTTTCTGTCACCTTTATGGAAACGTTAAAATGGTCGCAGACAATCACGCCGCTTTTATTGAGTTCCTAATGTGCAGCCATCAGATTTAGGCTATTTTATATACAGAAGGTCGGATATTCCTAAATTTCCATTATGTAATATGCACACGGTCTTGAAAGTTGCGTATTTTTTTGGAAGATGTTTTTTAGACCACTTTTTAAATACTTATTTCATCCAGTACAAATAATTAATATTCCTTTTCTGCAGATTCAATTGTGCATGCTTATAAATGTTCTAAAATGAGTCAATTAAATCTCATCTAAACCTCATAATATTTAGAGGCACACATAGACTTCAGATACTTGACACAACAAAGCATTATGATCCATCTACATTTGACATTTAAAAGCTAAACCTGTATATATAGCCGAGTAAGCACTATGTAGGATAAAATTTGCCCTTTCAAAATGAACAACCAAAAATGTAACCCTACAGTGTTTACATAACACTCAATTTTAGGATTTGCTTTTTACAGTGATATACCATCAATGTTACCGTTAAATAGAATTGTCGTTTGTTAATCTACAAGAGATATCTCCATGGTTGTGTTATAATTAGAACATGTTGTATATTTAATAAGTTTAAGGATTCAATGTTATAAACTGTACAATAAAATCTAAATCCAATATTATTTGCTTTTATTCGTCAACGGATTAACCAAATATAAGATTAAAACAACATTAAATGCCCAAAAATTTAACACAACCCTATCCAAGCAACAAAGTGTACGAATAATAGAATAATTCTTAAAATATATATTTACTTTTTATTAAACGTGAGTTGACTGAGAAGTGGCACATTATTTGAAAAAATTTTACCTACTGCATACAGTGAAAGAATTAAATTTGCTTGATCCTGTCTGTAGCTGTAGTGTCTTCCTCCCTCTTAGGTATAATAAATGGTTTAATGGCGTAAAATCCAAAGTGCAGACTCATGGCAGCTACGGCTAGCGCAAGAACGAAACGCCCTTTCGTCGAAAATATATCCATATTTTTATTGTATTTAATAATTTTTTGCTTAATTAGATTCCATATGATACATTTAACATAATCTGCTCAAATAGCTTACGAGATCATGGAGTATACAACTGGTAGAGACCTCGGAGTATACGACTGATACAGACTAAAGCACTTTCTATGTTTAAGAATCTCCATGCTAAACTATTGTTAATTTATAGTTAGCACCACTTTTTGATTTACTTATAATACGCTTTTTTTAGAAGTTTACCAAATTTATTTTCTTATATTTGAGCAATAAGCAAAGTAGCATGCAATTAAAGATGATTTACGTATCCAGCTAGATAATCTTAGTTTAAGGCCCAAGTAATTAGAATTATTTACAAAACGACCTACTGAGAAAACAGCTTAAAAAAAATGGAAACGACGTTAAATAAAGTAATTTTATATATGTTGGATTTATTCATTCAGATTACTGCTTAAAAAAGAAGAAACCACGATACGATGGGATTGGCAAACCTGCGCGTCAAATTTCAGCAGTATGGCGGTGAAATTTATCGGTTGTGCTTTATCATCGATGCCGAACATTTAGTCAAAAATAATTCGGAGTGATCAACAAGCCAAAAAGAGCTGGTCATTTAATTTTTTTATTTTGAGACTGTTTAGGTTAATTTAAGGGCGGCAATATGAAAATAACGCTGAAAAATTTGCAGCAGCAGAGCTTTGTTGTGGAGATAGATTCCTCTCAAACTGTGAGTTTTTTTAGCCGCTTGTTTTCTTTTGTGCATTCTTGCGCTGTTTTTTGGCATAGGTGAAGCAACTGAAACAAAAAATAGAATCCGAAAAAGGTTCGGAATACCCTTCTGAAAATCAGAGGTTGATATACGCTGGTGAGTCGATTCAATCATTTAGTTGTCTTTTGAAGAATGATTTTTGGGTTTTTAAGGGAAAATCCTAACCGATGAGACCCCGCTGTCCGAGTACAGCATCGATGAAAAAAAATTCATTGTTGTTATGGTTACCAAACCAAAACTGCCCGAAAAAACTGAATCGGGCGACGGATTTTCTTCAGTTGCTGCGGGGTTTGTAATTCACTCAGATTACTAAGCAAAAGATTTGTTTTCGAATTGGAAACTTTTGAGGTTACATGTAAAGGTCAAGGACAGTTTTACAAAACAATTTATTGGCGATCATAGATCATTGTTTGATATAATTATTCTGTAGGACCCCAGAATCGTCACCTCCAGGCAGATCTGCACCAGTCGAACCGAGTCCTCCAGTTGGGTCCACCACAGTGGTCACAGCTACCCCTGCACCGCCGGTCGTGCCCGCGCCATTAACGGGAGCTTCTTTGAGTAGCGTAGCAGAGTCCACCCTTTTAATGGGTGAAGAGTACGAAAATATGGTTAGGAATATTATGGATTTGGGATATGACAGAGTTCAGGTTAAAGAAATAATAATGGAAAAGGACCAGGTTCTTATAAGAATCGATTTCAGGTCGAGCAAGCTCTGAGGGCGAGTTTTAACAACCCAGATAGGGCGGTGGAGTACCTCATCAATGGGATACCGGCGATGGAAGACGCGGAAGGGGTAAGCGAAACGACAGCGACGGACATGTCCAGCGTGGATGAACGGCAATCGGATTCGGAGGATCCTTTGGCTTTTTTGCGCAATCAGCCACAGTTTCAGCAAATGCGCCAGGTCATCCAGCAGAACCCACAATTGCTGAATGCGGTTCTGCAGCAGATAGGACAAACGAACCCCGCCCTATTGCAGCTCATCTCCCAAAACCAGGAGTCGTTTGTCAGGATGCTTAACGAACCCCAAGGGGGCAGCGGGGGCACGCCGGCCAGCGGCGGCGGCGCCAACGTTCCCACAGGAGGAGCGGCCCTCAGTGGAGGACAAGCTACGGGCGGTGGCGGTGGGGGCGGCCCCATCGGTGTACCCATCCAGGTGACTCCCCAAGACAAGGATGCCATAGAGAGGCTAAAAGCACTTGGATTTCCGGAACATTTAGTCGTCCAGGTAAGGTTTGAGGGTAATTTTGGAGTACACTCAGCGGAGGCTTGGAATTTGCAGGCATACTTTGCGTGTGAGAAAAATGAAAACTTAGCAGCAAACTTTTTATTGTCGCAAAATTTTGACGAGTAACTCGAGAGCTTCGAACCACACCCCCCCCCAACCTCACATGAAGTAACGTTAGTTTCGCCTGATTTTGTATTTTTGAATTATCCTTTTTTGTAAGGCCGCATCAACGGACGCACGTTTCGGGGCCCCATTTGTCCCCACCAAAAGTTTTGTTAATTTTCTTTTTTATTTAATGTAAATTTATTATGGTTATGTCTTTACCTAGGGGGCGGGGACGGTAAACGCGGGAATCGTCCATTTATCCGGCCCGCATGTATTTTACATTTGTACATAGGTATTTTTAACATCGTCGGTACTATCATTGATGCTTGGATTTAAAAGATTTTTGTGAATTTGGTTTCAGATGTTTTGTAATATAGTATATAAATATTTGATGAACATATAGTGGGTTTATCTCTACCCGTTGGAAATTCATTCGAAGCTTCGATCCGTCGCTCGAAACAACTTATACATATAATAATTATTGGTGACGTTTGTGTTTCTTTTCCTCCCTACTTGTAATTCTTACGTTTTGTATCGTTAAAGAAGTTAATAAATTGATGCATTAAACCTAAGAGATTGGATTTTGAAGTACAGTGAAAACTCCCTATAGCGAAACTCTATAACGTACCATATGTTTTATTAGGTCTCCATACAAAGCTATGTATCAATCCACTCTGTATAACGAATTTGTCACTCTCTATACTGAAAGAAAAAAGGGTAACCAACAACAAAGGTAACAAAGTAAGGAATAAGCTATTATCTTGGTTCGGGTTTAAAGGCCGTCATCGATTGGAATTACTTCCTAACGTTTCGCTAGCACGAGTGGCGAGCTTCTTCTGAAGAAGCTCGCCACAAGATAATAGCTTATCAACGGGCCGCGAAAGCTTTAACCAATTTATCAAAGTAAGGAATGTAGGCCGACTTGTAATTAATGGAGTCTCTTACCTTCTCAGAATTCCTTGCCTAATAATCTAATTACTGAGAACCTGGTCGTCCTAAGTGTTTTTCTCCTAATACGCGATTATGGTATGTATAAAAGCACACCATTGTTTCAATCAGTTCTAATTTGACTTAGTGAATACGGCGAGCATGGTGAGTAAGCGAAAAAAAAAGAAAAGGAAAGTGATGTGGACTTACCCCGTCGACTGTATCCACAATTTGGAAGTGCAAAGAAAAAATCATTCAGGCTGAAGCGGCAGGCAGTTCTAGTAAAAAACTAAGAAAGCCAAAATTTGTAGATTTGGATCGGACAATGTTGCAGTGGTTCCAACGTTTTAAAAATGTACCACTCTCTGGACCTATCGTAAAACTAAAAGCACAAAAGTTTGCTGAACAGCTTGGAATTAATTTCAAGCCTTCGGAAGGATGGTTGGGGAAGTTCAAACAGAGACATGGTATAAATTATGGACAGATAAGTGGCGGAGCTCGTGATGTCGATAGAAACGTCACTAACGATTGTCTGGAGAAGACGTGGCCAAAACTAACAGAAAAGTACCCTGCTGAAGACATTTTTAATGCTGACGAAACTGGTATTTTTTACCCCAGATAAAACTCTTAAATTTCGAAGCGAGTGAGTGGAAAACTTTCTAAAGAACGTAAAACAGTGTTAGTAGCTGCCAATATGAGTGGGGGAGAAAAAAGAAAGCTAGTCGTGATTGGAAAGTCAACTAACCCACGATGTTTTAAGAACATCAAGCATTTGCCAGTCACTTACTAGGCAAACAAGTCTGCATTGATGACATCGCAAATATTTGGAGAGGATATACGGAAACGGAATGCAAAATTAAAGGGGAGAAAAATATTACTTCTCTTAGATAAATGCCTTGCACAGCCTCATAATCGAAATCTACGGAATGTTGAATTGGCATTTCTTCCAGACAAAACAACAAGTGTATTACTGCCGATGGACCAGAGCGTAATAAAAAGTCTTAAGAGTCGATACAGGAAAAACATTTTAATGGAAATGATTGTGTCCGAAGACAAATTTTCTGTTAATATGCTAGAAGGCCAACTTTATTAGTAAAGCTTGGAAAGCGGTGACAGCAGAAACAATTCAACACTCCTATCGTCATGCAGGACTTATTACCGAGACATAATGTGTACAGAACTTGCAAGATGATCAGTCACTAAGCGAGTGGATAAAGCAGTTTCAGACAACGTTTACAAATGAGGAGTTGCAAGATTTTACGGTGATAGATCAGGATTTGCCTACAACCGCAGATTTGACAGAAGAAGCCATATTTCAACAAGCCAGAAATGGCGAGGAAGAGCACCAATAGGAAGAAGAAGATGAAGAACTTGATCTGGAACCACCACCAACCATTCAACAAGCCCTATATTCAGTTAAGCTGCTAGAGAAATTTTTGATGTATCGTGGGTCCCTTTCGAAGAAATGGTGAAAATACAAGATACGAGATGCGTATTGGCATATTAAAAAAATTCAAAAGAAAATGACCGATTATTTGAAACATTAAATGTAGTTCTTAAATATCTATATAAAATGTTCCTAAGTAGATGTTAAAAAATTATAATATATATATATATATATATATATATATATATATATATATATATATATATATATATATATATATATATATATATATATATATATATATATATATATATATATATATATATATATATATATATATATATATATATATATATATATATGATGACACTATACTCCGGGATATCATCCGTTCGCTCGTTGAACTCCGACTGGAATCCTGCAAATCCTGCATCCGACTGGAATCCTGCAGACGTTTCGCCAAAATCTCACTTGGCATCTTCAATGCTCGCGTTCCGAAAACACTTCGAACACTCGAGCGCGAGCATTGAAGATGCCAACTGAGATTTTGGCGAAACGTCTGCAGGATTCCAGTCGGATGCAGGATTTGCAGGATTCCAGTCGGAGTTCAACGAGCGAACGGATGATATCCCGGAGTATAGTGTCATCACATTTTTCCATCCGTGAATCAATACGTGAGAATATATATATATATATATATATATATATATATATATATATATATATATATATATATATATATATATATATATATATATATATATATATAATAATTTAGTATTACACAATACATATGCGTATTGCTATTTTTCAAGTGGCTATAACTCTTTATAACGAAAAAAAAGCAGTCCCTTCAATTTCGCTATATAGAGTTTCGATTGTATTTCGGTTCCCGAAGATCTCCTGGATTTAGATTATGCAAAAATTGAAATACAGAATAATGAACACCGTTTTAACACCTTTAGAGCAGCAATCGACTATAGTAGGCGCATTACCTTTCTGGGATGACGTCACGCTGGTTTCAAATAATGTATTATGTTTTAGTCTTCACGAATGTATTCTAAAGGAAACGCAACCAGAACCGGCATCGACTGTTATAAAGAAACGACAATGATTTTTTCCAGATATTTTCGTCTCTGTAAGTTAACATAGATTCAACAAAAATTTTAAAACTAAGAATGTAGAAACAGAAAAACAATTATTTCGTATATTTCCGCTTTTTTTTTTGGCAATTTTTTGCACTTGTTTGACTCTTTCAAAAATCACTAACATTTTCACTCCAAGAATTTTATATTAAAAAAACATCGCAATGTTTTGTCACATTTTTATTTTTTTAGGTTATATTGAGATGCAGTTTTCACTTTGATGTTGGGCCCTTATTTGACTACCTAAAGACAAAACATTTTTTTTATGTCAGAAAGCTCCACCTTGCGGTAAGGAAAGCAACCACAATCGCTCATTTTAACGGCTCCCAGTTTATTAAATTGGCTTTTTGGATATAGAAAGAACCAAACCAATGAAAAGATTTAATTTTTTTTATCAAATTTCTTTCCCTAATATCTTACCTCGTCTTTTTTAATTTTTACATTTACATGTGTCCTGTTTAGTCTGTCACTATACATTTTAAAGATACTAAAAATTGTTTAGCCGAAGCGTTACAAATTTTACAAAAAAAAAAGAGCTACATATTCACGAATCATGTCTTATTAGAGTGATGCAATCAAGGAAATTATGAATATCACGGTATAAAGTAGAAAAAAAACTACAAAATATTCAGCATAGGTAATCTATTATTTGGCACCGGGTTCCTACAGTTTTTTTTGTAATCCTCCTAAATTTATTTAGCTAATGTTTGCAATACACGTAAAAACATGCTCGGAGAAGCATTAAAAAAAGAAATAAACACAGAATGTGTCGTTGTGTGCGAAGTCCGAAATAATCGAGGCCAACGGAATTTATTTCGATTATCTGGATTGTCCGCAGCATCACAAACGAAAATATCACAGTCCTAAATAATTTTCAGACAAACAAACACAAAATGTAGAGAACGGATTCAAAAAATACAGTGCAGAGTATCATATGTTGTGGCTACGCTAAAAGTGCCTCCCTATTTTTTTTTATATTCATTAACAGTGGGCACTAAAAAGATCTCTACAATAATAAACTATCACATCGTCGTTAATATGTTATGATTTCCATTACCAGGTGTTATTTTTCGTTAGACTATGCAAATAATATAACAATAGTGTCATAAAGCAAAATGGTCGATCATGACGTGATTATATGCAGTGTCACCACTACTTTCATGGTTTGCGCATAAATACATTTACTCAAATTGATATTTTTTTATATAATTTGAAAATACCGAAAAATTTTATCGTCACAAGTAGTTTTTTTTAAAGATATTAATAAAAAAACAGATTAAAATTTTGTCGCCAATTAGTTTTTTTTTCTCGAAAACGAAGCAAGATACGAAAAAAGTAAATAAATTGGAAACAGTGGCGCACATTTGTTTTTATCAAAAATATTGTTTTAATTTAATTAATCTTAAATAACAAAGGACACTTCCAAATTTCAACAAAATCAGTGAAGGGGTTTTTAAGATATATTAAAAACCCATTTTTAAAAAAAAGTTTGACACATGCTGACTATGCATTTTCGACCCACGTTCATATAAAAACGTTTTCTTATTTTTTCGTCTTTTAAATAAGTCTAACGTTATTTCGGGACACCCTGTATAGAAGATTTTCTTTGAAATCGAGTGTTTAAAGAAAAATTTAAAGAGAAACGCCATATTAAAATACTCGGTCCTAGTCTAGTAGTTTCGTTTCTAAATTTTTCGATATTTTTAAAAGTAACTTAATTGTTAAATATTTTTTGACAGGTACGGTCGATTAAAAACTTCAACAAGTCAATTTGTTTTTCATTCTTGATGCACAAACCACTCCAAGGATCAAACTTTTCCAAACTTATTAATGAAAAATGCTTTTATATGATGTGCACATTTTAATGTTCATACTGTACAGTGTGTCCCGTTTTTGATTGATGGTTTATTACGTATTACTCAAGCTAATCAGTAGTGGCTCATGGCTACTTTTTTATTAAATTAAACGTGGCACAAACAGCAATGCCATAGGTAAATTCGATGATACGGCATTTGAAAATTCCAGGCCCTCTTGTTCTGAACCTCAATTTTTTTTTTATAACTAAACCAATGCCTTTTAATAATTTTAGTATGAGTCTTTTAAAAATATGTAAATATATACTTAATTTTAAAGTTTTTATGGGTAAGCTATGAAAAAGAGATATAAATATATTTTAATTGTCAAACAGTAATGACATTTTTTTCCCTAATTCTCCATGTTAACCCAAATTATGACAATTATGAGCAATAATATTGCACACACACGTCTATTTTGACTTTTTGGAGTTTATGTAAAAACAAAAACATCTGTATTTTTCACGGCCCACTCCCAAAAACAATAAATTAAAAATATATGCTTTGTATTCGTAATAGCTCTTATGGGTTATATATTCTTGAATAAAAAAAGGATCCTGTATCTAAAAAATAAAAAATCTAAAACACCCTAGCTTTATTGATTAAACATCAAATATGGGACACACTGTGGAAACCGTACAAGCTGGTCTTAGTGAGGATCAAAAAAGGAGAGCAATATTGTCAAAATTGGTCACAATTTTTACTCGTCTTGTAATATAGGGTGTTCCACGGTTCAGGTTAGGCTTTTAAAGTGTAACATTGCTGCTTTTTTGAATATTATTAATGAATTATTTTGGCAATTTTTTGTCTCGTGCTATAGTTTGATGTAGTGTGCTATGTAATATCCATAATATCCGAATGAACATTTTACAAACAAAAAAGGAGAAAACCATCGAAATGAAGTTTTCATGAATTTATTGCTTTTTCACCTAAAATGCGACCATATATATTTTTTAATAATATCTAAAATTTTCATTCAATTCGTTATCGTTATTATTTATATAATTTTAATCTATTATCTATCTAAACTAGGCCCTTAAAACCTCAAATAACTTGGCCAAATCTCAACAGAATCGGGTGAATATTAGTGTAGATATTAATTTGAATTTTAATGCCTATTTTTTGAACACCCTTTATAGGAACATGATATTTATAAATATTTAAATATAAGTTTTGAGGATGAACTTGTCTACATCAAACTTAGTGTTGGTGTTGGTCCATTGACCACTTCTTAATATTTATCTCGTTCACCATAAAAAGCCAACCCGTCATCTACCGTAAAGCACCCTGTATATATGTAGTAGCTATACAGGTTACTGACAAGGGACATTCATTTGTTTATAAAAATCGATATAAAAAATATGTAAAACAAAAAGTTTGGTTAACTCAGAGAGTCCAATGACACTCGAAGACCAAGTTAAAACAGTTTTTCAAAGAAACTTTCACAGGCTACTGCAATACTATTTACAAAACTTCTCGATTCCTCCAGAGTCGAACTTCCTGACGTTTCGCCAACCATCCTGTTGGCTTCTTCAGCCTCACATTTTACTCTGTACCTGCTTCTATGTTGTTTGAGGGGGGAGGAGTAAATGAGGAGCATAAACATCCCATATTGATGACAGGTGAAGAACCTGAGTCTCGGTTAAGATTTCTATAGAGCAATCACGGTGGTCCTCTCTTACATTCAAGAAACATAAAGTCAAAACCAGATTTACCACTTGTCCAACAAAATTTCATCTGAGATACTAGGCAAAGCTCCGCCTCCTTCAAACCATATATAAGCAGATACAGAGAAGAATGCAAGCAGTTTCAGTCAAGCTCTGAAGAAGCCAATAGGATGATTGGCGAAACGTTAGCAAGTTAGATTCAACAGCAACCGATACAGGAGGAACCCAGAAGTTTTGTAAATAGTAAGTTAAAACAGTCACCATCCCTATAGTTTATATGTCAAAATTTGGCTGGCGAAAGGGACAAAACCCAAAATGGTGGCGTTTGGTTGTTTTTGCGCGCTTCGCTTCGAAATAAATGTGCACTTAGATGGTCTCACAGCAAACTATACAATTGCCCGGTGGGATCCATGTTCGACTTAGACGGGCACCGGCTCGCTAGTTGACGACAGAGCCATCTTCGAGAGGGTGGATAGGCTACGCTTAGGAAAACTGCCGCCACCATTGTTTTCGGAAAATATCTTCCGAAAACTTAACGGAAAGGAGAAAAAAAGATCTCAGCACTTGGGGTGATCGTCGAAAAAGTCTACTCACAACTTTCTAATTCCCGATTCGGAGTTCTTTTTCCACGGCGCGTCGTCCGGCTCGTAGGGCAGAGGGCCCTGCACGGGAGGATCGTCTTCTTCCGGGCTGAAACCGTGCGTATTGTTTAACACGCGCAAAACTTACAAACCACAAACTTACTACCGGGATTGGTCTTCGACAACTACTACGGGCGAAGCGAGTTTTGGCGGGGAAAGGAAACTTTCGCATGCACCCGTAAGTTTAAAACGAGGCTTTCTACAAGTAAAGGGTGAATAAATAAAAAACGGGCTGATGTTACGCAGATCTATTAACTAGTGGACGGAGTGTAGTGTGATATGGTGATGACACAAGAGAGGTAGCTAGTGTTGAATACTACGAAGACTCGGAGTACAGTGCGTTCAATTTATCTTGATAACATTTTATTTGGCTGTAACTTTTCAGTTTTTAGGGATATCAAAGTAATCAAAAAAACAAAACAAAACACTGTAAGGCTACATCATATATTTTTAAATGGAACGCCCTGTATATTATATGAGCTGTTCATTTTGAAAGTGACTTAAATCCATTTATCTTTAATTTGAAATACTTAAGGTTTTCCGTTTTTACGAAATTAAAAATATGCGTAAGATATATAGTTAACTTGCAATGTTAAATCGCATTTAAGGGATTTAATTTTATACATCCTATTAAAAAGTCGTTATTATTAAGTGTATAATATGACCTTGCTCACCTTAAAAGGGCTTAGTTCACTTTCAAAATAAAAATTTGTTCTGTTACAAAAAGTGAAAGAGCAATAGAAATAAATTTAGTAACAGGTTATTCGTTAACAATATGCGGGAGTGATTTGAAGTAGTTATGGTGTTCCGAAGGTATATACCGCATTATGTGTCGGTATTTTAGTGATGCGATGCTTCTTATACTTTTATATAACGATGGCAATACAATATTCCAAAATGTTTTAGATCTACCCCGACGTGACAAAAAATCAAGAATTTTAAATTCTACGTTCTCATTCATGGTTGTTTTGTATAAAATTTTATATGGTTCATTTCTTAAACATCGCAGCCAGCATATTTGAAGCCAGTTTAGTTTTTCTCCGTTGGTATTTTTGGATCTTTTGTAAACTGCTTCTTCCAAGAGTCTTGAAATAAAATCCTCTTGTTTCATTTCATTTAGTATGAAAATATTACCTTTTCTACATTTCTTAATTATATTATAATAATCTTGTGGCACATACAATATTTGATTTCTTTTTAACGACATTTCTATAATATATAATATATATATAAATTCTTTTTTGAATATTTTTCTATAAGTCCATTCATTAACTGCTTTAAATTATTTTCTTCACAGTGAAGCTTATAAAAATTAAACATTTTTTTAATAGTCAGTTCAGGATGAAGATATTTTCTGTCGGGATTATGGTCTTTAGTATAATGGGATTCAAATTTCGGGAAACTTAACAATCATATTTTCTTCATCACATATTTTTCTCGACGACGACGAATATAAGTACCACTTCTGTGTTCTCTGAATCCTTCTTTGAAGGTGCTGTTTTTTAAATTTTAATTCTCAATTACTTCCTTTTTCTCTGTTGAAGAATGAACTTCTAAAATTCTCCTTCTTTTTTTCAAATCTGTTTTATGACTTTAATCCCTCTTCACTTTCAGAATCAGGAAATCTTGTTATTTTATCCTTTCCCACGGGTTTAGTAATTTCTTTAAATTAAACTAACCAAAACGTCATTTAAATTACTTTCATCACTGCTTTCAATATTTTGGGCCGCACTTTATGACATCGTCAATAAAAAGTGCACTTAGGTCATTTTCAAAATTATGATTTTCAGTATCATCAGTCATTGTAATCCGAATAAGATATTCTATTAAACACATATATAATATACAGGGTGTTCAATTTAAAAACATATGATGTAGGCTTATATGTCAGAAAATTGATAGTGTTTTGTTTTATAGGTCACTTGGAAAAAAACTTAGCTACTAATCCTACATTTTGTTTTTTTTGTTTACCTTGATATCTCTAAAAACAAATAAGTTACAGCCAATTAAAATTTTATCAAGATAAATTGAACGCACGGTACCTAAGGTAACCCTAAATTAAATTTCGAACTACTTTTTGTGTGGCTAGTGATAGAAATCATTCACTGGTGCGGAAAAAACTGGGCAACCCAATTTAAGATCATTTTTGACAAAATGTTGTAAATTAAACATACCAGACAAGTCAACTGTATGTAAAGGTACTGTTGATTACAAACAAATTGTAAATGACATTAAAAAAAAAGAGAGTAAAAGTTATTTTTATCTTTTATCTTTATCTTTTAACTTATGTGGTGGTGCGTCTAAAAAATAGGATTTTTTATGTAACCAGATTTGCTCAAGAAACATTTTTTTTGGCCAACTTAAATATTTGTACTGGTTAAGGCAGCACAAAATTTAAAAAAATGTTATTCTAACTTATTTCATGTGATAGTTTCCATTGGGAAATGATTTAATTAATCAAGTATTTCTAAAAGCACATTCACTTGTTCAATTTTATAATCAATCAATAATAATTCGCTGGGAACTTGGTTAGGCACTACTATAGTTTATGCCGAGAAATTAGTGAAGAAAGGTATCGAAATGCAAAAACTTATTTCTAACCCAACAGTGAAAGAAAATTTAATATTAATAAAAACAAATTATTCTTTTTTATTGGAAGCCACCTCCGTTTCTTTGACCGATCAGGAACTTTAATACACTTCAAAAAAGTTTCAGGTACTAAAAAAATTTATGTCAGTAATTGAAAACAACAGAGGCTTCAAAATCCTAAAAAATACTTCAGAAGCTTTTATGGGCAATTTCACTTATTTTGAAAGACAACTGGACATTACTTCCAAACCTAAAATACTGTCCGATAACTTCTGTAGATCTTGAGCGAAGGTTTTTCCATTTTTAAACATATGATTACAGATAAAAAACACAATTCTCTTTTGGGAAATTTTGAAAAACATTCGGTTGTCGATTGTTTTTATAACCGCAAAGTGTAAGTATTACAATTTTTTTTTGTGTAATTTATATTTATTCAAATAGGTCTGTGGTATAGGTAAAAAATTCTAGGTTTCTGAAGAAGGGTTTTAATTATTATTAATAATTATTGACCTTCATAATATTTCTATGCATTTATCATGAACATTTTATCCATTTTAATATGCATAAGTTCTCCGAATTAGTGCATAAAATTTTCCACTTTTTTGAACGCAAAATCAGTTTTCTGCATCCATTTCAGTAAGCAAATTCTTCATCAGTAACAAAAACCCTCCCTATTCATTGCAGGATTAGTATACGCAACATTTTTCGATACACTTTAGCCCTGAAAAAGGCAGTTATAGAGTAGTGAATTTATGAAAAAAAAATGATATTTTATATTTTGTCTTATTATGTATTGTTTGTGATTTGTATAATCATTTTATTTCATTGTAGGCGTTTTGAGGAACGTTCCTGTTTTGGGTGCCAAAATTATTGTCAATTTGATTAAATAATTAAATAAATAAATCTCAGGGGTATTATAAGAAGGGCAAAAAAAAATTAAAGCTAATCATAGAATGCTTTAAAAAATTAAATGAATCTACTTTCTACCATGGCTTAAGCATAGCAGCACAGAAATTTAAAAGGAAAAAATATTTTTTCTACTTCCAAGCAAATCCAATAGGCGCGACATAATTATCAAACACTCACGTTTCGGGCTTGTTTTTGGGACGATAGGTGTCCAGTTCGTCTTCTAAATCGCTGACTCTTGCTTTAAGCTCGTTGCGTTCATGGAGGATATCCTTTAATTCTTGAGTAGTAAATCGCGGCCTGTTAGGGTCGTCCAAATCGAACACTGCCTTGTTACTTAGAACTGGGAAATCAGTCTAAAAAAAATGTACCCCTGTGCCCGGAGCCAGCAGGCACCAAGGAAACACGTACCTTCACTAGATCTTCATTTTCTTTCTGGGCTAAGCCCAGCCTTTGCTTTAAAGCGGACAAATCTCTGTGCTGATCTTGGAGTTGCACCAAAAAATCGGCTCGCTCGTCACATAACGTCCTCACTTGCATCTGCATTGATTTGTTTTTTCTCCTCAGCTCCTTGCCTGAGAACGTTAGTTTGTCCACTTGAGATTTTAGCTAAAAAATACCACTCAGTAGCAACGACATTCAAAAAAAAGGAGCCCCTACATTTTCCACAATCACACTTTTTTCTTGCAACAAATTTTCTTTCTCCCTAATTTCATCCCGCTGCTTTTCTAGGCAGTCCTGCAGTTTCTGCATCACTTCTCCATTATTAATAATATCGGGAGGAGTGGAAGGGGAATGTTTGCTGGGGTTACTTGTTTTGGAAAGCCTCCTGTTCTCATCTTGAAGTCTGGAAACCAGGGTCAACAATTCTTTGGTTTCAGAACGCCACTGCTCTTCAATAGCTTCCAATTCCTTTTCGAATTTTTGTCTGTATTCGGCCTTTTCCAATTTGTCATTTTCAAGTTGCGATATTTTAAGTTGTAATTCAGTTAGCAATGTATTTTCCCTTTCGTTTCGGGTCGCCAAGTTTTCAAGGAGCTCCAAAGCGTTGATGACTTTTGGCATCAAAGAGGTAACTGCGTCAGCCCCGTATCTAATGAAAAAACCCAGACTACATTGCATATAATTGCATTATATCGATATCCAAAACTACTTTCACACTTTGTAGGAATAAAAATTGCTGAAAATGTTCGGTAACTAATTTAATAAAGCCGGAATACCTGTCTATAATTTTTTCGCATTCTTTGCCGATATCGGAAGCGATATCGTAAACATCGACGACGGTTACATCCCCGGATAAATCGCTGACGTCCTCCATTCCGTCGTTACAAGGCCTGTACTTTAAACGAGGCATTAATTACTACCCAGAACCCCGATACTAATTATAGTCTAAGGAGCAGAGCAAAATTAAAACAAAACCAAGACACCTCTCAAGAATATTGATCCCAATTACCGCCACAGCAATGGAACACCTAGATGTTGACAAATTATGTTGTGTAGTCAGAGGTGTCAATACCAGAGAAAATGATCGTTTACACATGGATGAATCACACTCATGGAATAATGGTATGGTAGGTTCGTTAAAGGTGATGTCATAACGTCTATAAACAGAAAACTGAAAATGTTTCTCGGCTTGAACACGTCACCAAAAACCTCACAAAGCTACGACGAAAAAATAAATGTCACAAGTCAAAGAATGCTTCGCAAAAACAAGCAAACTAGTTCGGTGTGGTGTTAACGTTATAGATATTTGGTTGCCAAAATCATAAAAGCGTAAAAAACGAAAAAAATAAATTACCGTTATAAACTCTGAAAAGGTGCTACTGGTCGAAAATGAGATTTCGAATGACCACGATTTTGGAGAAGGTCCATGCAACATGCGATTTAAAATCTCGTTTTTAACGAGCCTGCGGCATTGAGCAACCAACATGGCTGCTGACACATCGTTAATATGTTTGGATGAGACACTTTTATGACAGTGTTTTCTCAAAATATGCCCAGATCTCGATAAACGTTCTGGGAAAACGAGTTAAGTGTATGGAATCGCTGCTTGGAAAGCAAATAACGCAAAGTGCAGGTTAGTGAATACCGCTTTAGAATTTATTTTTTGTGATTTATGAAAGTATTGGTCAGTAGAAGCAAATGTCGGTGCTGACACAAACCCACACTGCCACCAACTTTGTCCTTAGGAAATAGGAAAGAAAAAAAAAACCAAAATCACTTTTTAAAATTGTTTTCATTTTTTGTAATTATACAAAAGATTTAAAATAATACTGTGTTTAAAAAATACACCGAGAAATACCTATCAATAGTCCCTGATGCTTAAACTATTCAAAAATAATACGATTTTCCCTGTAAATGTAAAAAAGGCACCATCTAAACACAGATTCGTTTTTTAAATCTACCAATCTATCTCATCGGGCAGTCCACCGGGATATTCACCTGTAAGACATGCGGTACAGTGCCCTACAATTTGCTTCTTTCCTATGAGATCTTTTTGGACGGCTTTGACTAAACCTGCGACACTCAAATACTGCAAACTGTCGGCACCAACTTTCATGGCGATATCCTCAAAATCCTTCGTGTTGGCAATCAGTTCCTCCCTCGTCGGAATATTAATTCCCATGTAACAGGGAAACTTCAGCGGCGGACTCGCCACCCTTATATGTACCTCTCTAGCTCCGGCTTTCCTTAAGAGCTTAATTATGGGCCCTATAGTGTTGCCCCTGACGATGGAGTCATCTATTAGAATGATGCGTTTGTTTTTAACATTTGTCAATATAGGTGCTAAAAATCAGTGGCGTTCAAAAAAAATAAAGGCCAATAAAAGTCGCTTACTGAACTTCAAAGCGACATTCATCTGTCTTAATCTGTTGCTGGGTTGGATAAACGTCCGACCGATGTAGGTGTTCTTGGCCAATAATTCGCCTTGCGGAATATTGGACTAAAATACGTTTGACGATGGAAAAATTTTACAAATCTCAACTCACTAACCTCCAAGGAATAACCGTTCGCTGCAGCATTGCCCGACTCTGGTACAGATCCCACGATATCCGCCTCCACGGGGTGCTCCAGTGCCAACTGCCTGCCACAATGAACTCGGACGCTATAAACTTCCTGTCCTTCAAATATGCTCGTCGGTCTTGCGAAATACACATATTCGAAAATACAGAAAGCTAGGTTTTTCCCTTCGGGCGTGGGCACAATGTCAATTGTTCGAGGGCCGTTTCTGGTCAACTCCAATATCTCTCCAGGATAAATTTCCCTTTCGTATCGTGTTATTTTTAAAAACGCACACGACTCGGATGACACCACCCAACCGTCAGGCACTCTCTTGGTATTTAAGTCGCCATTGCCGACTGAAAATATAATTACAATATTTTGAACTTCCGAACTCATTGAGGTTTCCACCTTCTTGATGTTCCGATAGTATTTTTCCCAGACACAAAGGCCTGTTACCATATGGATCTCTAACTGCATATATCTTATCCTTGAGCATGATTACCAGGGAATAACTCAGCGGGGCCAGCTGCATCAAGTGCCTAATCCTTGCTGGCCAGTCGGGGCCATTTACTTCACCCTCTGGTGGGATTAAACATAAAGCTTGCGTTATTAATTCACTATCTGAGTGTGTCGATAAGCCAACCCCTCTATCTAAAACCTGGAGTGTTTTTTAGTATAATAAAAACACCGATTTGGTCCAAGTCAAACCAAGTATTCAAAAAACTATAATATTGTTACCTGTTTCCTTAAAGAACTGGCATTTACCAATTCACCATTGTGAGCTACAGCCAACGATCCGTGCATGGAGTGCACGACAAAGGGTTGGCAATTGACCTGGGTAGATTTGGCACTAGTTGAGTATCTCGTGTGTCCTATACCCATCACTCCTCTAAGATGAGTGATGCTATCCTCTGTGAATACATTTTTGACGAGGCCCATACCTTTGTGAACGTTAAATTCATTGTGGCCTTCGCTCGTAACGATCCCCGTCGATTCCTGACCCCTAAAATTTTAATCGTATCGCAGTGTTTTTCAAACATAAAAAAAAAAACCTAACCGATGTTGCAACGCCTGAAGACCAATAAGAATTATCTGAGCGATCTCCGAACTATTCGTCCAATGTTCATTTCCTATCGCCGAAAAAACGCCGCACTCGTGGGTAAGACCACTACAAACTTTACCTCGATCTTCATTCATTATTTTTTAAAACAGAAACTTCCGATTAAATCTGGTTCAAGTGGCAATTTGCATGAAATAAATGAGGTTATGATTGCCAATTTTGCCATAGACAAACAACGTGACGTCATCACAAGGTTGGAGCTTTAAAGTAGCAAAAATAAATGGTCGGTGTACTATTCTTTAACAATGTACTACCGTTCTGAGCGGAGACTAACAAACTTGCATCATTTCGTTAAGCGTTTGAAATTACTGTTCAAAATAGATGTGTAGATTACCTTTAAAGTAGTTCAAATTACTCCACCACAGACCAGCTGAATTCCATCCGTGCCTCCATCTTGTATTAATAGTTCAAAAGTAACAATCAAAAAGTGAGAAAAGTAGACGTAATGGATTAACCCAATTTCTCGATTCTATAAAATCCTTGTGCACACCTACCGACTAATTTAAATAATGATAAACGTTAATTGTTTTAGCAGGCATAAACAAAAATGTGTAACAACAAAAGGATTTTTTCGAAGTAAAACTAAAAATGGCTAGGATCCTTTTTATTCATAAATGTTGTAACGCTTATTTTATTTTGTCTTTCGCAATTTTTTCCTCGTTAATTCTTTATTTTTGGTTTAAAATGTTAGAGGTTCGTTTTTATGTACATTTTATATCCACGCTTAATATGTGTTTTCCAGCTTAGCCTAATCTTGAAGCTGGGCAAATGCATTTACGATGAACCAATTGATGTGGTGTATACTTGGGTTAATGGTACCGACCCTAGGTTCCTAAATGATATGCATTTTTACCATAAATTACAGGATTCTAACGTTGATAGTTCCAAAAAACGATACGAGGATAAAAATGAATTAAGATTTTCTTTACGGTGAGAAAAATAATTTAGTAGCCGTATTTTTTTTATTTGACTTTTTAACTTTTCCAAAGTGATACTAACCAAATCAATGCCTTCATTATGTTCTAATCTTGATATTTTTAGGTCTTTGGAAAAAAACGCACCCTGGGTAAATCACATTTATATAGTAACAAATGGGCAAATTCCGCATTGGTTAGATTTAAATTCTGGAAAAGTTTCGATCGTGACCCACAATCAAATATTTAAAGACACCTCCAATTTGCCCACCTTTTCTAGTCCTGCTATCGAAAGTAACTTACATAGGTTTGTTATTAGTATATACCTTTAATACCCTCAATGTTGTAAGTAATTTTCAGAATACCTGGTTTATCTGATAAGTTTATTTATTTCAACGATGATATTTTTCTCGGTCTTCCAACTTATCCAGAAGATTTTTATATTTCCAATAAGGGTTACCTTATTTACTTGGCGTGGGTGGTGCCGCAATGTAACCCCAATTGCCCGTGGATGTATGTGAACGACGGGCAATGTGACAAAGCGTGCAATAACGTGAACTGTCAGTTCGACGGAGAAGATTGCGTACATAACATGGGGCAGTTTCCGATCGTTAGCTACGAAGATTCCAGTTTCGTGGACATGGAAAAGCAGAAACTAAACGAATTTGAGGAATTTAAAAAAAAGGTGCAGCAATTATTCGACAAGAAAGTTTACGGTAGCATACCTAGAAAGCAATACCAAAGCGAGCACAACAAGACTGATAAAGTAGCTTTAATTAAAAACTTAACGAACATAATCAACGAACATAACAATCAAGTTATGCGCAAGAACAAGGTACAAAATAGGAAACAGAGGTCGGTGCGCGAGAAATTAAGCGGTGGCAGCGGATCTTTCAATATCGACGCTTATAGTGAATCGTTGCAGTACACAAATCGGCTTTTTAATAAGAAGTATGGGTTTAAGGTTAGGAAGGTACCGGCGCATGCGCCAATTCTAATAGAAAAGTAAGTTGTAAGAAAAGTTCTTCTAAAATGTTAAATGTTGGACATGGAGCTAAGTATATAACATGATAGCTTCAAAGACACACACTCTCTCTTAAAAACTGATTTTTTTTACATGTTTAGAATTAATTGTTTTCAAAAACATAAAATCATGTTAAAAGTATTAGCAAAATTTGAGTTTTTTTATCGCTCAAAATGCGGTAGGTTTTTCAAAGTTTATTATTTTAACTTTGACATTCGTACGTACATCTCATCAATCATCCACTACAGAAGCTGACCAAAAATTTGTACTTGTGTATGCTTGACCGAATATGTCTCTCCTGGTGTGTTAAGGACTGCATATTTTACACTTTTTCATTTACACCTTCTATATGCCATCTTAAATCAGCACTTTTATTCTTTCACTGAATATTTACATTTCAATTATAATGTACCAGGTGCATTTTAAGCATATCTTACTTTATTCGTTTTTGTTTGACGTAGGTAATTTAATTAAATGTAACATTAATAAATTCTTCGTATCCCAATGTTCTTGTGCAAATGTATTTTCTCACCAAGCCTTAGTCTCAGGCAGAAAGAATGGTAAATAATGGACAAGTTAACATGAATCGTAAAGTTGTAGGTTTTTTTTATATCTTTCAGAAAAAATGATAATATATATGTGTGAAAAATATTTTTTTTTAGCAAAGTTAAAATAACGGAAAAACTATTAGGTTTTGGTATATGTTATTTAAAAAAGTCGAAGAATTTTAAAAGGAATTGATTGATAAGCCCTTCCCTTTTTTTCTAGGGAAATCATGGCAAAACTGCAGGCCACTTTTCCCACAGAATTTGCGTTGACTGAACGGAACAGATTCCGGAGGGCAAACGATATGCAGTTTTCCTTCAGCTATTATTATTTTTTAATGTCGGAAAAAATACAAAAAACCAGCGGCGAGATTTTTGATGACGTCGATACCGACGGGTCTGGGTGAGTTTTTCCGATTCCGTACAAACGTTAAAAATGCGAGAACGATTTCGTTTACCTAGAACTTGGTCGGACAGGGAAATAAGAAACGTGCTAACAAAGATGTACGAGTTGCCTTTGAGTTACGAAATCGTAGACGGTTTCGAAGCGATTCTGATTAATTGCTCTGAAAGACAAACGTTCAATATCTTATCGACTCCACCTTACGAGAGATATATCGACTCGAAATTGGTAATTACACGTCATCTTTCCATTTGAGGTTTCCCCTAGTTTTTTTTTTGTAGCCAACAATAACGAGGGACATGGTTGTTGAATGCTCCCACTTGAGCCAAATACTTCGAACCAAATTTGGTTCTGTACCAAAGTATAAGTATGAAATTATTAAAAGTTCAGAAAATGGACACGTGACTTTTCGTATGTTGCGATCCAACATCACGGACGTCGTCATTCAATTGGACGAGATCAGAGAAGAACTGAAGTAAGTGCTTATTAACTATCTAATTTTATATATCTAGGTTATAAAGAAACATGCATACTTATATATTCGAGAAAGCCCTTGAAATGCACAAATATTGTAATAAATAAAGGGGCTGCTTTATTTTATAGAATTTCGTTACAATTTTATAGACAAAAGTTGTTGAACCGAAATTTAGTGTTAGCTTAAAAAGAGTAGTTTTTTAGTTTGATCATAGAAATAAGAATTTATGAGGTAATTTGTATAAATCATTTATTGCGATAACAAATATTAAGAATTTATAGATACATTTTAGAAATGTTACTGATATTTTACTGATTTATTGTAGGATCTCAAAAAATTCATTGTTAGATTATTAATTAATCACCAGTGAGAACAAACAATATCAAAGCATAAAAATCACAGTTAAAACATAATCACCCAACTATATACACACTTACATTAAAAATGAACTAGACTTAAAATTAGTAAATCTACACTTTGACTCTATTTGGAAGCATACGATTGAGAGGTAAACAGTTTAATAAATTTATTAACGTATAACTACAATTTACAATACATGTAAGCAAAATCTTTAAATTAATTGACAAAAATAATAATAGTAGTTTATTAACATACTGATCATTGAGAGCAAGTACTTTGAAAACTTTAATTATATACAGTTCTCCGATGGCGGCGCTGCAGATAGCCTTTGAGGCATTTTTTTAAACTTCGCATTATTCGTGGCTCAGTTAAGTTCTGTGGTGTTTAGTTTGTGAAAAAGTGCCCCAAGACGATATCTTGGGATGATTTTGTCGTAATTTTTGCAGCAAAATTAACAGCAAATCATATGTCAATCTATGTTTTAATTTCTTTTAATCACGTTTTAATCGTGTAGATTTTAATAACATACATATATAAAAAAAATTATACTTTAAATTTAATTTGCATTTGCAAATTTTTATTACTTTGTATGAGTTTTTACAAATATACTATCTATGTATAAAAGTATTTGTAATTGTTATTTAATGTTTTTTGAGTGACGTCCATCGACAAAGCAATTTATGGAGTCTCTGGTTTTTTCATTAATGTTGAACTCTCAGATGAACCCATAAAGCCATTTTCAAGTAAACAACTGCTATATTCCAAATTTCACTTTCGAAAATTTACATTATTTTCCTCTCACTGAATTGTAAAATAATAAAATATTATGTATTTACCAGAAAATTCATATGTCTGAATGACAATTTGGACGAAACGAAGTCTGCTGAAAATGAAGTAATACGAGCCATTTTATACGACTTCTACCTGTCCTTGTTTCCAAATCCGAGCAATTTCGAGCTCCCGGAAGAGTCTCGAAACAGGTTCCTCTACATGGACGAGCTCAACGATTGGAAGACCCACCACTATAGGGTCAAAGTATTATTATGTCTTACGATTTGTTTCCTGATTTTTGCCATGTTTTTTGGCTTACTTAAAAAAAGTTGTTGCGTCTTGTTTAATAAAATTTTTTGTTAAATTGGAGTATTTTTATTATTTTACCTGAAAATAAAGATAGAAATATTTATTTATAAATATTTATTGCATTATCATAAGATATAGAAACAAACGTTAAATACAAAAGTGATTGTTTATCATAAATCGCCAGAAAATTTTATGTAAAAGGAGCAATGAAAATTTGAAATGAAAGATCTTTTTGTTCCGATTAAAAATATAGGGCTTGATAGGATTATCCAATACTGTATTTCCGATAAACCACTGAAATTGTGCCTTAATTTTTCCCAAATATGGTATTAGATAACCCTATCAAACCCTCTATACCTATCGTCCATTTCAGCACATAAAATGTAGCGTCCATTTAAAAACAAATTAAAGTTGGCTGAATTTTCCCAATTTCCAATGCTTTTTTGTTTTCTCTGACAACTTTAAAAGAAAATATTGACAACACCCCATCACATTTATATTTAATGTTTTCTTTGGCGCAATAGGCGCTGTCTAAATATACGGAATAGCCCTGTATATTTCATAGGATATAATCTATAAGGGCACATCTATATACGCAAACAGGACACACAGGGATCCGCACTTGTGCTAGCTTGTGGATATCCATTGAACGCTACAAATTTCACATTTCTGTATGTTATTTTGGAATCCAAACATGAAGAACTGTTGAAATCCAAGTGCGGATTACTTTTGGAATGCACATACAATTATTTTCAAATCCAAAAAGAAATCTAAATATTTAAAGTTTTTGAAATGTGTGACGAGAATTACTTGGTTTGGATGTCACCCAAGTATATGAACTTGGTAAATAACGATTCTTCTCGTCTGTGGGTATATATTAATTAAAGGATGTCGCAAAATACCTGTATTCTTAGCTAATTCAAATCCGTTATAACGTAATAGATTGTGACTACATCCGCCTGACTTTAATTTACCAAATTTAGCATCAACTAGCAATACAAATAATAGAATAAAAACATATTAGAATCCTTTAAAATAGCGTTTGTTATAGTTTGCTTATACTATCCTCATCCAATATACAGAGAAATTTATTTTTGAAAGTAGATGTGGGTGAAGGGTGATAAAAACTCACAAATTTTGATATGTAAACTAAACTTTTGTGTTTTTAATGGAACTATTATTTTTAACCAATTGCCTTACGTCATTCGGCAACTAACATGGCCGCTAACAAATCGCAAATTAGTTTTCATGCCGCATTTTTACGATAATATATATTTTCCCAAAAACCAACCTGATATCATTAAATCTTCAGCCAAAAAGGAGTTAAAGATGTGGAAACCACTTCAAAATATCGCAATTTTTATGTTGCAAGATAAATTTACCTATTATTTTTCTTGTAAAAACTATATGTCTTCTTATCCTTCCGAAAAACTTGATATCGTTTAAAGCAATCAGCAATATTGTCAATAAAAACTTTCTTGACGCACGATGAACACATGGATCAAGATTAAATGTCATACTAACATAATTTAAAATGGCTTTGCCAATCCCTGCAATAATTAATTAAATAAATACGATTTTTATTCTCTCATAAAAATAACGGTGTAAATAGTAGACATCTCTATTAAGCGCTTCAACAATCCATAACCAGATGTCGCCGCGTAGAAATGAGATAACCGTAGGGGCGGAGCTTAGAGAATATCCCCTTTTCTCAATATTTCCTCTAATAATTATGAAACGGAACAAAAGTTACAAAAACGGCACTATTTTAGTTGATAAAGTTATCAATGATATGCGTTCCGCTTAATTTGTAATATGGCGCTCAAGCCCAAAAAAACCGAATTTAGTTCCTTTGAAAAGAAGGCGAAAAAAAGTTCGTCCAAACAAAGCGCATGCTCCTCTTTTTTTCGCATTTTTCCAGACTAAAACGGCAACCTCGGCTTTAATCGAGGAAAAGTAAATTACCCTAAGGTCGTGATGATACGGTAAGTCACAAACGCACCGAAATCTCCCGGCCAAATTCGAAACAAAACGGTATTATTAAATTATTGGGCGTGTTTTCGTGATTTCTATCAGCGACGCGCTGCACGTCGAGAGACGAGCGACCTTCGCGCATCCAGAACAGAGAGCGAGATAGCGCGTCGCGTCGTGGATAGGAAATAAAAGGCGTAGCCATTTTGATTTTGACGAATATTGACATACGTCTAGTAGTCTAGACAGAAAGTCATTTGTTACACTCGAGGTGACATGTAAACAGAAGAAAAATCGGTGGAAATACGAAAGTCACATGTTTTCGTAATTACTCGGTATTTTTTCGCTCGCGCTGTCGCGGATCCGTATCGATAGTATTTTCGGTTACTGAACGCGAGGTGGTTGTTTTCGTTCCGCGAGTTAACCTTGTCGATTATTTTCGGCCCGGTTTTTTTCAAATGTTTCTGTGTTGCGTCCCGAATGTCGACGACGGCCCGCTAGATGGATTTTAAATTCAATTTCGAATAATGTGAGTAGAGTTCCCGGCTACTTGATCGTAATATTCTTTGTTCCACGTCCGAAATTTTTGGTCCGTCGATTAGCGCCTCGTAATAAACGCAAATTGATGTGCCCTTCGCTGTTTCTGTACCGTTTAGCACTTGCAAGGGACTTAGGTTATGTTCCTAATTCGTAAACATTCGTTAATGGGCTGTAATGGTCGATTTTTTTAAGTAGCTTGGAGGTGCGAAAAGAAAAGCATTTGGTGCTAATTGACGCGGGTAGCGCTATCAAACAATTATTATATATAATGTACTACAATATATGTAGGTAGTCGAATTGTCCGAACGCTGCTCAAAAGAGCATGGATGAAAATTTTAATTACTTTAGAACCGTAAAATGCAAATGACTTTGGCAGACTGCGTAATGTTTTTTTTGCTTTGGGACATGTACCTTCCAGACGCAGAGTTGTTTTATATGAATGAGGATTTGTCTTTTAGAAGCCCGTATGTACATTTTTCCGCCACCTTGGACTAGTCGAAATCATTTAAATCTATTGGAAAGTCGAAATATTTCGGATGATGTGAGATATGTGAAATATTTGTTATCTGTTATCTTAAATTCATAACGCATTTCCTTGGAGTTTAACATAAAAAAAAGCCAATAGGCGTCAATCTATAAATAAATGTTTTTAAGTTATTTATTTATAGATTGACGCCTCTATCTGTTCACCCAACCTGATGATGCAAAATTACTGAATGTCCATGCCCCTTTCTCTAAAATAAAACGTAATTAAAGTTATAAAGATTATTTATCTAAATTTGAAGAAAACGAATAAAGACCTTAGAGAAATATTTTCAAAATAGAACTTTTATGTCGATTATTAAAAAAATTATTTATTAGTTTATTTATATATTTAATCTTTATTTTACTACTGAAACTAAGACAACTCGTGGTCTTTGTTAAAAAAAGTTTTAAAATAGACCATGTTTTTCGTGTAAATTATTTGAAAATCCGTAAAAATGATGTAAAATCCGCGAAATTTGAAATTTACCAAACCTTTTCGAAATTCATGAAATCTGTAAAATCCGATACTCGTGTGAAATCTGGTGTACCAGTTTTGGATGACGATTTGCCCCCAGGTTTCACACAACCAAAGGATGTTCTATGGACTTTCAAATGATTTTTAAAAATTTGAATGATTTTGAAAAATAATGACCGAGGGACAAATCAACATCCTGAAGATTTCACAGATTTTACGGATATCACATAGATTTTTTCAGATTTCATGGTTCTACGAAGATTTAAAAAAAATTTTTAGGTTGTGCGTAAATTTTTATATATTCAATCGTAATTAAAACAATTAATTGTAACGAAAATACACCTTAAACGTTTCTTCAAAAAGTGGTAAAGAGTATTGTCATTTTTAAAATTTTGTTTCTTCTTTTTTTTTTCTTCTTGTTCAAGTTTAATTTCTTTTTTTTTCTTAGAAAAAAGCATGCAATTACAATTTATGCACAACATGTATTCAATATTTATATTTCTTTTTTTGGTATCGATATTTTGTTGTTACGACTATTAAAGGTTTCAAATGCCTAATGAAGAAAAAAGGAATTCGCACAGTGCTATTAATTTTGTGGTAATAATTGCCACAGTTTAAATTTACTTGTGAACCTACCTTTTTAAGATACAACGGGGATGTTTCTTTGGTACTTTACTGTATAAAACCTAAATGGTCAATAAACAAATTGATAAACATCGTGATGAATAATAATCGTGATTCCGTGACGATATTGTGACCAAATCTTGAGAGCACGCGACAGCTTTGGTTCTACCGGATTTCACATTCACATAAATTGTTGATTGCTAAATGTCGGCATTTCTAGATATTTTATCGGGGGTGCCGCAGGGTTCAGTATTGGGACCGTTATTATTTTTGATTTATACGACGTATCTGTTGTGTCTATTAAAAATCTGGGTCTATATATGAAGTTTTTGGATCACGTCTCGCTCTCTCTCTCTCGTTTGTTTTACTGCAATGTTGCCTATTACCCCTGCTTAGACATTGCTTATCGGCTACAGAAAATTTAGAATACCTGTCGCTTTATTTCTAACTGGATTTGGCCATATATCAGGAGCATTGAAGAAATTAAATTGGTTAAAGTACAGAAATGCTGTTTGAAACGTGCGATAGATTCCAGCATTCCCAAATATTTGGACGACGACCATGCCGTTACATAGGACTGCAAAATTTCGATGTTCTTTTACATATGTTTTTGATCCGAAACTTTTCGTTTGTATGTAAAAAGTCAAATCAAGTGTAAATTTATATGTTACAATAAGGTCCTGCTTTGATGTGTGCTTATTTTTACTTGACGTTACTCACTCTTTGACGGTGATCGGTACAATACGATTCGAAAAAAGACAGACGGCCTCTGACGAACCAATAGAAGACAACTTTGGCAATAACAAACTATGACTGACACAGTCGAAGGCCTTTGATTTTATAGTTCACTTTCCGGGTAAAAGCCCCATGTTCATTCTCAAAAAAATGAACTTTTTAGCAGGAAGTCTAACAGCAACATTCGTGTGAGTCAGTGATAGTTAATATATGTGACAATTTCCTCAAAGCTGTTGATCTTATTTTGGCTGTGTTCTTGGATTGTAGGAGAGCTTTCGAAACTATTGATAGGTTTACGTTATTAAGAAAAATGGAAACGCTTGGCATACGAGGTTCAGTTTTAAATTGATTCAGAACCCAAAAAGTTAGATTTAAACATCGTGTGATACTGTCCATACAATGTATGGAGTGCCTCAAGGAACTGTACTGGGCCCTCTATTATTCCTATTGTATATTTTTGACATATTTAATGTAATTAACGATAGCAAAATCGAATTATTCGCAGATGGTACAATGTTTTATATAGTTGCTAGTGGCATGGATAAGATGAAACGTAGTATTACCAGTGGTTTGAACCGAATCTACGAATGGTTATGTAAATAGAAACTTAATATTAACACGTCAAAGTCTAAATTTCGTATTTTTGGGAAAAAACAAAAACTAAGTAGTGTTAATATAGAAAACATAAAAATTGAAATAAATAATGACATGCTAGTACACGAAAGTAAAATTAAGTACCTTGGAGTTATGTTAGACTTAGAACTAACGCTACGACCGGAGGCTGATTATGTAATTAGAAAATTTTCACAAAAAATAGGATTTATATGTAGAATAGGCTATAGTCTTTCCATGTACACTATCAGACAAAAGTAGAGCAACATCTTCAAAAATAAGATATATTTAACACAAGTCCCAACATTATGATTATACATGCAAGGTATTGTATACAAATATAATACATTTGAGGACATTAAATTAGGCTATGATTTATTGATGATCGCAAACAAAACAAATGTGTACAGGACTAGTTATGCCAAGAGGAATTCCAATTTCAAAAGACCTAAAGCAAAGAGTAGTAAATGCATTTATGGAAGGTACCAATCAAGCTGATAAGTTACCTCGGTACAGCGTATCTAGAATAATTTCATAGTATAATGACAGAGGACACTTAGAAAAATTGCCGAAATCGGGAAGACCCAAAAAACAACGGTTTTGACTGACAGGCGCATTAAAAGAATTGCTCAACAAGATCCTTGGAAGTCCGCACCTCGAATAATTGCCGCAATTCCATAAATTACGGTTGGTATACGAACTGTGCAAAGAAGATTAGTAGCTTCAAAGTTGTTCAGTAGACGGCCAGCAAAATAACAATTTTGTTAAGTCTATAGTATGTAGATTACATTGCAGAAAACATACATTGGAAATACTATATTGATTATGCTTTATTTTTTGAAAATATTTGCTGGTGCATGAATGCACCACTGGTTTTATCTGTGAAACAAAACTTTCTTATTGCAAGTCTAGACAAGTCAGCGCATGTAGAATAAACATCCAACATTTAGCGTGTTGAACACGGAGCCATCAATAATCAATATAGTATTTCCAATGTATGTTTTCTGCAATGTAATCTACATGCTATTGTTCTTTAGTTTGTGTCTTGTGCAGTGAACGTTACAGTTCGTAAAATATGGCATTTCCGAGGTATTTGACTCAAAAGGAATTAGGATGAGGAGGATGGGGACAATAACAATGAAAGTCGTAAGTATTATTTGGATTTACGTATTCTTATGTATTGTAGCATTCCATTCCTTATAAATTTATGCTAAAAATAATGTGAAAAAATATTTACAGAACATATTGACGCGGTCTATATTCCACCCGACGTGGATACCTTGACTGACGAAGAAGATGTGAACGATAACATAAATCTACAAGAGTTTGGGGAACCAACTGATATAGTTGGAACTTTCGAGTTACATACACCGAATGATACAGCTCTCCTTCAACAGTCCTGTAATTCATCAACCACTGAACCTGAATGGGACTCATCAGATGATGAAATCCTGGAATTCAAAAGAAGACGTATGCTTTTTGCAAACGACAGGCTTGCTTCCACTGTCAAATGGAAGAAAGGTCAGATTGAGTACACTCACACACTTATATCCGATGAATTTAGAGCATGTGAGGAACTAAAAAATAGGCTTTCTGGAAAAACTCCACTTGTAAATATTTTTTATGTTTTTTGATGGCGAAGCGATTGATTTGATTTTAAATCTTACATTGCTTTGCGACTTTTAAAAACTGATAAAACAATTACTCAAAGAAATCTTGCAGCTGCCATAGATGAAGTGCGTTATGATAATCAAGGTCACCTCATGATTGTTCATGCTAACAAAGCCCGAAGGAGAGGTATAATTTGCAACAGCCACACAATTTACGTTTGTAATGAGTGTAATTTGCATTTACATCATGCTTTGTAAAATATTACCAAAAATTAAACAGGGTGTTACTAGTGGTGCGCTCATGCACCATAAAATATTATGAGTTTTTTTTGTATCAAATCAGGTTCTATTTGGAAAACAATCTACTTTTAGTTGTTTTCTGTAGAATTGTATATTTATGTATAATTT